GGGGGCGCGTTCTTTAGTATTGTTCAGTTCCCATATTATTCGCCTTTTATTTGTAATAGTTTATTTCGATATCTCCGACAAGGCACAAAGGTGAAAATTCAAAAGAAAGTAAGACATAAATGCTTGAAAATTTGACATAACCGGTAATGAGAACGTAGAATGCATAAAGCTCACACGTTACACCACACATTTACTGTTATCATCAACCACAATAAGTTAAACAAACAGCGAAATCTTTTGTAACGAAAGGTAAGAATCTAATTAGTCATTTAAACTTGCGACACATGAGATAAATGATTTTACTTACCGATAAGTGGACATCGGGGCTATCAGATGAATAAACACAATTTGTTGACGCGTGGAAAACCAAAACAACAACACAGCCACGTCTGGGCATTTCGCGTCGACTTCAGTGATTGATAGATAGTAATAATCCCAACTTGAAAACTAATTCTGTATCGTTTTACTTATGAGAATCGAAAATAAAATCTTTATACCCAGAAATGGGATTCAACGTGTTCGTGTGAGCTTGGAATGCTATTGGGAAAAGTCAATGATTCAGAAGCAATCCGTTAAACAGTCAGCTGCGCTTTGGTATAAAGTCGCGAGCCCGGTATATTTGCCTAACTCGATGAGGTCATTGTTATTCGACATAGTAAGGTTATATTTGTATCGGGAACACGTGTCCATATGACGCAATATATTTGACATGCCATATAATGTAGCTTGTCGAGTTTTGTTTTTAAAAAATATTTCAACATGGACTGAACTTTGTACTTTGCAAAAAACATGACACAATGTTTTGTTTATTCAGAATGCGTCATTTTCGCTAATAAGGAACAAAAACAAGTTTGGACCCTGTGAATGATTGATTTAGGAAAACCAGGTTGAACCGGATTGCTAATTTTAAGTTTATATAAATCGTCACTCAGGAAAAAAAACACAATTAATAAATTTTAGGTTCCCTAGTGCGCACCTAATTAATTGGTTAATTGTAAATTTGGTGTAGAGCGTTGTCCAGTTGGGAACTGGTATATGAGTATGATACAAACGCTAGAGAAATAAATGAAACTATTTTTTCAAACAAAAAATATTATTTTGAATATTATTGTTTTTAATATCAATTCGGTTGATGTATCAACGTTATTTAGTGTAATCTCGTGTGTTACCCGCGGTACGGATTTTGATATATATATGACGCCATAACTATGCGACACGTTATACTTCAGAATATAGATAATATTCGCAGACATAGTTATCGCGTAATGTATGTTGTCTGTAAAAATTAAACTTGGCTATAGGCCAGCTATTTCAGCTAGAAATCGGATACATCGCTATAATGGATAGCAAATCATGCGCACACATTTTAATTAATCTAGCAAATATACCAGGGCCTCTGAGGTAGGGAAATTGTCGAATATTGCGCCATATATACATCACGCCATAGTGAGCAGATCGAAATCGGAGAAAGATTAATGCTATTTCATCATTGATTATAGAATGCCGCTCTTTGCAAATTTCTTTTCATTCATCACGCTGAAATGAAGTCATCCGCTCGTTTATCTCAGACAACTCAGTAATTTTAATACTCTAGCTTGCGATCGTATACAATAAATTTCAATATCTAATGGAATATAGTTTGTGTCGCGTTGTTTAGACGTAGATAAATCAGTTCAGCAATTCGTAACATCGAGGTTACTCTAATTTTTAGGATACGCTCAAAAAATCGTTGTACGCATGACTGAAGAAAAAAAAACAGATGCTGAAAAATATTGGTGGGCTTGAAATAGAATTTAGTATCGAATAAGCAAATATGGACTAACAGAATTACGTGAATATTGGAGGGTGAAGGTATTTATTATACGTTGTTGCATATAAACTATATATATGTACATTTGAAGATTATCGTAAATGTCATATAAAATCTATCAATCACGTTTATTTAATGACTGTTGATTGAATGACTTTATTATATTATATAAATATTTGTGACAGATCAGCGTCGAAAGGGTGAAGAATATTTATATATATGTGGACTTAAATTTTTAAAAAAGCCTTTATTACGCATTTCTGAATCCTTTGTGCGAAATTATCCTATTTGCTAACTGTATAGAGTAAAATGTAGTAATCCTTGCAGACATTACCCTATTCATTCACCCGTTTATGTAAAACGTCTCATGGGGTGAATTATTTAGGCATTGTACACATGGGTGAGTAATACCCAGTTTCTAAACTGTGAATCTCAAATGTTGTAAAAAACAACAACAACATTGTTTTCTTTTAACAAGTCAGTCCACTGCTACTAAATTAGTTCGATATAAACGATAGATAGTCTAAATTCTAGAAAGAAAGAAGTAGTAGCAATTGCAGACAATATTGCGTAGTCGGTGCATACGTTAAACGTTTGAAATGACTATTCAATCGATTGAATAATGTGCATCGAAATCAGTTTATTGTCCTCGGCTCGCGTGGGCCAAACGTGTAGAGTAGAACGTCCGATAAAGCTAAAATAACAGTACGGTTACACTATTACATGTATGGGCCTTGGCAGGGAAATGGTACTTCACATTTGTCAGTATTAGTCAGCCCTGAGTCATCATCGGATACGATTATTAATATCGACAGTCTCTGATATTAACTCCAAATTCTTTTAGGCAAAAATATTTTTGTAGAGAAGCGATTGTAGACGAGAGATAGATTTCTTTGCAATATGAATGCCTGAGGCATTGGGGAAAATATAATTTGAGGTCGGGGATGATTAAAAAGAAATTTGAGCTGCGGTGTATTGAAGGAAAATTTATATCTACGATTGATCGAAGATATTCCATTTCTATACGATAGCAAGTTCCTAACGAACGACCCGTAAAACTGTCTCGTTGGGTGAGAGAAGTATTCATTATACTTCCAATAATAATTTGCTATCCTGAGAAAAGAAAGATATAAATCAACATGAAGAAAGAGTGGTGTCAGATTCAATGATGTTTTAGCCGGATTGGAACAAAATTAGCGCAGTGTTGTTGTTCGATAATTACATAGTACAGAAAACATAAAATTACTAGAATAAGGAGATATTGTAACAAACAGAGTTGTCTCATAACCGGTTGTGAAGTCGGTACATTATTTAATTTTCAACGAATGTTGAAAACGAAACGAATGTTAATATGCAAGGCCGAATCATGGTCTTTAGGGGTCGTAAGACTTTGGTGCTCAATATATATATATATATAAATTATAGTAATAGACATGTAACTAGTGTTCCGTTTTATCATAAATTGAATAATTATGTTTCAGTATTCATTACTGATTGAAGGCCAAATTATGATTAATTTACATGATATTTTTGGGAAATAGTTCTCATGCCTATACAAACATTTATAGAGAGGTTCAATACAGCCCTGCTAATATGGTTTTCCACACAACTAAAACCATTGACTGCGTATCGTTAATTACGCCTAAATTTTTTCCGAATCTCGCTTGAAAATTGAATATAAATTTCATTTATGACTGTAATGGCTCTTCTTAAAATTGTAATTATCATAATCTAATATCTGAGTGCAAAGTTTTGATATTTTTTTATTCACGCTTCGCAAACACAAATTTTCACGTTACAATAAATCATTTGCGCATCGCCTTGTCGAACCGCGATAGAGTGCGAGCTGGATTACGAAGCGATATTCTGACCTCGATTTCGTGGAATAAGGCCTTGAAAATTTCGGGAAGCGGCCTTCAAGTTTCGAGAGCTTATCATCGAATATTAAATATTTTTTGTTTGTTTCAGATGAGGGGTGTTTGCATTTCTGGTAAAATAAAATGTTTACTCAGAAATAATTACAACTGGATTTTAACAGAAGAATTCTGCAGCGAAGACAATATATAACTCAAAATATATCGATATTGTATGTATATAAACAGCACGCATGTCGCGAGTAAAATTAGTATTCGACACAAACTGGTAGATTGCGGTTATCAAGTTCCCCATATTTAAAAAGGGCTTCCAATTGGATAAATTTCCGAAATGATATGCCTCAAATAAAGTAATATACCTATGCCAGAGGATGTGATAATCCAACGTGTTTGTTGGGATTCGGAATCAGCAGCTTATCCTAGCGGACAAAATAGCCTACCTTGTGATTGGTAAAATATATATGCGAGTTCGTCGCTGATTTTAGTTGTTTTTTTTGTGTATCCGAAATGAATTGTAATAATTATATTGTCGTGACGTAACGGATATGAAACAACGCATATGATCAGTATTTATGTGCTAGAATCTATTTTACATATTGATATTTATCGTTATGGTTGTTGTTTTGTTCGGATTATGGAAACGCTAGAAAAGTAAATAATACTAGAAGTAGTGGGAAGGCTTTCTCGATCAGAAATTAGTGTAATTGTATACACATTTTTAAACCTGAAGCTGGCGATTCAAGGAAGCTTATTGGTGAAGCAATTTCAAAGTAGTAAAATAATATCTAATATTTCCAGTATCTTTTGGCAATCCAGTGATTGCGCATGATTGCGCTGGGAGACTTTCTTCTTTGCTTCTGAGTGAATGTGCATGACTTTGATTTGAGAAAATGTTATTATTAGGTTGTTTATATAAATAGCATGAACATATATCAACATCAATGACATGGCGAATATTTTAAAATTTTATCATAGATATATTATAGCTTACAAGTATGATCCAATCTGGCAGTATCGCGTTGCATTTTATTTTTATGTCTCGAATGCGTATTTCTTTGCTTCTTATGAATTATTATCAAAACATGGAAGAATTGCGTTTTGAAGTTTCCTACTAAAAATTTGGTCCTAACCTTCTTCGTTAATCAGAACAGTTATTCAATATCATTTATTGAATTATTTACAATTGACCTCTACAATGAGGGGGGCCAAAGGGGCAGCACGTCATAGGGGTGAGTTTGTAAACGATGCTGCTTACAGAAAATTTTGATTCTGTATTATGACATCACAATGCATGTTATTTAACATGGTAACGCAATAATTTAGATAACCGATTCGTTTGGTTGTGTTAGGCTCTGGAGTGGAAGTGAAATTCCTTCGAATAACGTTATGCTTGTTTCGAATGGACTTCTATATAGCATTTTGAATGAGAACGATTTAAGAGGATAAACAAAGGTAAACAGTACGTTTATGTGGGATAGAGTGCTATACCATTCAAATGATAAAACCGCAAATACGCATTGTCCTATGCTTTAACAAAGAATTTACCCGGTAGCTTACTTGAAGAAACAAGCAGCTTGAAGAATTAATTGGAATAGAACACTCTGCAACGATTTTCAATGCAAAGTCGGGTGATTTCTACATTTTCTAACTTTGAGAGCTGTATCGAAGTGAACGCGTGACAAAAAAACTGACAAAAATTTAGCTAGGCTCTATGTGACACAGTAGGCCTATGCCGATTCCTCTGCTCGAGTGGAATAAAAAGGTAGACTAACTCGTAGGTCTACGGCGACAGCATGCCAAACATAATTATGATTTGCCACATGAGTCTCGCCTTTGAAAACCCTTCCCTTTTGTTCTAAATCAAGCATTTGAAAACCCGACCACCACGAATACGTTCCCGTATCAACCAGTCCACAAAACGAAATGTTTTTCGTTAGTAAATGTATACTTTGAGCGAGTGTTACGTCACAATTGCATCATAAGATTGAGCAAAATAGAAAGTTTGACGTCATATTGATCAAATTCAAAGATTTTATCTATTTATTTGGCTTGAATTTAAAAGTTTCATATTCGCATTACGCCAACAATTGGCGCATATGTTTGAAACACTCAATTCGTTCTGGTACACGTGCATAGGAGTTCACCCATTGATTATCTTATGCAGTATTGAACATCATCTTATTTGTGGCTTGGTCATCTGTAGGCTAAAGAATTATATATTTGGTTGATATCTTACAGATAATAACATTAAATCATATTTCAAGCGATTATTTAAGTTTACTACTTAACACCTAAACCACTACAAAATACAGCGATCAACATTGTTATTAAAGTCAGCACTGAAACTGAATAGACAAAGAATGACAGAAGAAATAGAAAAGAAAAAAGATATCCAAGCAAATGGATGGAGCGCCGGCGATAGAAACGGAAACATTCCTCATGAGAAAATCAATGAAAGATTTCCAGGTAAGTTTAAATTGGGATTATGAAGCGTATATAGCTGCCGTTTACCTCAAAACCAAATCGGCCTACCGTGCATATATATAAGGACAACAGTATAGTGATTTTTGAAGCACATAGCAAACAAAGTGAATGCTCTTTTTCCTAAATTCTATCTTCTAATTTTATATTTGCAGATATAAAGCCATCGATGCAAATAATTTGGAAGAATGTTATCATAATGTCGTACATACATTTATTCAGTGTTTATGCTATTGTACAACTTCGTCATTGTTTTTTAAAGACTCTTTTGTTTGGTAAGTCTTTTTTTCACGTATTGTAATAGATAATTAACATCCAGTTTTTCTAAATTTTTGTAGCGCATCTGTTCCGTGAAAGTGATACGAGATTTGGTGTTCTGCCAATCTGCAATCGAATCGAGTATGGGTTTATATGATAAAAGTTCAATATTTACACAAGGCCGATAAATTGTTGAAAATGGCCAATGAAACTTCGACTCCAACATGTCAAATAATATATCTGTAGACCCCCGGACCAGTGAAACGTTTTTATGTACATTATATAACTTATGGCGTCCCTCTTTTTCAGGTTTTATAACAGGCTTTTTCAGTGAACTTGGTGTTACAGCAGGCGCTCATAGACTGTGGACTCATCGATCATATAAAGCAAAACTTCCACTGCGGACATTTTTAATGATTATCAACACGCTTGCGCTACAGGTACAGATCTGGATATGGATATAACCATTTTGTTACATATTTTTCGTTATTGCAAACTATATTATATCATGTATATCTTAATACTTTTTCAGAATTCAATATTTGACTGGTCACGTGATCACCGATCTCATCACAAATATTCGGAAACCGACGCAGATCCACACAATGCCAGAAGAGGTTTCTTCTTCTGCCATATTGGATGGTTAATGGTTCGCAAACACCCAGACGTTATAAGAAAAGGAAAAAATATTCCGCTGAATGATTTGTTGGATGATCCAGTTATTGCATTTCAAAGAAAGTAAGTGGTGCTGACGATAATAGCAAAAACGAGAAACTTCTATAAAACCACATAGGCCTATACCATGTAATACCCCTCGGGCCTATACCAGTGATTCTCAACCGCGGTTCTCAACAAATATTCTTTTTGCGGCTCTACATTGCCCTCTAAAAATTAATCAATTTCAGTGCCAAATTATCATTGAAAATTATTCAATGACTTGATATTGAAAAACTGAACTCAAGTACTTGAAGTCGTCGTAGTTGTTAGGTCGTTTTAGGCGCAACTTTTTGAGTTTTTTTCATGATGTCATGGTGTTTTTCACCCCACAATCTTGAGCCTAGATTTGAGTACTCTGAGTTCATTGTTCCCAGCAATCACAAGCAAGCTGCCCCGTTGGTTTACACTGTGCAGTTTAAGTTTTTTCGCATAAAATCTCAATATGTTATTTTGTCTAGACAAAATGTCAAGCACGCCCTCAAAATAGCTCGCACTCGTTATAAATATTGTCGGGCGTTTCAATGTGATTGGAAAGAGAGGTATTTTCAAATTGAAATATACTAGATATCATTGAGAAAATATGAAGCTAGCTATTATTATATATTGCTGGAGATTGCATCCATCACAATCGCGCTTTTCCAGCCTTCAGCCTTAAAGTCGAAGCCATTTTCAAATTAGCGTTTTAACCAGAGTTTTGTTGATGTTGTTATTTGAAATACATACTTGAATTTTGTTTCCATTTCAATTTTTTTTATGCGGCTCCTTACAACTTTAAAGTTTGAAATGCGGCACTGCCACTAAAAAAGGTTGAGAACCACTGGCCTATACCATGACCCTGCTTTCAAAAATGCTTCCGAGTGATGAACAGTCAACTAAGTACAATATAACATTCGTCCACTTAAGTTAAATGATAGACTATTATTATTCGCACGGTATGCAATCTTTCACGTATAAAGCTTATGTATAGGATATTCACGCCTGTCGTTGTCTGGATTTAAATACTTGCTGGCTGGATTACTCGTCAAAATAGACGAAAAGGCACGCAATATGGCATGTTTAAGTTTTAATTCACTTCTCGTTCTTACAGGTATTTTCTCTTGCTTGCTCCTCTGTGTTGCTTTATCATACCATCTATAATACCGTGGTATTTTTGGGGAGAAACATTGTGGAATGGATACTGCATGAGTGTGTTGAGATATTGTTGTGTTCTAAATATAACTTGGACAGTCAATAGTTTTGCACATCTATTTGGAGATCGACCTTATGACCGAACGATTCATCCTGCTGAAAACTATTTTGTATCTTTAGCTGCAATAGGTAAGTTATTGTTAGTAGAGAAGTAGAAAACAAATGCGTGCGCTTTGATCTCTGGCCTAGTTGGTATAATTAGTCGATGTTTTCAGAACAAGTAAAAACAACAAACCCAAATAGTAAAATGCAAATTGAAATTAGTACCGTCAGTACCTGGTCAATATTTTCAAATACTACAAATTTGAAAGGGATCGTCTCGTCGTTTGAAAAATGATAAGTTTGTCCTGAACTAGCCATGGTCCGAATATGGCAACACATCAATAAACATACAGGACGGGAATTCAGGATGAAGTTGCCAAATTTTCAAATGAGGTATGAAACATGAATCATAGGGTGCTTCATGGGCAATCCAGTGGTGGGATTCGGCCGGTCCGCATCGGTTCTATAGAACCGTCTCGCGGAATTTTATAAGATCAGCGAACCGGTTAGCATTACTGGTTACTGTCAATGTTCTGTTTGTAACAGAACCGGCTGAAATATATAACTTTTGTGAAGGAACCGGATGACAAAAAACTTGAATCCCACCACTGGGGCAATCTCACCTTGTGAGATTCGTAAAAAAACACGACGACATGCTTGCTTTCTAATTGGTATTCCAACTTGTGCGCAATTTGATAATGCATTAATACAATATAAGCGAAAAACACGGCACAATAGGAAGATATCTCAATTTGGAAATGGAAGCTATAACACGTGTATGTGGCTGCAGAAGATGTTGTGTCGGCAAAGGTCAAACTTATTCAGGTTTGCATAAGGGACACTAGTCGTTGTTCCGCAGCAATAACAAGGCATTAACTCAGTCTTGGTAATGATATATGTTCACAGTAGTCGCATACTACTTATTATTCTTCACGGCACCCGTCTAATACATTTTCTTTCACCGTATTTCAGGAGAAGGCTTTCATAATTATCACCATACCTTTCCCAGCGACTATTCTACTAGTGAATACGGATATCGACTCAATCCCACGACTGCTTTTATTGATCTCATGGCGTTTATAGGACAAGCTTATGATAGAAAATCTACAACGAAAAATGCGATTCAATCTCGCATGAAAAGAACTGGAAAATATTCTGATATTAAAGAGGCTGGGTGGTGATTTGTAATATATATATACTTCTAATAGTCGGAAATTAAACTTCAACGCCATGTTTCATTTCATCTATTATTGTTGGTACCGTGGGATCTTTTCTCCAAACATATTTGTATAGACCTGCAGTAGAACATATCCGTTGAATAGCCATCCATTTCGCGACTCAAACCCTTCCCAAATTATATTTCTTTTGGAATTATATAAATTTAATTCATAGGTGTGTAGTTAAGTTCCTGTAAATTTCATGATTCTCCGCATTTTGTCGAATTGATCTTCCTTCTATATTGTTCTAATATACTTTGTCTATATTTTTGAAATATACAATTCTTCACGAATTTAGTGTCGTCAATATTTCAGTAATAAAATCAGTACCAGGCTACAAGCTTTCTAAAGACCCTAGTTTACGCAAGATAAATGTACCGAAGACAGAAGCGAGGGGGTAACTTACTGTGTTGGCATCGCGAATAATACGTCTTGGGCTCAAAACATATGCCTTCCAACTTGGCCAGGGCTTGATAAGTTGGATAGGCAATGCCAAATAACAATAGCCCTTTATATATACCGTAATTAGACCTTTTTTTGAGCGAAAGGCGTGAATAAGCATCTTTTAAAAATCAGTCTTCGTACAAAAAACAGAAACACCAGCTTAAGACTCCGATTTTGAGTGTAAAAAATCAGTCAACAGGAGCTCTAAAACTAAACCATGGTTCAGGTCCCTTGCAACCCCCCTTTTTAAATAAAAATCTATCCGAACTCCGAAACCATATATGACAGAGTAATAAAAAAAAGCAGTTCGGCGTCTTAAATCAGGCAGAAATCATGTTGAACAGACAATATATTCTCTTCTTTAGAAATAATTTATGGAAGAACGTTTTCAAAAAAAAAGACAATTTACTGCACATTTGTATCGAGGAACAATTGATTTGATTCATATTGCAATTTATAACAGGGGACCAGTTGGAATTTTAATAAAATAAATACTACCAGTTGAAAAGCTCGTTTACGAGATGCATTCTAATGCTCAATCTCCCACATATACTTCACCATACATATTTAACCTCAAATGGTGCGGTGGCGCTGGGCATACTAATCTTGAATCATTATTTACAATAGTTTTGTTTTTCCAGACATTATGTTTGAACTTGCGTTTTCGTTTATGATTGTATTTCAATTTACTAGTTCTTTCAGAATAGGAATTTTCATCAAGATCTTTGATGAACTGTGTTATTTCTTCTACATCAACGTGCCTTTTATGGCAACAGTGCAAAGCTGCTGGACCCATTGGATGAGCTTCTGTATTGAAGATATAACCGCCTGTGAATAGAAATTGGATCTAACTTACTAAAAAAATTAAATAATCAATGGCAAATCTTCAAAATCTCTTTTCCTTTCAAAAGAATTTGCCCTAGGCACTCACTCAGAGGCTCAATTGGATCTAACTTGCTAAAAAAATTAAATAATCAATGGCGAATCTTCAAAATCTCTCTTCCTTTCAAAAGAATTTGCCCTAGGCACTCACTCGGAGGCTCAAAAAACTCAACTCTACATGCTATCTCTGAGGATACAAAAGTGATGGAGCATAGTAATGGGCAATCAAAGAAAGTATGAGCTATTTCGTTCACTTAGGCACATGCAAAATGTTGCTAAAAATTAATGTATTTTAACCATAGATTTGTCAAGCCCTAACCTAAACATTATGTATTCTTTACAAAAGCACAGTCTCTCCCATGATTCTGTGACAGCAGGTTCAGATCATTGTATGTATTGGAGATTGAAAATCTCTACTCTCATCTGCTTTCTCTTGAAGGGAGTATTATATACAAATTCTATCTGTTCTATTATTTTGACTCGCTAATGGAGTAGCTCATACTTTCCTTGATTGCCCATTACTATGCTTCGTCACTTTTGTACCCTCAGAGATAGCAGGTAGAGTTGAGATTTTTGAACCTCCGAGTGAGTGCCTAGGGCAAATTCTCTTAAAAAGAAGTGATTTCGAAGATTCGCCATTGATTATTTAATTTTTGTAAAGAATACATAATGTTTAGGGCTTGACAAATCTATAGCTAAAATACATTACTTTTTAGCAACATTTTGTATATACTTAAGTGAACGAAAGTCGAGGGCTTTAATGCAACAGGACAAACTTTGAGAAAATGAGGAAAATCTTTAAACATCACTTCAACTTCAAAATTCCAACATTTGCCCTTTGTCTTGAAAACCTTGTATTGGAAAATTCTGACTTATGACCGAATATGAATGTTCTTACTCACCAGCCTCCACAACACATTTGCTGCCATCCTTCATTGTCACAACATGACCTTGTTTTCCAGTATTATGTAAAAAATTATCAGGATCGAAGAGAAGGTAAAGATATTTAGTAGTTTCAGCAAGAAAAAATGATTCCATCCTATTTTCCAAAGTATGATCTCGAACATCTTTTATCTTAACAGACAAAGTAAGATTATAATAATTATTTATTATGAAATAGGCTTGCTAATTTTGTCAAATTATTATTGTATCTGTTGTTAGAAAAAAAACTTTTCGTCCTTTTACCATATTCATTTGTTGAGAATGAAAGTGCCACTTTGGCGACTAATACTTCAACATTTTGTTTTACTCAAATTTTTTAACTCTAACAGTACTAACTCCGGTTTCCTATGTTTGTGCGACCTTATGTTGTTTACGTTAAAGATGGAACTGAATTAGTTTTCAACAGCTTACTGTTGCATAGCCACACTCTGTCTTGGCCGTTGTTTCAATAGCATGAAGAATTTGTTTTCCCATTTGTAATAGCAGAGGATCTTTCGTTGCTTTGTATACGTATAAGATACTTTCGATCAATTCTACAGAGAACAAAATACTTTCTATTCAAATGAAAAATTTTTAAAATCAAATATGATAACGACATAATAGACACTTAGACAGCAAATATTTGAAAAATAACAGATTTAATGCAAAAATTTGAATTTAATTTCATAAAAAGGCTGGGTGAAGTATGATGAATAGCACATTGAATTTTTTATTGAAAATAATACTGAAATTATACTACCTGCTGTTAAAATTTGGAATATGTTTGCACTTGGCTTTTTTATTTTATATCTTAGTATTATTACCTGGGCGCAGTGGATAACCTTCTCTCAATTTGTATGGAGCTTTTTGTGTGATGCTGTAAAACTCTGGGGTCATCCCGAACTGATTCCAAACTTCAAAATAATTCAGTAGCGTCTTGTAAGCGTTCTCTATGTCTCCAACCATAGTCTGAAAATATCAGAATATTAGTTTTGGTGTGGGGAGCTGCCCAAGTCTTTTTAAGCATATAACGCTGTAGAAATAGTCTAAAAACATTATTTACATAATGGTTACCTGAAGACCTGGCCAGAAAGCTTCTAATGATTGGAATATTGGCATTGTTACAGCTCCTGATTTCATATTAACCCACATATACCAGTCACCCTGTTTAATGTATTTTTCAATTGATGGCATATGTTCTGAAATGTAATAGAATATTGACATTTAGTATTACAAAAGAGCAATATTTTGGTCTGAATGGAAACTGCATTGATTACTCTGAGAGTGTGAGACAGTTTGATCTGAATGAAAAAACTAGATTTGGTAGGACAGCTTCAAGAATACTTTATACACTAGCAGAATAACGTACAAGGTTTGTTGATGCACCATATGAGAATTCCTCTTTGTGCTTTACAATGTCCAGGTACTTGGTTTAAATTCATTATAGCTTTCGGCTTGAAGCTGGGTATTTTTGAATAAATCCATTCAAGAATTCAATATATATATAGTTGTACTTGTAGTACTCTTTTGATGCCGCTTGTGGTATTTGGTATGTGACATAAAAATGGCATGGGACCAAATGAATACATCCGACCTAGAGGAGATCTAATGCAATATGGAACATACTATATACCGGGCTAACCAGATGACGTAATTTGATACTTGTTACATTATGATCCTTACTTTTAAACATTGTCATTAAATCTGTATTTCTTAATAAATTTGCTCCTTTCACCATGTATTCGAAATATGAATCCACACCAGCACCAACACCAGAATCAACTGCAGTCCATACACCAGTCAGTACATTTATATGATTCCCAACCTGAAACAAAAAATACAATGAAATTACAATCAAGAGCTAAGGAATTAGAAGTTGTCAAATGCTTTAAGTGCCTGTATTGCTGTGTGAGTGAAGATAAGAGTAATTTTGTTTATTCAGAAACATTAGCCTACTTCAAATTTAAAAATTAGAATCTCATTTTTCACCAATAGATATAATTTAAACATGGTCTTTTTACTAATAATAGAACAAAATATTTAAACACTATTAGTTTATTGCAAGGTATGCAAATTTTCAACAAATCAGGGCAATTCCATCATAAATACATTTCTAATGCATACTGTGGTTCTCTAACACAGTTCCGCGGAACCTTAATGGTCCGCAAATACAGTGCAGGAGTTGTGCATGCTTATATTTTCAAATCCGACAGACGACAGTCCATATAATTATATGTATAGCCTATGTATAATCAAATACATGGGTATATATAATATACCGTAATCATATAAAAATGTGTTTCACTAATGTTTCAAGAAAGATGTCAGGTGTTCTGCATCATATTGTTGATTCCTTTTTTGTTTGGCATATTTTATGACAAGATAACGAAAATTCATATGATTAAATATACATATATTCAATTACAAAGGGGCCCCCCAAAGCCTCTGGTGGATTATTTTCTTTGGGTTCCGCTCCTCCAAAAAGATTGAATACTTCAATAAACTAATAGTTCAATTCTACATAGTTTTAAACTTACTAGTCCAATTTTAGAAGCCATTGAATGAAGACTAAACATAGCTCTCATGGCTTTATTTTCATAAATACTTTTCCCAGTCAATCTTGATAAAGTGCCAAACTCTACAATGTAAGTTCCAACAGCTGCAGTACAAGTCTCCGGTGTTTCATTAGGATCAACTCCATGCAATAAATTTACTGTACCATAAGGCATCCCTGTTGGTGTGTTGAATGCTAAAATGAAAAGCAAATTGATTCAAAAGCAGTTCATTTTGTTCTAAATACAAGAAGAAAAACAAGTTAATGAACTGTAATACTGCTTCATCAAGGTTTGTGAGACACAATACAATAATACTTCACAGCAAAAACAAGATTTTAAATAACACCTGGTAATAACTTTTGTGCAAATCTTTCTGCTAGTCTCAGTAGTGGACCATTACATGGCCAGTCATCTTCAACTGCAACTCCCATATGTCTTGACATTAGATGAGCAGAGAGAAGACCACCGATAACTGCAATACAAAAATGATTTGAGCTCAAATCAGCAAACAAAGAAAGCAGGGATGTCCTGAAGTATGCGCACCAAGATGGCGCACAACCTGAACTCATGTTGTGTACCAGGTTAGGGTTTAGGTTATGTGACATCTTGGTGCGCATACTTCAGGAGTACCGAAAGCAGACTGTTTTGCTATGATGGAACAGTACATCAAACACGTAACACTCACCTCTGATATTAGTTTCGAATACTGAAACATTGACATCTTTATTGGGATTGAGAGTTTCAGCAACAACATTCGCAACTCTTTGAAATTCTGTGTTGTTCCCCATAACCTGAAAAGGGCAAATGTGAGGGTTGTTCAAACGAATTGAATTTTGATAAACACGGAAACTAAAAAAAAAAATTGGACAACCTAATAATAATGGGTACCAGATGAATACGTGGTTTATAGTAAAATAGTATTAAAAGTTAAAGAAGTCTAGATGAGCCAAAATTTCCCAATTCGACAATCTAACTATGGCCCAGGCTGCGCAATATGTTTCATATTCATTCACCAGTTATGACACGGCAATGGCAATACCCAATATAATCATTTAGTTAATGGTAAGTATTATAAATTCAAAATCCATTCATTTTTCACTCATATGAGCAAATATAAAATTTTATCACAGAAAGTACCAGAGCAACAATATTGGCCATACTCCGAGTGTGTCTAATGCATCCACGAGAGTCAAAGAATAGTTTCCCCATGTATTCACTCCATCACATGTCAGAGGTCGAAGTTCATCGTGGGGGTATGCATGGTGTACATAGCCATTGTAAGCGAAATAAAACATTTCTTTGGTTCTTTGCCTGAAAAAAAAATACAACATGGATAAATATACTATGTCTCCTACATGTAATAAAGTCTTGAATTTTGGGCAAATGAACTTCAAAGGAATGATCAATTGTGTCTCCAAAAAGTCAAGTAAAATTTAGGTTTGGAGTTTTCATAAATTACCATCAATGGGGATAACCTAGCCCATGGCTACTCAACTATTTTCACCGAAGATCCGCATACAAAACTTCAAAACTATTTAGGTCCGGTCCTCCCAGAAATTGTATTTCGGCATCCTCAAACGTGCACTTCCTCGACGGGCTAACGATTATTAGCTAACCGAGATTGTTTATTATGGTGTTGCAGTTCTTTTCATATATATTCAAAACTACAAAAGCCATTTTATAAAAGGAAACTTCAAAAGTGGGGATGATGATCCAAATAAAGAAGTAGGGGCGGTCCGAATCAAATACTCGGAAGGTCCAGATTCGGACCGTGGTCCGCCAGTTGAGTAGCCCTGACCTAGCCTACCCAATATGATGAAATGATTGGTACTCCACATTTTAGAGGATAATAGTAGGCCCGACGGTTGGCGCATTGTGCTAGGTGTTAGGAATTCGCTTGGCATCGCACCTCTGATTACCCTGAGTGGGTTCGCAGGTACGAATCCTTTTGGGGATAATTAAGTGAGAGAGGATTGCTGAACTCTTCACCGCCCTGGGGTGGATCACATCACCACTGGTCAGTTACGATTTCCTCCATTCCATGCATCTTAAACAAATAACCGGCTAACTAATCATGTATCCATCATGAACTGGTAATCGGACAGGAGACCATGGTATGCCATACAATTAAACTGGTCTCTTCACTTCCCTCTCCCCCGAGATAAATATGTAAATTCTATCATATCCTAGGGTTTATGCAATTGGCTACTGATCTTCATTCTGTATGACCAAAAGTCATTTAAAACTATATTTCATAATAGAAAAATGAATGTATTGTTCAAAATTGAATTCAGAAAATTTGCCTTTCAATGTTTTATAATCTTTAATAAGCTACAACCATAAATTCCTAGTTTACCTCATATTATCTACTTCGTCTTTTGTGAATTCATATTGTGCAAAAACGGCTACAAATAAAATGTAAATGCACCAACAGCATATGTATAAGCAATCTCGTAATCTAAACTTCATTACTATACCACACTCTGACTGAAAAAGAAAAAAAGCTTTGTGTAAAAGCTGCTAATGATATTTAACTCTGTAACACCAATGATTTATGATTGAAGGTAAAAGATATATGAATTGAACTTGATGTGAAGCATATGAGCTACAGCTTAGTTGTTATATTCTAAGAAAAACTTCAACATAGTGCCTGAAAGGGACAATGCTTAAAAATGCCAAAACATAATAAATACAGTTGATAAAGCAATTTGTGCCATACACCAGGAATGCAGCAAAGAAAAATTTTGAAGAATTTTGGGTAAAAGTTGTGCACATGATAACGTTATATATTTTATGAATAAGGAAACTCGGGGTTTATTAAATCCCATGCCAAGGTGTAATAAATTGGGTAAGCAATGCCAAACTGGAAAGATTCTGGTTCTCCTTAGTAACAAGTAGCTCCTTAGATATCACTGGCTGCTTGTATAGCGCCTTGTTTGGTGGAAAGGCATGATAAGCGTTGTATAAACAAAAATCTAAATTGTACAATAAGCACATTATTCAGGTAACATTTAAAACTTAAAAGTTGTAAATCTAACATTCACAGGTAAACTTTAATAAGGAAAAAAGTGGATGATATTGATATTACACCAAAAAGTTTGGACCCATGAACAAGATAAAAAAAAACTAGGGATGGGACGAGTCCGGCATTACAGAGATTCGACGAATCCGAGTAATAGGTCAAGAACTCGAATCGAATCCTCCGAGTCCGTGACGCCACAGAGTAAAAGTAGAAAAACACGTTTTTGACCATATTACAGCATCGCGCGCTCACAAACATACGTCGTAGCTCATATTTTTTGCCTAATGGTTCCGCAAATAGCTGTTGGATCAATTTAAAAATATAATTTTTTTTTTTTTTGGCGACCATAATACAAACGTAAACGTGGGTCGATGTGCACCTTGGCTGTGAACTGGATTTCCAGCCCACCACCTTGCGTCAATTCTGGGCAGCTATTTAAAAATTCTCACATGTCAATATGGAAAATAAAAAGCTTTTGACTACAATGCTTCCCCATAATTCCAGATATTTCTAGCCTTAAATTCACTATGTGGCGTGCGCAAATGGTAGAGAGATGCCACTCGTCGTCAATACAATGATTGCAATTTAGTAGTTCATGTAAACGTTCTAAAACGCTCCATGCTTTCCATTGCTCCCTTTTTATAGAGAGGATTGCACGTAATAAACTCGATTCAAAAGAGGTATTGATGAGATTTCCCATTGAGTTGATCCAGAGCATGTTTCATTTTTACGCAAATCAAAAACTCAAAAATATTGCGCTAACACATATTTTATTGTGTACCAAAAAGGATAGATAGTTTGAAGGCGACTGGCGCAACATCATTATTAAAAGCGATCAATAGTTTTTAACATGCGTTATATTATCTGGATATCTGTTGTCGCTTTTATTAGGAGTGTTTATAGTACACGTGAGGGATATTGTTACAGATTTAACCTTGAATTTTAACTCGTTAAGGTATGTAGTGAGATTTATAGAGGCAAAAGTACAAATATAGGCGTGAATTAGTAAAAACAGAATTGATTATAGACTCGGTAAAAATGACGTGGACTCGAATCCGAGTCCAAAAAATGCGTGGATTTGACTCGAATCCGAGTCCGGATCCGAATCCCGGCCCATCCCTAAAAAAAAACACAAAACATTTGCTAGGTATAATCTGAATAAGCAATTGCTGTTGACAGTGGTATAAAAACAAGGTACAATAATGAATTCGCTCTACATTATAAATTATATTGCTACCTCTTTATACGGCAGCTGTTGGTCTCAATTCATAAATAAGTTCTGAAAATTGGACCTACAAGCTAAATTCACAGTTGTAAAATTTTGCATTAGCAACAGTGTTAAAATACTATGATTAGTGGAAACAGATGAAATAATTTAGAATTTTCATAAGAACATGGAACAAAATTGGCATAAGGTAAGGCAAGCTGGTTACATCATAAGTTATACCTGACATGGGCAAACTATGGCTCGTGGGCCAAATCCCGTTCGATGGGTACGGTAAATCAATCTGGCCTGCTCGATGCTGCGATAACCAAAATTTTGATGTTTTAGTTAAAAATAGCTCAAAGAATTTGTTGAGATTGCGATTAAATTTGGTTTTGGCAGGAGACTTATTGTTTTTCACTTTTGCGACATTGTAAATATTGTTCATAAAATGCAACTTATATTACACTCACATGGCCCGCCAGTCTAGTCTCAACCTACTTGATATTTGAAATTGCTTATTCCTTTATCAAAATTCATTTGAAAGAGCATAATAATGGGTTTGACTAGCCTGCAATGACATGGATGTAACCTACTGTACATTTTGCACAGCTATTCTTGTACAGTACTTTATAATTCCGTTTCTTTCCCATGATTGATTTTCCAAAATCTTTCTCTTGGAATTCGATCAAAAAATAAAAGACCTGAAGCTCTTTCAATTGCTTCTATTGGATATAAAAAATTCTTCAGAGGAACACTTGGATCAACCCATTCATTGGCCATTACATATGAGAGTAATTCAAATCTTGAATTTCTCTCACATACAACAACTTTATACAAATGTGTAGGTACAGCAATATGATTCCTACCAATCACTTGATAAGATACTCTCATTTTACCACTGCCATCCTGTTTTGGCAAGTAAAGTGGACCAGTGCATACATAAACGTTGTCATAATGATACGCAAGACTTCGTACATATTTTTCTAAGTTATTCCAAGCCTGTTGATTCATAATTGGATTCTGAGGTACAATATTTGAAAGATGAAAAGTGTCATCCATCCATTCTTGAGATGCTCTGTGATTTGACGCTGCCGCAAGATGTCCACGATCATACCCAGAATTCCAAAAATCTTGATTAGTTCCACGAAAAAATGGATGAATTGACGAGTCCGGTGAGAAGGAACTATTGAGTCGATCAGATTGTTTCGTATTCAATAAATCTTTATTTATATGCTCAAATACCCAAGATGCATTACGTAATCTGTTATCATAACCCAATACATAGTTTTTCTTGATATTAATATTTCCATTGTTTGGAAATCCAAACCTCATTATTTCATTTGGTCTGTTGATATCCAGTGGAGCAGCAGCTTCTAATTTCTTGATATACCCATCTTTCTGTTTTAACAAATGCTCAAGTTTTGAACCTGCTATTCCACCACCAATGAATGTTACAGCCAATGTGGCTACTTTCCGAAATGTAGCCATTTTGAATAAAAAACTAATTAACAGCACCACAATGTTGCTGCAAAAAACATGGTAAAAATGCTAACTAAATTATGTGAATTTCAAGTTATTATTGAGATATAAGGCATCAATTTCAAATAAGAATTGCTTCCCTATGCTTGAAAGTTTAATAAACAAAGTAATTAACCATTACAGAAAAAGATGTTTTACATGCTGATATGCACATTATCAACAACAGTTCTGTCACCTCTTATATATACATAGGCTACATAATTTGGTTGTATCAAATATTCTGTTTCAATAACAATATTAATAAATTTTCACATCATTTATGACATAAAATTCACTCAAAATACAGATAATTAAAAGTTTTTCTTCCCAAAATAAAAGACCATGAATGAATGTTTGATGTGAGTTCTACATTTTGAAGTTTAATTGAAAAAAAAAATACATTATTTTCTGTTAACTAACTTTGTCAAAGCACATTGGTGCTCCATATGGTTTGTATGATGTTATATTGTTATCTTTGAGGAAAACTTCTGTAGCCAATATGATATCAAGTGGAATTGCTTGGAAAATAATAGCCACTTGGGTGAAATATTAATCGAAACATTTTAGACAAAGCTGTTCAAATAAATGCTTGACGTTTAAATGATTATGGTAATAGGTGGTATTCCCATACCCCATTTAAAACTGAAATTTTGAGAAAAAGCGATGGCCCACCATTATGATCAATCAAGCCAACTTTTTCTCTCCCCAGAATAGCAATAAAAGGGAAAGAAACAAATAATATCAAAATTGCTGATAACAGGAAAAACAATCATAAAAACAAGGCAACGCCAATGCCAGAATGAATGCTATCACAGTATGAATTCTGAAATGAAATGCTGAACTCTCACGCATGTACAAAAAAAAACTAACAAAGCATTCTGACCGAAAAAAAAAATGACGAAAATTACTTTGCTAATTCCAAGTTCAGCTGTTCAGTCAGGTTAGAGTTGCATATATGCCTTATTTTTGATAATAATAAAAAAGAACTTTCAAATTGACTTGTTTATAGTAGTATTTTTACTTTTTTTGCAAAGTTGTCCAAAAAGCAACAGCTTGAAGAAATGCATCGGACATTTCTTCACTTACTTTTTCATATTCACCTTCAATCAAGTCTTCTGTTTTATTTTTAACTAGAATGTCTGCTTCACCTATTTTAATGAAATTTGTCGAAAACTTAATTTTAGTGCCACCCCATTCACCATGCTGAAAAATTTCAGTCACTTTTTCTCGACCACTTTTTCTAGAGCTTGCTCCAGGTACCATAATGTCAAAAACATGGCCGGTTTTATTCCACGGACCATACACGATGCGCTCTACTTTATGTTTGTCATATAATTCTGATAAAAGACAGTGAAGCATGGCTTTTGTTATAAGAAAATGAGAACTTAAAAATGGGACGGATAATTTCCAAAAGCGCTTTTCTAAAATCCATAGATCAGGAATTGTTTGAAATTGTGCTATAGAGTCTGATATCCTTTCATAATATTCTCCAATATTCATTATTGATGATTTTTTTGATTTTGTCTCAAATATCGGAAAACGTTGCCAGCTACTAAGGGTAAGGTCCTGTGACATTGTTACACAAGCTATTTCTCTGAGACTGATGACCATTGAGCCAACTATACGAGTTCTTGACAACTGTTTTGCAGTTATCTTGACCAATGGACCTTGTTTTCTGTTCTTTTCCTTTTCATTCTTATGATCCATTTCTAAATTATCTTCTTCTTTGAGTTTTTCGGATAAATCTAGGGATGGTCCTACATCTGCATTGGGGCTTTGTAGGCCACCTGAACTCCTTTTTGTAACGAACATGGCCATACATGGTCTCAATTGCTTTCCCAGCAATGAGCAACGTCTAATAAATGACAAATGCTCAAGCATAGTTCAACTAATAGTAACCATACTATATTGAAGATTCCTGAAAAAGTCAGCAGATTTTGTATCATTGAAACTACTTACCAAAGTCGAACTACTACGAATACAAGATTTCAAGAAAACAACTTGATTTTTATATCAAACATATTGAGCAAAGGGGCATTAAAAATATAAAAAAAAAACATTGGAATGAAGATAACTAAACATTTGTGAAAATCTTACAATGACATGGTTATTGACAATGTTAAAATAAATTGAAATTGATTAATCTGTTCAAATGAATGTCATAATGGAAAAGATTTCCTCTTTGTTTAAAAACCTGGATCAAAACGAAGCGAAGAAGAAATATATTAAAATACTAATACATATGAAATTATTTCGCCAAATATGGAATTCTTGGATATTAAAATATATATCATCGCCAAATATGATAGGCCTACTTTTTTGGATGCATACATAATCAAAGGCCACATAAACTGATAATTCAAACGTATTCCAAATTAGCTCTATTTAACATAGAAACTTTTTTTAATTTTTGCACTCAACTCAAAATAATTTTATGTGAAACACAAAATAAGCAACAATAATAGTCCTCAGCATGCATGCATTTTGTTAATATTACTGCATATATAAACTAATTAAAAATACATTTACTGATATTGAATGAAGGATTTTTAGCAAAGAAATCATGGTATCAAATTATCGAATTTTGGGCATCAAATTAGGTGAAATTTATACAGTTATTGTTATTTCTTGTTCTTGTATTGAATTATTCTCTTCAATTGATTCTCTATCGAGCTTTCTCTTTTTACGATTTTCCATGTTAGTTATTTTTTCTTCAAGACTCAGTCCAGTATGGCGGTCCAAAACTTTTCTATATTGTTTTGAAGCACTTTTTTCACTCAACAGAAAACCATTTATGTCATAATTTTCAATGTTCGCCATATTATAAGGAATGCTACTTTTCACAGAAACCGTATCACTGGGGAATGTTGCTATATTTGCATCAATAATAAATTTGTCCAACATACTTTTTGTCACTGCACTTTTAATAGAAAAAATAGAGTTGAATCTTTGAAAATGAGTGAGCAATTTTTTTGAAGCAACCTCGCTTAGATTCCATTTCAAATTATTAAAAGCACAATCATATAGAGTTAAAGGGAAATCTGCCATATATCCATATTGTGGCTTTTTCGGAGTTTTTTTAACATCTAATAAGTCAGATATAACATTAGGTTCTTCAAAACCTAATCCAATTAAGAATAAAATCCCCATCATATATCTAACCTGATGATAAAGAAATCCAGTGCCATGTATAGTAGCAACATAAATCTGATACGGATTGTTAGTTTCAATTTGATCTTCTTGTGGATTCAACTCTATTGTAAAGTTTCTTATTCTACGAATAAATATGGTAGTCTCCTCTACATTCATTTTGCAAAAATTTCTGAAATCATGCGTACCAATAAGTAATTTACATGCCTCATTCATTTTCGTAATATTCAAAACACCTTTTGGAAAGAAATATTTGTAAACTCTTCCAACACAATGATGTCGTGCACTGAATGCTTCATCATCTACTGGTGCCCAACCAGTGACTCTTATTTCTTCTGGCAGAACGTGATTCAGAATACTACAATAGTCTAGTTCTTGATTTGTATTATCTTCATCAGAAACGTGACTTTCTTGAGATTCTTCAGAATCGCCACATTTCCCAACTTTTGAAGTTTGTTTGAAACAGCGTAAATTCAGACACATAACTTGTGAGAAAGCACTGACACCTTTGTCAGTCCGACCACATCTAGTATAGTCAGCTTCCTTAACGGAACGAACTAATAGTTTAGTTCTTGATAATGCTTCGAACATTATTTTTTCAATTGTATCATCTAAGCCAGGGTTATCTTGCAATCCCATGAAATCCCAGCCGAAATAAACGACCCTGAGAGCAATTTTTCGTTGCCCATATTGAGCTATGTCAAATTTTCGTTTCTTTTTCCGCTTGTTTTTTTCTTCTATTTTGTTGAATTTTTGATTCAGTTTCTCATATTTTGAATTCAAAGTACTGCCTTTACTTCGGAGCACTTTACACTCCTCTTGAAGATATGTAACCTTTTTTATCAATTCTTCTTTACTTAGTGAAGATAATTCCTCAGAATCCATAAAAATTTCTCTGGCTTTAAAAGTTGATACAGGTTTAAGAAATCTCAAAATATGGATACGAATATAACTTTTGCCAGAAAAAAGTATTTTATTCATACTACAGTACTAGCAGGAAGCAATGATTGTAAGTAAAGATTAATTAATAAATACAGAAATAACAATGTCAGTGATTAAAATGTGACACAAACTTCCAAACATTATAAATTATAGCCTACAAGCAACTTTTATTAAAGTGATGTTTTGACCCAATTCTAGCAAAACGACTCTCAGATTCTGATAGCCTAGACTCAGAAAGTTGATCGAATGATTTCTGTAACAACAATAGGTGTAGATTTAGACTAATTGTCAATAAAATGAGACTTTAGAAACATGTCAGCGTTAAAACATTGTAGAAAAAAACAAATGTAAAGTCATATGTTTTACAAATAAATACAGACAGACAGATGTTATCATATTTTTTGATACATTTCCATAGATAATAGGCAACCTAACTTAGTCTATAATACTGTTATATGCAAATTACTGGACTACTGGCACCGGTATAGGATTTACATATTCATCCCCGGGGAGAGGAAAGCCGATAAGACGGTGTAACCATACGGCGAACCGAGCGTATTCCCAACGCTTAGCACGGGTAGCACGATCAAAGTGACTATAAACCAAGTGAGGAAATGCATTGGTAACGTTATAAGCGCTCTTGTGACGTCACACCAGCCATTTTGTGTCCAGAGTTCTATCACTGTATGATCCTAACTGGGTGTGATTTAAACCTGCGATCGTTAAACAGCCGAATAAAAAAAAACGATGCTCAATAATTCGGACCAAACTTTCGCAGCGGCAAAACGAATTAACATTCTTCTGAAAAATTAATTATCCGCAGATGTTTCTCGGATGACTCGCTCGGCGGTATGGTCAGCATATACGAAGTTAAGGTTAAAGTCATCCAACTTTACTCGATAAATCAACAACCCAATAAGACCAAAATATTAAACAAAAAGATACACATTTTATTATTAAATTACTGTCGCTACTTGCACAGAACCTATTTTAACAAACTGACAGAAGTACAAATTATACTACAGAAACTTGCACTATTTTTGCGGTACATGTCATGATAATAAAATATGCATATCGCAAATTTTCAACAAGGTGTACATTGCCAAAATAATATTAAAAAAATATACTACATGCATGGAATGAAGGATAACGGCGTATATCAAGTTTACAAGAACATCTAATAATCTGGAGTATATAAAATAATATATTATCTATTTGACTTGAGCTCTTGCCGCAGGTCTACTAGCATACCGTTTTTCAATAATTTTATTTATCTCCTCTTTTGCGTGAATATTTAACCTTAAATTAAGAAAACGTTTCAAAATTTTTAAAGCGATATTGTGGCAAATGGGAAATTATATTTCAATCAACTTTATCTGTCAGAAAAGTAACAGGCGAATATATATTATGAAAGGCATTAATATTTGCGCGAAATATAGTTTATACTACGCGCAAAAATACGATTGCTTTTTTGGATGGGTGGCATAAATATTGGGTAAAACTATCAATTTTCAAATATTTATCAGGTGTGTAAGACCTAAAAAGAGTTAGTAACGATTGTAGGCATTCATTGGCATTGACACTTTCCATAGAAACAAACAAACAATTTGAACCCCATGTCTTTATATGGTTCCGCCGGAAACATCAAGGCTAATTTTTCACTGTTGGATATCGATCAAATTACAATTAAGTTTTATCAACAAGAACGTAGAAGACATGATGAAAATTACAATTAAGTTTTATCAACGAGAACGTAGAAGACATGATGGCGTTGCTAGATCACCTAGTAAATATTTTACATTTTCCGACGCAAAAGAATCGAAATATCCTGCCAATAATAAGTTGATAAGAGCTGGAACACCAGTCGCGGCGGCTGTTTTTTAAATTTTGTACTGTACCTTATAATGTACATGCTTCGATGAAATTCATTAGGCCGCACAATGTGCTAGCCATGAGATCGTTTACATTCTATAATTTTTGAAGCAACTGTTGCAAGAGGTGCAAGAGCTTGTTAAATTAAAAAACATTTTTCCGAGTAAATTCATTTCATCAGCTTCTGGAACGATTATTGTAAAACGCAGGCTTCAAACTTTCGGCATGGTGTGAACAGGTATCATAATACCAGTTCAAATAGTACCTGATTTAAACGTATGCATTAGGTTAATGTCGTTTCACACTTATGAAGGAAAGCGATATGTGTTTTTCATACGGCTGTACGGAACGTTGCTACGTAATTGCGTAACGAAGTAATTAGGGAACGTTGTTGTTTAACTCAAGTTGGCGGAGTGGACATGTCAAGAATTGGAGAATATTGAATGAAATAATTTATACAATTCTACTGGTGCACGACAAATTATATCTAGTGTCGAAAGCTATTCTTAACCTATGCAAATGTGACGATGTCATATTAGGTTGAAACAAGCAAATCGAAGTTTTTGTTATTTGATTCGGAAGCTTTTCAAAAAACTTCACGCTTTTCAATCTTGCCGATTTTTGTATGATAAACGCCACATTTTATCTCCATCTCATAATTATTCTCCTAGATTGTCTTTCAAACAATATAAGTTAAAACTTATCTGCATATAATATAAGGTTCACGAGATATGAGGTTTCAAAGTTGCATAACTCACACGGGATGATAAGATAACTATCTCAACTTTCACGAAACTGCACGATACCAGTATGATTACACGAGGCAAATAGCAAAGAAAAATATTGAAATTACTCGAATAAAATGCAAAACAGTAAAAAATCTTCAAACAAATTGACGTCCGATATGCATCATTGCACTCGGTGTCTCCACTTGGTTTATATTACCGCTGTGAAGCTAGTAGAATTTGACCTTTGTGTGCGGCGAGGCGAAAAGGTCAAAGTTCTTGGCAGAATGGACCTTTCCCCGAGCATGGACTTCCTTGTTTACTTCGTGACATTGGCCAATCAGCAAGATGCAAAAAGTGACGTAACAATGCCCCCTTTTCGCATCCGCTCAGACACTTTTCTCACTCAGACAGATTTTCAAGCGTGATTGTAAACATTACCTCGTTTTCGCGTTTTTGAACTCTATTCGTTAGTTTTCAGTTGTGTTTTGGGAACTTAAATAAAAATCAGATAATTCAATGATCACTCTGTCTTTCTGGGAGTTTTAATTTAATTGCAGTAATAAAAATTAGGCTGTGATAGACTAGCCTGAAATTCTTTACCGGTACTTTTAAAAAACAGATTGTTGTATGCGATGAATCATAATGATGGTTTGAAACACATACCCCATTTTACAGACGCCAACTCGCAAAAGCACTCTTGAAATAGCCTTGACAATTTTGCAATGGTAAAGTATAGGGAGAATTTTCCGAGGGTCAAAGGTCGGGAAAAGGTCCATTGTAGGCGTGTCATTATTTACAACTGAAAAAATGTAGACAGGTAAACTTAACATGCAACCAAGTCCATGCTTCCGAAAACAAACAATACAGTAAAACTAATCCCATACCCGACTTGGAATGGTAACCGGACGAGAGGCCGTGGTTCGCCATATGGATAAGCCGTCTTATCGGCTTTCCTCTCCCCCGGGATAAATATGTAAATCCTATCCTATCCTACATAACAAAAAAGGAAAGATATTTATTAAATAAAACTAAAATTACCATTTACAAAGCAAAAGCATTAATTGCTTGGTAAAATAAGCATAATAAATAGTTAGCAACTAATTTTTTATAAATATCCCGTGTTGATTATGCCTTTATTCATCAAAATTACGTAAAGCGAAAACGGGTTAAATTTTGCAATTTTCAAATATTAATAGAAATATCTTCCGCTCAAGAGGCATAGATTTTATAATTTCATATCAAAGTAGAATATATTAGGTTTATAACACACATTGAACCTAAAACTACTCGAACTTAGAAAAGGGAGTACTCCCTTGTTGAAGATACCCCTATTACTCGAAATTACGTGAAACGTAAAAATGGGAAATTTTGCAATTTTCTAATATTAATAGAAATATGTTCCGCTCAAGAGGCACGCGATTTTATAATTTCATATCAAAGTAGAATATATTAAGTTTATCACACACATTGAACCTAAAACTATTCGAACTTAGAAAAGGGAGTACTTCCCTGTTGAAGATACCCCTTTCATCAAAATTACGTAAAGCGAAAAAGAGTTAAATTTTGCAATTTTCAAATGTTAATAGAAATTTGTTCCGCTCAAGAGGCACGCGATTTTATAATTTCATATCAAAGTAGAATATATTAAGTTTATGACACACATTGAACCTAAAACTACTCGAACTTAGAAAAAGGAGTACTCCCCTGTTGAAGATACCCCTTTTCATCAAAATTACGTAAAGAGAAAAAGGGTTAAATTTTGCAATTTTCAAATGTTAATAGAAATATGTTCCGCTCAAGAGGCACGCGATTTTATAATTTCATATCAAAGTAGAATATATTAAGTTTATCACACACATTCAACCTAAAACTACTCAAACTTAGAAAAGGGAGTACTCCTCTGTTGAAGATACCCCTTTTTATCAAAATTACGTAAAGCAAAAAAGGGTTAAATTTTGCAATTTTCAAATGTTAATAGAAATATGTTCCGCTCAAGAGGCACGCGATTTTATAATTTCATATCAAAGTAGAATATATTAGGTTTATAACACACATTGAACCTAAAACTACTCGAACTTAGAAAAGGGAGTACTCCCTTGTTGAAGATACCCCTATTACTCGAAATTACGTGAAACGTAAAAATGGTAAATTTTGCAATTTTCTAATATTAATAGAAATATGTTCCGCTCAAGAGGCACGCGATTTTATAATTTCATATCAAAGTAGAATATATTAAGTTTATCACACACATTGAACCTAAAACTATTCGAACTTAGAAAAGGGAGTACTCCTCTGTTGAAGATACCCCTTTTTATCAAAATTACGTAAAGCAAAAAAGGGTTAAATTTTGCAATTTTCAAATGTTAATAGAAATATGTTCCGCTCAAGAGGCACGCGATTTTATAATTTCATATCAAAGTAGAATATATTAGGTTTATAACACACATTGAACCTAAAACTACTCGAACTTAGAAAAGGGAGTACTCCCTTGTTGAAGATACCCCTATTACTCGAAATTACGTGAAACGTAAAAATGGTAAATTTTGCAATTTTCTAATATTAATAGAAATATGTTCCGCTCAAGAGGCACGCGATTTTATAATTTCATATCAAAGTAGAATATATTAAGTTTATCACACACATTGAACCTAAAACTATTCGAACTTAGAAAAGGGAGTACTTCCCTGTTGAAGATACCCCTTTTCATCAAAATTACGTAAAGCGAAAAAGAGTTAAATTTTGCAATTTTCAAATGTTAATAGAAATTTGTTCCGGTCAAGAGGCACGCGATTTTATAATTTCATATCAAAGTAGAATATATTAAGTTTATGACACACATTGAACCTAAAACTACTCGAACTTAGAAAAAGGAGTACTCCCCTGTTGAAGATACCCCTTTTCATCAAAATTACGTAAAGAGAAAAAGGGTTAAATTTTGCAATTTTCAAATGTTAATAGAAATATGTTCCGCTCAAGAGGCACGCGATTTTATAATTTCATATCAAAGTAGAATATATTAAGTTTATCACACACATTGAACCTAAAACTACTCAAACTTAGAAAAGGGAGTACTCCTCTGTTGAAGATACCCCTTTTCATCAAAATTACGTAAAGCGAAAAAGGGTTAAATTTTGCAATTTTCAAATGTTAATAGAAATATGTTCCGCTCAAGAGGCACGCGATTTTATAATTTCATATCAAAGTAGAATATATTAAGTTTATCACACACATTGAACCTAAAACTACTCGAACTTAGAAAAAAGAGTACTCCTCTGTTGAAGATGCCCCTTTTCATCAAAATTACGTAAAGCGAAAAAGGGTTAAATTTTGCAATTTCCAAATGTTAATAGAAATATGTTCCGCTCAAGAGGCACGCGATTTTATAATTTCATATCAAAGTAGAATATATTAAGTTTATCACACACATTGAACCTAAAACTACTCGAACTTTTGAGCACGATGAGCTCATTGAGGTGTATATAGCATACATAACACTGTATGTCAGGGATCAGCAACCCACGGCCCGTGAGCCGGATCCGGCCCGCGAAATAGTATAATCCGGCCAGGGACGCTTCACTGAATTATTGGACACGTAGTGGACATAGCGATCGTTTCAATATTATGTTGTTGTTGTTGTTCTTAGTGTCCTTGTTCTTTGACACGTTTTGAAGAAATCGCTTTTCTCTTCGAATACTGGACCAATTGCTTTGAAATTTTCAGTGGTTGAAGATAAAATTTTTCTCCAGAAGGCTATTACTTTTTTTTCTCGCTATGACGTCATCAAAATTATGGCCACTGGGTGGCGCTACGTGTCCATATATTTGAGCATAGCTCTCTTGTAGTAACAAAATAGTTGTTTTGACAATTATGTTCTTTACTTAACAGAATTTATTGTGAGACAAGTATACACTATATTATATATATCATAATCCAACAAGTATAAAATTCACAATTACTCGTTTAATGAGTCTATAATTTAATTACAAGAGAGCTATGCTCAAATATATGGACACGTAGCGCCACATAATTTTGATGACGTCATAGCGAAAAAAAAAGTAATACCCTTCTGGAGAAAATTTTTATCTTTAACCACTGAAAATTTCAAAGCAATTGGTCCAGTATTCGAAGAGAAAAGCGACTTTTTAAAAACGTGTCAAAGAACAAGAACAACAACAACATAATATTGAAACGATCGTTATGTCCACTACGTGTCCAATAATTAGACAAATGGCAACAAAATGCAGAAAAGTTGATGCTGCAAAGGTTTCAATAGCGCCGAAAATAGTCAAATGAAATTTTGAGATGCAATGCAATGAAAAAATAAATCTATATTCTATTCGAGAGATGTATCACTGCTTGATTTTCATTGTATAAATATAAACTATCATCCGTTCGGTTTTCAATTTTCTAAAAATATGTGCGGCCCGCCAATGACTTGCAACTCTTAATTTTGGCCCGCGAGCGACAAAAGGTTGCCGACCCCTGCCGTGTGCTCACTCCCTCTGTCAGATGTTGCTCGGGCAATTCAGCAACATTAAATTGCCACGCGGGTCGCAGTTCATAGTGCCACCCGCTCACTCATAGCTATAATTCTATAGCACGTAGCACCTGTAGCCTACGTAGATATGATAATACCGGTGCAATAACCTGGTACCGGTATCGCGTACGAACAGTACCGGTACCGATACCCAGTTAGCGTGAATACCGCTACGGTACCTTACCTATGCGGTGACTGAGGGATCAGTCATTCATCAAATAAGCTACTCTTTTAACTAATAATTTAAGTGAAGTTTTGACCCAATTTTAGCAAAACGACTATCAGATTCTGATTCTCTCAGAAAGTTCATGTAATCAACTTTCTGAGAGAATCAGAATCTGATAGTAGTTTTGCTCTGTCCATTTCCATATTTTTTGCATCTGGCAAAAAATAGCATGGCACCATTAATTTCGAGATTGTCTATAATTCCCGTGTACCTATATATATATCATGAAAAATAAGCTCATGGTACACAGTTTGAAATTCTAGAATCTAGGTTTGTTTGAACACAATTAGTGTTAGGAAACAATCGTACCTATGAATTTCAAAAGAAACACCAACTGCTAGTATAGAGTCTGTTAACACACTAACAAATTTCAGGCCTACCTGCACTAACATTTAATTGGACTCCGTATTTTTCGAATATTTCAATAATTCCTTAACCCGATTTTTCGGTGTTTGTATCCGGGTTCATCTTAGTTTTGGCCCATTCTGTATAATGCTACAGTAGAATTTTTTATATATATCATACTGGGACACTACAAAACTTTGGGCACAAACTGTATAAACCAGTGAAATTTAGTATATCAAAGAATATGGCAAGATTCAATGATTTTTGGATTTCTCGTTTTAGGCCTTTGAGACACACAACAGAAGCTGCATGAAACTGGTTCAAGGTATTTTTTGGGGTATGTTGCTATGGTGAATAAAGCGTTGAACGTTGAAGCTGTAGACTAGTATTATCACGAAACAACACGCCATAGATTAAAAAGGAATCATAACATATTACGTCAAATGGGCAATTCCCCACAAAATATTGCAAGCAAACTTCATCAAAACAAAACGTAAAACTGAAATGACAAATAATATTACACTTCTTGTAAGTGCCCAGTTCGTTGATAGCGTTCCCAATCACCCTGTTTGACAGCTAACATTGCTCACTTGCAGGCAGCGTCAACATGGGGACGATTTCGCCCACTTTAGAAAAACCCGTGTTTTGATGAATCTTTTGGCTTTCAATACATATACCAATTTGACGTAATGTGAAATTGAATGAAACTCAAAAAATTTCATTTTTAGCACGGCGATTCTGCCCCTTTTCTGGATATTGATAGATTCAACATACTAGGAGTTTCACTAATTTAACTATTTCAAATAAGCAACTCAAACAATCTTTTTTATTCGTTTTTCAGAGGAGGGACAACACTTAACCAGATGTTCCGTATTTCATCGAATGATCACCCCTACAATTTTCCGCCACTTGACCACCCAAGTAGATTTTCCAATAAGCAATTTGTCGCATTGATATTAAGTCCGCTGAGAACAACTGAGAATATCTGTAACCTTAAATTCGAACATGATTACCTACCATGTTATCGACCGTCATTAATTATAAATTATCGGAAAAATATGAACGGCATATTGTCTATGTAATATCTATTGATCTCAGGTGATAAAGAAATAAAATATATTATGGATTAGTATTAATAAACTGAAAGATTTTTTGGATTTAGTTGGGCATATGATATTTACAAAATAGTCGGAAGAAAGTCGATGAGATGTAATAAAGAAATCGCGTGAAATTAGGTGTCTTTCCAACTGACCGGCAGAAAGTTTCAAACGAATGAACACATTCAAATTTTAGGAGACGTATTTACACAGTGTATTGCTGCCATTTCTTGGTTGCTGCTCTTTGGATTGTTCTTAACTTGCGTTAACTCTTCCATCAGCACCCTTTGCATTTTTGTTGTGGGCTCGAGACCTTGCAATGTGGAAACTATGGTAAAAGTATCCATATTTTACATTCTGTTTCATATAACTCGTTTCAATATGGAATACTAAGTTGCTGAATACCCCATATAAAAATGTAATTATTGCACCAAATCCCAATTTTTTCCTTTTTCAAAATGTTGCCACAATCACGTATTACTTTATCTAAATGGGATATATGAATATACAAGTATTATATATACCGAATTGGATAAAAAATGAAAATAATTATCGGTTATATGAACGAATTGTAGGAAAGCCTCAATTCAAACGATTTTAAGTGGCAAGACAAAACAACAAGGTTTGGTCACTTTTTTAGTAAAATGAAAAATCCATATTTTCCTATACGGACATATAAACCTTAAAAAATATATCATTAACACACTGAAACCTAAAATATAATTTACCTCAAATTTGATCAAATATACAAAGGCATAATGCATTTCATTACAGTGTCCAGTTCATTTGCATATGGATTAATCGATACATTTTATTGCTGTATGATGGATTTATCGTTTAGTCAGAGCAGTGTTTATTAGTATTGGTGAATTGCGGTGTTGAAAAAATCGATGTAAAACGAGGAAATTATTCTCTTGTAATAGACATACGTACCTACGTTTCGTACGAAAAAAAAGAAGAAGGTGTATCTAAAAATTAAATGCCACTTTTTGAAAGACATACAAAGGCGAATGAATCAAACTCAGTAATACAGACAACTTTTCATTGAGCTGAGTAGTTTATGTAAACTAGATAGATCTGCTAAGATGTTTAGCAGCGTGAAACAAGCCGTTTCAAGTGATCAGGTACTAATGTCCCTGAAACGAGTGGTAGGACGTCAGGGCGAAAGCTTCGGAAAAAGCAGTCATGTAGTGTCAGGGCAGACAAATCTCACAACGGGTGAAAATTTATCCAATTCATCAATGTCACTTAGTTGCTCTGATCCAAATTTCTCTACGATTAATTTGGAGGGTACTGACAACAGACGACAATCTTGTTTTTCGATACCGGCCACCAAACCCAAAATATCGTCGTGGGATGCAGGGTGGAATGTTACAAATTCGATTCAGGTGAGTACATAATATTAACTGATCTGGGGGTAGTAAATGACGTTTGTGTAGAAATTGCGTATGACTTTGTATTCTATTCATTCATCTGCGTCAAATGTCTGAAGCAGCATCTGCTGAAAGCAAATCTGTTGAGCAAAACGTTACACCCAGAGAACAGATGCGCCGATCATGCGTGATTGTTACGGACTTTTTACGACTCTTTGGGACCAATAGTACAGCTTCTGTGCTTCATATATTGACTCCTAAAATTTCGTTCTAAAATTGTTGTATCTGAGGCCTGAACTTCATATCGCTACCTCAAGAAGAAAATGTAAAGCTTAAACATATAGGTAATTATGCCTATATTAAAATCAGTAATCAGTAGTTTATTTCACACCATACTTAAAATAGGCACAAACATACAAATTGCAATAAATTAAATTATAAATTGGCCATATTTCAGGGTGAAGGAGACGCGAGAAACCAATACTGGTTATCGAGCAGCGGCACCTAAATTAAAATACATATAGATAATCGCAAAAGGCCAATATTGAGTGCCAGAGTATAACTGATAATTCAATTGAACGAGTTTCCAACAATTTCCAATTTTTCCCAGGGAATGTTCGTACTTGGTCTGCCATATGCTATTATGCACGGAGGATACATTGGGTTACTTCTCATCGTTTTGACCGCTGTCATTTGCTACTATACTGGACTTATTCTTGTGGAGTGTTTATACGAAAAAAATGAAGATGAAGAGATTGTTCGGGTAAGAGTTATTTCAAACATATATGTATTAAAATTATAATAAATTATAAAAATATTCAATTATCTTTTTTTGTTGTGACAATACATTAACCGAAACTCCGAAAGAACTATATCTGGCCATTTGAAAGAATATTGCATGGGACACCGCGCATACATAATTGCGTATTGAATAGCCTACCTTTTAATATTCTAATACACAGCAAAGCTCAGCAACTTGCCGTCCTGAAACAAGCATTGTGGGCTTTACAGCGCGCGGGCAAGGTAGAATAAACCTTTCAGATATTGTTGCAGCTTATTTGTGTACTTTTAATATTAACTTGCTGTGTTGTAGTCATTTGCTGAACTTAGCTATTCACTTTATTTTTCAACGAAAGGTACGAGAAAATTATTTTGATGTGGCTGCTGCATGTTGGGGTCGACATCTGGCAACAGTTGTCAACATTGCTCAGCTGATCGAGTTGTTGATGACGTGCGTGCTGTATATCGTCGTATCTGGAAATATGTTAGCAAGCAGTTTTCCTTCGGCCGGAATTGGAGAAGCAGGATGGTATGTTACCAAATAAATGCAATGTCGATTATGGGCATTTGCTTAGTTGCGTACAATGAATTGAAAGTAACATTCTGATTTTAGGTCAACATTTGCCATGCTTATACTCGTGCCTTGCATATTTCTGAAGAATTTACGTGTTGTTTCAAAGTTAAGTATGGGATGTACAATAGCGCAGGCTGTTGTAGTAGTCATAACTTTGATCTATTGCTTGTCGAAAATACAATATTGGGCATGGAGTAAGGTAAGTCTGTACAATTACTGATTTTGATTTTGAAGTTATCATCTCAATTCTACTTTTCGTTTTTCAATGTTTCGATTTTGAATTATGCTGAGGTAATTCAGAAATATACCTATGTATATGTAGAATAGATAATGCGTGATCCCCGAGAAAAATAATAACTTTTGGCACTTACCGAACGAATCAAGTGCGCGTGATAATCTACCATCTTTTCCTTTGTTACCATAACAGTTCACCATACGAGTTTTCAAAACGTCGATATCAGTTATCATTTTTATATTTTTAGTTAACGTTCACAGTGAATGCTAAGAATTTCCCAGTATCGATCGGAGTCATCGTATTCAGTTACACATCTCAAATTTTCCTCCCAACACTCGAGGGCAGCATGGAATACAAAGGAAGTTTCAACAAAATGCTTTATTGGTCATATGGCGCTTCTTGTGGCAGCAAATTTATTTTCGCTTTATTTTGTTTCTTAACTTGGTCACACGAAACGAAAGAGGTGCGTATTACGGTTAGTCGTAGTGAGTAACATCGCTTACGAGACGTGTATTTTTATTTATGAAGCAGTCTAAACCAGAAAGTATATTTTCATCCAATCTCATTCATTTTCATTTCAGGTCATAACCGACAATCTTCCACATGGTTTGCGAGTAATTATAAGCATTGTTCTCGTTATAAAAGCATTGCTGTCCTACCCGCTACCTTATTACGCATCCGTGGAGACTTTTGAACAAAGCATTTTTACTGGAGCAACAGGAGGGTTGGGGAGTTTATTCAAAACCAAGGTTCCTTCATCGATGCTAATTTATTATTGCCAGAGTTATTAAAACACAGTCTAAAATCGATAACGCAATAACTGAGATATCATTCGAGTAAATGTATTCGCGAGAATATGATGTCATCGATGCATATGCTGTAAAGCTATAAGTTCATACAGACGCAATGTGGTCATAATGAATGCGGTTCCGGAACATTGCAACAGCACATATTGCTTTTTTCCAAAATTTTGTTCAAATAACTCATGAAATTGAGTACAAGTCAATTTATGCTTCAAATGCGCGAGGTTTTCGATAGTGCTTGTCTGTACGTCTTCCAAGTACTACGTTTGCACATGAGTATAATGATTCCGAATAAACCGAAGGGTGTAACCTGCAAAATCTTATATTCAATTCAACAGAAAACTTTCTAATTTCAGGCACACCCGTATGATGACCTTTCCGGGAGTGAAAGCATGGATTTTCCATCAAATGAATTAGAAGTGCAAACACCTAGCCAAACCAGAAACATACACACAGAAAAGACCTCACTGAAATCAAAGGTAGAGGACTGAAATTAAAGTTCTAATTAAAATAGCCATAGATATTCGAAAAAGGCAGATTAAGTGTGTTATCTGTAGGCTACCTATTCTAACAAACGGATTTGATTCACTTGGTAGCATCACTGCCAATAAGAAAAATTATATATCGCATTAGCGAGATTTCCTGTGTGATGAATCGACATTCTGACAAAAGTGTCAAACACTTGCCTCATCAATGTGGAACAAGTGCGACACGCACGACTTTTCTGACAGCGAACGTTACAGCATAAAATTCCTTCGTTGTGCTTGTCAGCGGTACAAAATTAACTTGTTCAAAAATAAAGTTAGCTGATGATTTTTCAAACAATCGGATTCCAATCGACTGTGATAACGGCCTATATATATATGCTTGTTAAATCTCCTTTTGGCTACGAATTAAATAAAATATTTCTTTATTTTTATAGATTGTTCTTGACAACAGCGAGCGAAGGCCTGGATGGCTGCCATCTTGTTACAAGCCGGATGGAAATCTACAAATGTGGGCTTATGGACTAAGGCTTCTAGTTGTGTTTGCTACGTATCTCGTAGCGCTCTTCATACCGCACTTTGCCTTGTTGATGGGTCTTACAGGTATGTATATTTCGATAATTATCATGTGCTCTTTCCACATCTTCTCAACCTAGTATATATGTTAATACAATGCCCTGAACAATATATGACATCGCACCCACGAGCGCTTAATAAGGATACAACATAAATCAATTTATATATAAATGCAGGTAGTCTCACTGGAGCGTTATTGGCATTTATTTTTCCTTCGGCTTTCTACTTGCAACTGCGATGGAGAATGTTGAGCCGGAGGCAGATTTTGCTCAACGTCAGTATAGTACTGGTGGGATTCATATGTGGTGTTTCAGGAATATATCATTCGATTCAAGGACTTTACGAGGCCTACCATCCAGTGGATAATCACGTGTTCATTTTCAACAATTCATCCTTTTTGAATGGGTCGGAAATTACGCCGAATATGTTCAACGCAACGACGATATCGCCAATGAAGGATCTTATTCTATTCAACGAGCCCGGCCCATCTCCAGATATTGATTGAATCGATTTTCAGTCAACTACGAACGCTACTCGACATGTCTATAAATATCCAAGCATAAAATGCTGAGCTGCTTCGAGCGCGATATTTTCTCGAGCACATAGAGACCCTGAATGCCGAACTGATTTTACCTCTTAAATTATAACATTTTCACAAGCATTTTCTTCAGAATATCGCTTTTTTATTATTGATCTTGCTCGTATATATATATTATCCAAAAATTCAACATATGCCCTAGTCTAGTGCAATGAATTCTTAACCATAATTATAAAATTTGACACACACAACACCTGTCATTTCTATACTGTATATACACTTTATTGCTGGTTGTTTTCTTTATTTGAAGTGACAAATAAAATAACTCTGACTCATTGGAATAAGGATGTTCCATATTGCCAAAACTATAAAACAAATTATATTATTGCGGCACACACGGGCCTCACAACTGCCCTGCTGTTGGCAACCGAGCGTGGTGGCTTCGTCGAAGATTAAAATATCGCACGACAGTGCACATCATGCCCACTTGATTCTATCAAATCAAAGATATTGATCGTCTGTATAACTGTCAAGTACACATCGAAATCAACTGAAGTTTATTATCGCAGCTACAAACACAAATTTTAACGAACTCAGGAGTTTCTCCACCGTTTCTCAGAGAGGGTCCCTTCCCGTAGAGAAAAATTAGCCCATCAGTATTTTTTGATGACAGTTGCTTGATTTTGAAGACGATTGCACGCACCACCGGAAAAAAAACTTAAAAAACGTTTTTGCGGCAAGGGTCCGGGGAACCAAAAGCGTGCAAAGTTAGCAATCAACAAGCTCGAAATGAAGCGAGGTCGCTGTTGAAGATAGTTTGGGAAATCAGCACAAGCACTGTAATGCGTGCTTTCTATGCCGTTGATAAACTCACTCATTTTTCATATCTCGACGCCTATGTACTCCATCCTAAATGTAGATAATAAATTTTAAAATTAGCAATTACTACAATCGGACCCAGCAGCAGCATGTTCACAAGTTTGTAAAGACAGGGTTTATCAAAAACTAGTCAAATGCTTTCAGTTTTCCAAGTTTAATTTTTCTTATTCATAGAATCTGATCTCGGTCGCATTATATATATTAAAACAATGAATGGATAGTTCAGAACATCTCGAATTATTCAGTTCTGGCGTTTAAAACAAAATACAGAATTTCCGAGAGATTTGATATTCTTGGGACCCCGATATTCTTCATAATACTCATCCGATGGCAAATTTATCATACGATACACTAAGTAGTCTTTCCATCTACCCAACGTCCGTTGGGGTGGGCATTAAATTAACTTCAACTTGCTTTGTACCTTTAGCACAATATGTCCAATGTTGAGTGACCTGCATAGGACACCTCATAGTTTGAAACATGATGAACCACGCATTAAATTAACTTCAACTTGCTTTGTACCTTTAGCACAATATGTCCAATGTTGAGTGACCTGCATAGGACACCTCATAGTTTGAAACATGATGAACCACGAACATGAAATGGTGAAAACAACTTTGCTATCCCCGATCATTAGTATATATTGGAAATTGATATCTTGACCGGCCAAAAATAGGAGACAAACTTAAATGCATCTGTTTATTCTGTATTAGTTGCTAAAATCGATGACATTGTTAAACGTACAAGTTTTATATCACATTTTAATTAAAACAAGGAACGAAATTAGTTAATGAAATCACGTGAATGGCATAGTACAGAAACAAAAGTGAAGGTATCGTTGTTAAAACACACAACTAAGGCTATCAAGAATGTGGCCGGAAATCTTCTGCTTCCTAATACCTTCCTAAACTCTTCTTCGTCATTATTTGTCGATTTCCGAGAAGTCCTCGCAAGCGGTTCGAAAGGTCACTAGAGCTAGCCGACGCGAAATCGCGAGTTTCGAGAAGCTAATCCTGCCTATAGCTTCGAGGTTGTTCGATTCTACGCAGAAGTACGAGGTTTGGTATCCTCCGAATCACTCACCGTTAAGTCAATAATTCCGCTTTGAATGACTTTAGGCATTGTGCGAGATTTTTTTGACGTAATGAGGCCATTTGCAGTAAATTATACCCCGAATTCCCTGCATTTCATCGTCCACTTTGACGCATTTTACGGTAGATTGACAAAAGCAAATTTCGTGTCCAATGACTCTTCCTCAATACTGATCAGCATCTCCGACTGCAGTATCCTTTGACTTCACATTTTTGTGGAAGTAAACGTCAATAATAAAGCCACGTGAACGAGAAAGCACAGGTACACAAGTAAAGGCATCGTCGTTGAACAAAAACAACTTAGACTACCAAGCTTTTCGCCCAAATTCTTTTTTTCTATAAACGACTTTTCTTCATCATCAATCACTGACTTCCGAGGCTTGCGGGACGATTTATATACGAGCCACACTGCAATGGTGCCAAATCGCAAGTGGTTCGAAACGACACTTGGGCTAGCGGACACGAAATTGCAAGTTTTGCAAAACTAATCCTAGAGTTGTGCGTTGTCCGACTTTACGCAGAAATATGAGCTTGTGAGTCCTCCGAGTCACTGATCGTTAAGTCAATGATTCCGGTTTGAATGACTTTAGGCGTTGTGCGCCGCTTTTTTGGCGTAATCGGGCCATCTATAGTTGACGATTCTCCAGATTGACAGCGTTTTTTCACCAACGTTGACGCATCAGACGGTGGGTTCACATCGAGCAAATTTGCAACTTTAGTGGCAAATGACTCTTCCTCAATACTAATCAGCATCTGAGACAGTGGCCCATCTCTCATTTTAGTATCTTTCGACTTCACATATTCGTCGACGTGAATGCCAGGCTCAATTTTCACAAGATGTCTTTCTATTCTTCGAGAGCAGCCATCGCCAGATGGCATTGCATCCATAGGATCTTCGCCTTCAACGAACCAACTGGAACAGGGCGGAGACAGTAACTCTTTGTCGCATAATCCCGATTCTTCATTGGAATTTATAGGCAGCGAACCAAATGAGCACAGTCCCTTATCTATCAACTTTGAAGCTTCTGGAATGCTTTTATTTTGTTCAAGACAAAGTGTTCCGGTACTTGCTTTATCATCAGTTATGCCGCTTGGCTCACATTCTAGATTTGCATCCTCATCCAGAGCGGGCATGATTTCGGAATGGATAGTTTCAACAGAACCATCAATTTTATCATTGCCGTCCCCCAAAGAGGATATAATGTCATCAAAAATGTTTCGTGATTCTGCAGCATTTCGAGATGACGATGACATCGGCGATGCGGACTTTTTAATCTGAGGTTTTCCAACCAAATTGTGAAGCAGCGAGAGTACGTCTTCGGGAACATTGACTATCGTGGGGGATTTACCAGCGTCGACTGACACGGATGAAGGACTGAAGTCGATAGAAGACTCAACTTTTGACGAACAACCTGTTTGATCCGCAACAGAACAATCAAATGCAGATTTCGCCAAGACACCCGAAGCCGGTTTGGCATAACTCTTAAGACATCTAGTTGACGTTTCCGATGATCCTTCTACATGATATTCCAATTGACGAGAGCAAGGTTTCAGGCTTTGGGCAGTATAAATAGAGTTGGACGAGTCTAGGTTTTTGCTGTTACACACTTCACGAACGGGAGTAAATTTTGTGAGTAACTCGTTGAAAATGGGTTTGATACAGACACCAAGTGCATAATTGACGCTAGTAACTTCTTTGGCGGAGTCTAAATTCAAAAGTTTGGCACAAGCCGTACTCATTTTTGCGTGAATTGAAGAAATGTCATGTTGATTATTTTGCAAACTCCCGAGAGCTCGATGCAGCGTTGTTTGCAATGTATTGCCTGGTAAACACGCATTGTTTAAAACTTTCAATTGAATAGGTGAATGCCGTTCCGAGAAACCTTTGCTGATAAGCTTCATTGCAGTTCTTTGGGTCATTCTCAACCTCAACCTGCGAGTATGATTTTTCGATTTATCTGTTGCATGTGACCTTTTAGTTTTAAATGGATATAATTTTACATTAAACTTTGATAGGTTTGTTTTCACAACATGACGTAGACGAGTCAGTTCTCTTTCGCGGGTGACATCGGCTCGAACAACACTTGGTTTCGAAATCACACCGACTAGAAATGGAATTGTTGACGTGGTATTCCCGCCTAACCTCGAAGCAAGGGACGTGGAGAGTGATTTTGTTCCGATTGTTCTCGAGTCTGTAACATGTTGTTTCAGCGGTGGTTCTGCTGATATTACTTTGTTTGTTGAACATTTTAAACCTCCAGTATTAATGAAAGGTAAGGTGCTCAGTAGAGGCTGGGTGTTTACGCAAGACTTAGACGTGGTACTGACAAGATCGGAACTTCTTGCTTGGAAATCACTGCTCGTGGTTAACGATATTTTGGGTTGTGAACAGTAAGAACGAAGTAAAATCTTTGATGAACTTTGAATTTTTTTTCGTTCTGAAGTTTTGTCTCGATGGGACTTTACACAGGATATGAAAATTTTGTGCTCAGAGTCTGGTGAATTCACACTAAAGTGAACAGGCTTGGGATTATCTTGTTGCTTCTTCTTCTCAGGGTCACACAAGTTTTTATTAGTACCCAAATCAACATACCAAGTGTTCCGGTATGTTGAAGCTATCACAGGCGAAGTTTCGCAGGAATTTTGCAAAGTAGGTATCAAGCTCACAGCAATCAATGACTTGGTACCTCCATCAGAAGCGGGGGCATCTATGAATGACGACACAGAAGAAAACAAAGATGAGGGGTTTTCGCAAGAAACTGCTATACTCTCGCTGCTGCTGGACTTTATTGCAACATTATTTTGGATCGAGAATCGGGAAGTCTTCAAATCTTCTTCCAACGTTGCTGCATGCCCGGATTTTTTTACTTTATGATCTCCTTCAGCAGTTACGCCCGGGATCAAATTTAAATCATTACCAGCTACATCCTCAGAGATATAAGAATGAATTTCCTTTTGTGTGTTTCTTTTTAATATATCTGATTCACAAATACCTTTCGAAATAGGTACCAAGTTCACAACGTTACAATTTGAGACTTCGCAACTCAAAACTGAAGTGATAGCCCCCATCAATTTTGACTTAGAACAAGATAGAGATGAGCAAGTTTCTACGGAAACTGGTATACTTTGAGATGAATGGTTGGAAATCTTCAAATCTTGCCCGGACGTTGGCATAATTCTAGACGCTTTCATTTTTCGATATTCCCCAGAGAAGGTTACACCTGTAGCCGAAACGTCTTTGTATGGAACAGTATTATGTGAAATCAAATTACAAGCATTCTTGGTTACATTCGAAAAGACTCTATTTGGGATAACTTTTTCAGTCACATCTGATTCATAGCTCATTTTCGAAGTAGGCATCGAGCTCATAACATCACCATGGGAGAGAACAGAAGTTGAAACATTCGCGAATGCTGATACATTTGAAGACACATTCGTGCAATATTTTATGGGAAATTCTATACTCTCATTTTTGTCAGACTTCGCAGATGCAGTATTCTGAGATGAACGTTTGGGGGTCTTTGAATATTGAACCAGTTTTGTCATAAGTCTGGATGCTTTCATTTTTTTATATTCTCCAGAGAAGGTTACTCCTGTAACTGCAATGTTTCGACTTGCGATGTTATTATCTAAAAACGATTTACAATTTTTCCCATCTGCATCCACAGAGAAGGTAGAAACAATTCTTTCCAGTGCACTTTCTGGAAGAACTGATTTACAATCAACTTCTGAAGTAGGTGGCAAACTCACTACATCACCAACCGAAATGCTGGATTTCACAATGGTAGATGATACAGAACATGTCAAAGATGAGTAATTTCCCACCAAAGATGATATACTTTGAGATGAACAGTTGTTGGGATTCTTAAATTCTTTTGGTAGTGTTGTTATACAGCCGGGTGGCTTAATGTTGTGATTCTCAGAGGAGACTACATCTGTAACCAAAATATTTTGGGGTAGAATGCTATTATGCAAAATTGATTTGCAATCATTTCTAGTTACATCCACAGACATTGCAGAAGAAATTTTTTTCTGGGTAATCTCTTCTGGCATATCTGATTTATATGAAACTTTTGAAGAAGTATTTACAAGAGGCAGTTGAGTTCTTTGGCTGAATACCATGGACATAACATTAGACGGTTTTTGAAACTTGACAGCGGTACTTGCATGACATTGGTCTGTGGATAACATAGAGCTCCTAGCTTTATGTTTACCAATAGGAAACACATCATCACGTGTGCCCTTCGTCTGTATATGACCCATATCTGTATAACTGCCAGAACTAGAAACTTGTACTTTAGTGAGGACTGGAGAAATCACTATATGCATATCAGGCGTGTTGCTGGTGAACTTCCTGGCTGAAATCGGGTTACTATATGGGGAAAGGTTTGGATTTGGGCATACATTAAAAACCGGATCGGATTTTCTCAATAAAGCTGGATTTCCGTCACATTGCACCACATTCTGTTGTTGGTATCCACTGCTACATGGAGCATCGATGCATGACCTACGTGTTATTGTAGCAATTATGGCCGATTCTTTGTTGGCAATTGAATTAACATTGGAAAGGTTGTTGCGCAATTGATTCCCATTACGTTGATTCAAATCAGTGTTTTGCAGCAAGATAAACGGTGTAGTTGGTGATGCTAAAGAATTTTCAGTAGTTGTCGAACATAAATTCAGGGACAATGACACAGGTTTCAAAGTTATCGTGTTTGGAGCATTGAAATATTTAGCCCCACCCCCTTGGGATGAAACATTCTTCAGGCCGGTCTCATCAGAGTTTGCTTTTGACAGCCCAGTAAGATTTGAAGTAACAGATAACGGTGGAGTCACCGCAAAAGCTTTCAATCCACTGCTTTGAACTTTTGCTTGGGCAGATGTTCTTTCTACTTTCGGAGATGAAAGTCGCATTGGTAATTTCATCACAAAATCAGGGTGTTTAATATACAAATAGTTTTCGCATGGAAACGGTCCTATTGATTTCTCATTGCCACTTGGAAGAGAATCAGCTGTTGAAGAATCTACGGCCACAAATGATTGACCAATCAAAGCACAAGAACCAGATCTAGACTGTTGTAGATTGGAGAAATTAAAACTGGGCACATATGTATTAGCAATAGATGATGCAGGCAACATTACACATTTTCTTTGCTTCATCCTGTCAGATGCAACCCTCCAGTTAGAAGACGGGGCAAATTTTAATTCAGAAACAACCTCTTCCACAGCTGCAACACAGTTTGCCTCATTTTCATCTAAACCAGCAAGTTGGTATCTATATCCCATATATCTCATATCAGAAAGTGTTGGGCATGAGGATTTATTTGACACATATCTTAAACAATTACTTGGCCTGCTCCTTTGACTTCTATTAATACTTGCTTCGGAGCAGCTCTGAGAATCTTGGTAACGACCTTCAGAAATTGCATAACAATGATCAAAGTGAACATTGGCTAAGCTATGAGAAGAAGAACTCACCACAGAAGATGTTTTCATGCATATGCACCTATTTCCAGTTATGGATGAATCCTGGGAGTCTAATAAAATATTTGGGGGTTCACTATCTAATGTGGAGTCTTCTTCATTACCTGAACAGGTCATATCCTCATGAGTAGATGTCATTATTTTTTGCCCTACAATAGTCAGTTTTGTAATATCTACAGATATTTTGAGTTGTTGGCCAGCACGCAACAGCTTGAGGTAGAATTTCTTCTCTCCAGATTCTGCCTTCTCTGCATCAGAAAATCCCAAAATATCAGGCACATTTTGTTCAGTTTGCTGTCTACTGAAAAGTTGTTCTCGGTCAAGTTCATGCATTTGCCTGAAAATTTTCAAGATTTCTTTGTTCTCATAAGATTTTCACAAAACAGGGGTACTCCCGTAGTGTGTGTACCAGGTTAGGATTAGGCCATAATTTTTTACGATTTTCCCTCAAGAGTTTGGGGACTGGCTGTGTTAGCGAAGTGAATATATCCCCTGCTCATAGGCTGCAGCCTGTTACACAACTTGATGTAAAGTAGGCGAACAAAATTAGTTACCTCCATATCGGTACACACACTCTGGAGCGCCTACATAGGCATATATAAAATTCAATTGCTATTAGTTTTGAATATAGTAACTGTATTTTATTTACCTCCATCCTTTATGAACACAATATTTGATTCCATTGCCTAACACTGCATCCCTCACTTTTCGTTTGTAAATTTGAACCTAAATTTTGTTTGAATAAAAAGCATACAATTATAAGACAAACAGTTAAACTACAAACAACAAAACATTTCCAAACAGTACCAATGTCATCGTTAAGCGATTATCTTTTTGGAGATTCTTTGCTATATCCAAGATGTCATCAGGCAAGATCGAACTACAATCTTCCACATTCCTTGCTCGATTTAAAACCTCTATAAAATAGTCTCCCACATCGGTTGCAATGTACCAGGCATCATGTTTCTGAGGTAGAAAATAGAGACAGTCAGGCAATTCACAAATATTTATTCAAGGGTATGCTAAACACTAGTAACAAATACGCATTAACTTACATTCAACTCGGAATTAAAACTCCGGATAAGTACCAACCAAAAAATGCTCTACGAGGACACAAACACTATTTAAGCAAATATGTGGTGTTTATTACATCTTATAATTGACCGTTAGTCTTGTGAGGGTGCATCTTATTTTAATAGTAACAACTTAATACGTGAAATCTGTATTTCATACAAAGAATATTAATTCACTAGACACCAAGATGACAATAAAATATTTTTTGAATATCTCTAATGGGAAGTAATAGAAGTAGACCACAATCAGAGATCTAATAACATGGGTAAGCATGCAAAACTGGATATATTTCTCTATGAAAGAATCAGGATATCACCACATGAAACAAGTTCGAAGTGACCAAATATAACAACCTACTTCTAAATTAAGATCCATTCCCAAAATTGCCCTCACTATCAGAACTCTATGTTTAAGCCAATCTTCACAGTGCGAAAGAATTTTGAATACTCTTGTGGTTCCAAGCCAAGTTGTATTGTAATCATCAGCCCCTGACAACAAAAATAAACTGGTTTTATATAGGCGGGCACCACAGGCATTGTAAACAAAAAATTGAGAATAAGTCAACAATAAAATAATAGCCATAAAAATAACTCAATCCTAGATAGCTTGTTTTTTTAATTTGATGATATTTAGCTGCCTTTAATCATTATTATAAGTATATGCCACAGAATGATGATAAATATTGGAGTAGTAAAATATATTTGCAAGGCAATTTGAAAAATGTGATAACAAACCTTGAATTGAGGGAAAATGGACAATAGTAAATAGCTCCCAAATGTCTCTCAAAATACTATCACCATGTGAAACAGTTTGATTCTGCTAGAAAAAATAAAAAAACTGCAATATGACTGAGCACACTGAGATTTGAATGTGATTTCAATTGGTATATTGGGCAATATCACTTGAAAAAATTAATATTACACAACTGGAAAAATCATTTGGAAAATAAGTAATTTTTTTTGAACAACAATTAAACCATGCCGAATTTTATTTTTAGATATTTTTATCTAAGTGGCATATTCTGGGCTGCGATAGCAGTTAATTTACCTTTTCGATTGTCTGATGATCCTGATCACACTCATCAGATGATTCTATTATCACAATTCCACCTTCATCATTTACGAAGGATGGCCCACTTTCTTGGCTAAAATTAAAATTACTTTATATCATTGTATTACACAACCAATTTAAAAATAAAGTTGCATTAATATCAAACAAAATGTACAACCTAGATTCATTGGATCTCTTCAAAAGCTTTGTGGCAGTTTCTGCGATACTCATGTTCCCATTGTACTGCTCCTTGGACTTTTTTATTACAGTTTTTTCCTCCTCAGTCGATGAATTACCAAGGCCGTTCTTACATGATGGCGCAATTTTAACATTATTGCGTTGTTTGTTCTCCGATAGCTTTTGATTTGGATTCCAATAATTATTACCAAGGCCTTGTTTTTTCAGAGATTTGCGAAAACTGGCGAGATTAAATTTTCTGGCAGACTCCAGTTTACTGAATTTATTTGGAATATAGTTATTTGATTCAAACATTTTTCTTTTATTTGTTGTAGATGATTCAGGACTGTTTGTAATTTCATTAATGGCAGGACTGCATACTACAGATTTTGACTTGTAAACAAGAGGTAACTTGCGCCATGTTGCCTTTCCCACTGTGGAAAATTCCACAGAAGTAGACTTTCCAGCTATACAATCTGAAATATCATTTTTGCTTAAAGCGTTTAAAGCATGTTCGGCTTGTGAGTGGAGTATTAGTTTCAAGAACGGTGGTGACTTTTCACAATGCGTGGACAAATCATCGGTATTTCCTGATAATGTATTCAAAGATTTGAAACTGCTATCGTGAACAATGGTTGCATCAAGCTTTTGTCCAAGTGCTTGACTACGCTTTTCTTTTACCAAATCCCAGTAATTTTGTGGTGTGATCCAACAATTCATTTTCGTATCTGAAAAAAAAAATAAAAATTTTATAATTATAGAACAATAAATGATGTTGACGACAATTTCTAAAATATTTGCAAAGGTCATGATTTTAACATAAATGCAATGATGATATTAAAAAAAGGTAACATAGTAAAAATACCTAAAGCCTTTCTTCTTTCAAGAGCAGATTGCAATGTTTTAATATAACTGGATTGTGAGGTAGGAGTTTGATATTTAATCTCAGTGGGAGAAGGTTTAACAGTTTCCACTCGAAATAATTGTTTTTGTGAGTTGCTGGATTCTTTTTGTAATAATTCATCTAGTTCTTTGCTCATAAAAACATTATTCGAAACTTCTTTTCTGGCAGAAATGTTGGTGCATTTTGCATCTTGCTCAACTACATTCTCCCAGTGATGATCAATAGTATTGCACTCAATTTCATCAACATGCTGGGATGATTTTGGTTGTGGATTTATTATGCTAGTTTCGAGTTGAACTTCTTCATCAGCCACATCGCAAGTTTTATCCACAGTCTCTTCTGGTTCTGCCTCTTCTAGTCATAAAATGCAATATATTGAAAAGTGTAAGGGTTTTTGGTTATCAAAAATCAACAAACAGTGCCAACTTGAAATGAATGAAACTTGACTTAATTATATCAGGAAACATCATAACATATCCCACTGTAAACTAAAATCAAACTAAGAAAAGAAATAGATTGAAAAGTACTGATGAATTTAATGGTGATTGAATATAAAATTATTTCCCACGTTCATAGATTAAATATCACAAAATTTGTAAAAAAAAAAAATAACTAAAAAAGGATAAAATGAAAAACTAAAAAATACAATTTTATCAAGAAATTTGAATAAACTGAGCTTTCCATTCAATGAGTTCAACTGATATTAATCATCTCATATTAATACAGGACTTTTGTTGCAATTCTTCTCTATATGCCAGAATATTTAAATCACAATTAAGTTGATAAACAGTTATTACCCTGAACACTTGAAATTTCATCATCATCATCATCATCATCACTAACTAGATCCTCTTCTATCAAATTATCAGCAAGTATTCTATCAAATGGTCTAAAAAAATCAATTAGACTGCTATGATTTGTTGTTCCAAAAGCAACAAAAATCTCTATCCGAAAATATTTGAATTGTAAAACATAGTATTGCATTGGAAATCTAGAATCTTGCCACAATTAATTCAATAATGCATAGCAGCAAAATTCAATACTCACTGGGCACAAGTGGTTAGCACGGTAGAAAATTAATTTGCATTAATTCAAACCAAATTCTGGATATACACATAAACTTTTGAAATAATATATATATCTATACACAACGTATCAACAGTATTGGCATCTGCATAATGTAGCCTATTTGGGACCATTGACAGCATATGATTTGATGGCAGTTACAGTAACACATTAACAGAATTTCGCAATTACAGATTCCATTGCAATAAAATTACTTTTGTCAAAAAAGGCTAATCACCGACCAAAAACTACTTCAGTAAAAATAAATTTTACTTTATCTTTTGGTTAATCCCACGATATCCATGTTTTTTTCTAATACTTCGTAAATCTGGCTCTAACATAGGTTGAACTCCATTGCTTGACTGACACTTGTAAGAAATCATTAAACGTAGGTCCAACCATCGACAGTCCATTTCATCATCATCGAAAAATTCACCAACAGATTTATCAAAACAATTCGCAATATCTTCGGACCTAAAAATACAAGTTGCCCATGAGCTTGCATTAGAAAAAGTAGATAAAGTTTTTATCATTTTTTATCACCATTAGGTTTACAAACATTCCTAATGTGTGTTGAACTTAATCTACTATGAGTGTTTGTATGGTGCATTAAAATTTCTTGTGTGCAAATATTAATTTATTTTTTATATGAGAATAAAGCCTATAAGACAACAACATAAAAAGGTTCTTATCCATTATTCACTATATGGAAATAGATTGTTCCTGGTGCATAAAAGCAGAAGATATCCAGCGACCAGTGGTTGCATAAACAGACACAAGTCCTTATTCATAAGCTACAGAATTTGTTCGTGAGTTAAACACAGAATAAATATAATATTTGAGATACAAAACTAATTTATATGAAATTACTCAGAATAGAATTTACATATTTATCCCGGGGGAAAGATAAGCCAACCATATGGTGAAGCATGTCCTCTCGTCCAGTTACCAATCCATGTTGGGTATGAGATTAGTTAGTTATTTGTTTTCGGAAGCATGACTTACTTGAATGAAGTGAATGTAAAGTCATCAACATGATCAAGTTTAATTGCCTTATTAATTACAGATGCATAACTATCAAGTGATCTTCTTTTTCGTCTTTTTTCCTTGATATGGGGTTTGGTATTTGCCAATGAGAATGTATTAATTATCTTTATGTCTATATCACTGTCACCATTCTCCGAAGATGTATTTTGATTACAATTTTGGCCATCATTGTATAATCCTTCAGGTAGTTCTGACAAATGTAAATAGCTTCGATCTTGAAGAATGTGATCAAGAGATTCCAATTTGACAGCAGGTGCATGATCATCAGAAGCCATTTTAGTTCTTTCTCTGAAGTCTAACCTATATCATACATCTATTTATAAAAAGATGAAATAATTCAATATTATGATATTCCTGAAATTCAACACATGACATATGGACATATGCCTGTGGATAAGTGATTACAAAAATAATCAACAGGGTTAGAGTTTCATATGGGAGAGCAGAGGGATTTTCATAGAACCGCTCAATAATACCTGAATACAGTGATATGGAGAAAAAGATTGCCTCTGGTTCGGTTGCAGTTCCAGTCCATGTAATGTATGAGAATAGTTAACCAATTAGGCTATTTATTTTCTGTTGTACGGACTTGATGGAAGCAAACCAGAGGCCATCAACAACAGTTCATGCATAAGCAATGCTTAACATTTTCAGAATTTATTGTGTGATACATATTTTATATACACAAGCAACAAAACAAAGGCTGTTATGGTGGCCATGATTTGAGCAATCGAATGCTCATAACGTGTAAATTTCCAATAGATTCTATCTGTCCGTCTTCCGAAAAGTCCGCATACACCATCCGCAAACATCAGAGCTACCTAAAAAACCATACAACTAAATAACGTGCGACCGTAGTGTGCATGTCACGCTATTTGATATGGCAGTATGGGCAAGACTGCGATATAAAACAATGGGCACTCCAGATGTGTGTGTACCGATATGGAGAGAACTAATTTTGTTCGGCTATTTTACATCAAGTTGTATTAAGGGACTAAAATCTATTGTCAGGGGGCTCACTTGGATAACACAGACAGTCACTGAACTCGTAATAGAACTAAAATACGGAAGATCGGAATAAAATTATAGCCTAACCCAACCCTGCGGGAGTATCAAACAAAGAACATTTCGCTATATCCACTCAAGAAAATATGAGACAAAACGTATTTTGTCAGAGTCCGGTCCAAATTTTTCTGTAAAACGATTTTTTTGGAGTGCATCACGTTCTTCTATTTCATAAATAAAACTTGATAACTGGAAGTCGAAAATAAATATTTCTGGCAACTGAATATCGACCACGTGCTGAGGATGACGTATTTGTTTGTTTCAATTTCATCTCGACGCATCGTTCCGGTTACGAATTGGGTCTAAATATCGTGGTCGATAATAATCAATCAATCATTTTATTTCGGCTCTCTGACTAAAACGGAACAATACAAAAAAGTAAACAGACAACAAATACAGAGATACCTGGAAGGCGAGCATAACTTCAAATAAAGTTAAAAAACGTACAAGTACGTGAATAATAATACCTACCAATAATCAAATCCCATGAGATTCCTGGACTCTCCGTCACCATAAGGTGGTTCTCGTAACCGCTGGAAAGCTGCCAACATCCTTTATAAACGAATAACCTTATGAACTGGTCGAGACGAGTAGGGGAAGGCGAGACATAGGCCACAGTGGAAAATCAGCTCTCACACACGTACTACAACCGGAATCAGGTGTGTTGAAACCGTTGGTTGAAACTAAGATTTCCCCATCTCTATTTTTCTACTTACTGCTCGACCTTGCGCTGAGTTGGGCAGGCTTTCCATAGCCCTGTTTAGTTATTATTAGTTAAGTCATGCTAAGACGTTGTTGAAAAATGTATAAGTAAGTTATTAAACACTTGTAGATCCTTACCACGGATATGGGCCGTGAGACGAAGCCATGAAAACGCCCAGAAAATGAGTTTCGTAGCGCACATCTGGTAACTAAATAAATTCTTCAGTTTTGTGTGAAAACGAACATAATGAACGCATTACAGCTTGTTCCACAATCCTGGTGCGAAATTGAATATAAGAGGTTCCCGGAAATTCAATAACCATAAGTTTACAACACATACATAAGAATTATGCAATTCGAGAGCCCTACAGCACACTAACACAAATGTATTCCTGTAATGTTTTGCCTGACCAAAATCGGACTTCCTCAGTCAATCATAATTTATTAGGTAGATTACGAAAAATATGGCATACATGTAACCAACAACAAAAAATACTTTAATTGTGTGACAGGAGTTGGGCGTGACCTCGAAAGCAGCGACACCAACAACGCTGATTCACATTTGCGAATAAATTTTATGTAATAACCACAAGCAGTTTACAACAAGAACAGCATAAAAATCTACATCCATTTTATAGAAGCTATCGAACGTATTTATTTTTAAGCAATGAAGTCACAAATTAACATCGTGAGCACGAAAACACAAATAAATCAGTTATTTCTCACTTAGAAATTTACAGCAAAAGTCAAGAAAATTAAATGAATGTACAATATGTACATAACATAGTGAACAGAAATATTACAATTAATCTTTTTTTAGTTTATGTGGTTATGTATTTGAACAAAGGCAATAATATTTCTAGAAACAGGACTACGACACTAACAAATGTCCGAAAAAAACAACAAATAAATGATACTTATTAAATCAACTGTAATATATAATTCACTTTCTTCTGAATTGTTTTCGAAATCCACTATCTCAAAAATCGACTTTTCCTCTATAAGTGTACTGTGATTTTTGCAGTCAATACAAAAACAAAAATCTGTGCAATTTAAGTTGATTTTGGCACACTTTCATAAATTATTTTGACTATTTTTCTTACAATTGCAGTTTGCCAACTCAAGAACTGATTTGAGGGCCACATGCTTCTTCAGTGAATCATTGTTGGGTGGAGAGTATAATCCTTATGTTTGACAGTGTTAAATCAATGACATTAAACAACATGATGCGCAACTCCGGCATTTTTGTCCGAAGATCGTATTCGATAGCACGCTCCAATGCACATACTTGACGAGACGTAAACGAGCGGATGTGTGCTGCTTTCAAGGCGTAGCACGAATGGTGTTCATGCCTGCTTTGACAGTTGTTGTCGATTTTAATGATATTTTGGAAAGTTAAGGTGAAAAGAAATACTCATTGTTAATTGCTGCTCATTGTAACATACTATTGCGCATTCACTTTTATTTCCGTATTGAATCAAAGTGTTAACAAGTTCACCTAACATTTCACTCATACCGGTCTATATTGTATAGTCTGATCTCTCAAGTATTTGGAGCCACGAATGCTTATAATTTTCGGACTAAACCCTTTTATTAGTTGGTTTATATACCAAATTCAGTAAAATATTTTTTACATAAAACATGAGATATTGGATTTATTAGCTTTTCCATTCTAAATCATATAGACTGCTTTATTTATTCTTAAACGAAAATTAATAAATCTCCCCTCTTTCTTCAGATGTGAAAGTTGTGGACAAACCTGTCTAAGCATTGTGAGACTCCTGCAATACAAGAGGCAATAGCAGAAATAGTAAGTATATCAATCAAGAAATTATGCCGACATAAAGCAAAACTTTGAACTATTCGTCTAATCTCAATTTCCTATTATTTATTCACATAGCTATAGCAGAAGGGGAGATGGCGACATATCAGTGACAGTCTGATTCCAGGAAATATAATTAGAGTACTCCATAAATGTTTGCAATAGAAAAACAACCTATGGAGGCATGCAAAGACATTTGACCCTCCGGTAGAGTTGTGTATGGCCCCCACATCCTGCAGGGCTTGAGGAAAATAACTAAAAATTCCAAAGCGTAAGATTGCATAAGCGGTCTTATTTGTAAAAGGCACAAAACACGCCAGACAAACTTAAAACAGCTTTGGAAAATGAGGATTACGGGTAACTCACTGCACCTGTGTTATATTTGGTTTATCAACTTTTGGTAGTACTATAGAAGAAATTCCGGAAGGGGTATAATCATCATTCATGATAAAATACTATCTTATATATTTTGGACAACTTCAATCTAGACCAAGGATCTCAAAATCGCGCCCCCAGAGAACTTCCAGTGCGGCCCTCGAACGCTTAACAATAATTGTAATAGTATTTTGGAAGTTTTTTTTTTATCTAAATGTAATAAATTTTTCAAACCTTTTAAAGTGAAATTGATTATTCACACAGAAAACAATTTACTGAAAGTAGTTTTGGAACATTAATTTTTTTTGTTCACATTTTGACCCAATTAAGAATACACATCAAGCTAGCAAAACAATACTTGAATAAAACACTTGAGTGATTAAATCAAACGCAAAGTACATGAAGAAGGTGGCATTTTCAAAGAAAATGAGAGTTGCAGCATTTCTGCTTTTTACAAAATTCTGAAGCACATTGTTTAATTTGTCATATTTCCATCAATACAATGAAAAAACACAATAAGCTCAGCAGTCAATATGACAAATTCGAAGACCAACTTCGAACAGAAAATTTCCATGTGTTTGTATATTAATATAATTATACAACGACTTAGTAACTAAAAATCAATATCAATAATAATTCAAGCAATCCTATGCCACGCAATGTGGTGCGAAATGTCTTGTTGAAAAAATCTGTCATTTGTTTTTTTACTGATCTATACATTAAATGATAAAAGTAACTTTTTTGCATTACTGGAATTAAAAAAAACTTTCGCAAAGATCCAGATTAACCCATGATCATGTGGCCTCGTTAGTTAGAGTTGGTACTATAAAATCATTTCAGCGTGGCCTTAGTATGCTGGTGACACAAAAAGATGCCAAACGTCAGGACAAATGGAATTATTAAAACATTGAGTTTATACTGTGGTATTTTTGTTAATTTTAGGTTCATATATTTAGATTAAGTTATTTTTAGTGTATGTATTATTCTTTCCTTATTCAAAGCTTGTTCAAAAATGATTTTGATGGTTGTACATAGAATTTATGATTTTTTATAATAAATACAATAACTTGCAAATGTTGCAATAATAGTGGAATGCAAATATTAATATGTAATTGCATTTGAAATTGAAGAAAATAATAAAACTTAATCCAACTGTTTAGTTGCATCACAATATATGTCACAAACTAAAACTATCTTAAAAGTATCTTCTAAGTATACATTATCAAAAACTGTTTGCGGCTCTTTTTACAATTTCCAAAATGCAATGCGGCTCTCGAAAACCCATGAGTTTGACACCACTGATTTATTCTAGACGATTCAAGCATTGCTTTGGGAAATAATATCACTTCAATTAAATTGAAATAATCTTGCTATATTAAATACAAAATCGTTGCTATCATAAAGATAAACCAATTCAGCCACTCGAAATATATTGGCCTTCACAAAGCAATGGAGGCAAAATGAGAGTTCATGAGCTATGAACATTGTTCTATTCTTGTCTTGAACTTTTCATACTCCACAGCCCTATTAATTTTTTTTTAATTTTAATTACCATGTGATGGTCATACATATCTTTAACTTGTATTTTCTGTCATGAATGTATATACAATGTGCCAACTATAATAGTGTGCATATTTTGCTTCCAGATGACATAAATGTATTGTCTTGTATTACTCAGCTTGGAGTATTGACAAGAAAAAGGTGCCAGTAATTAGGTAGAATTTTTTTTAACTCTTTGTTATAGATCAGAATTCACAATCAATAGGAATTATAAACAGCCAACAATCAGTGAGAATTATATGCGAAATCCCTCAGAATAAATTTGTCTAAAATCGGAGGAAGGCAAAAAATATAGGTAGTTTCCATCCACACAAGCATTTCAAGAAGACTTGCTCGAGCCAAACTAAATGAGCATCGTCAGGTGATCGGTAAGGCTGCAAGTTGAATTCAGCCCTGCAACCTCCTGCATAGAAGATAATATTAATTAGTGGGCTATGAGCTAAATTCCTAAATTTAAACAAACCTATCTACGATGCATTATGTACCAGCAATGTTACCTACGATTAACTGAATATGTAATATGTCTAATAAATTCACCTACAAAAGCAAGTTCGATAGGTGCAAACTTTGTGTTATGGAATTGTATCGCAGCACAGTTTTGTATGACACCCTCTTTAAATGAAATTTCAATGATTAAGCGCAAACATTAAAATTACTAACTTTGAACTTTGTCATTATCTGCAAAATGTTCCACACAAATCTTTCCGCTATCGCGTTTGTAATCTTCTCTGATAAAAAAAAACGTCTATGATGTCCAGAATTGCTCTTTACAGCTTGCCTGTTATTCCAGCTTTCCAAGTAAGCAAAACTTCTTAGATATAGTGATTATTTTGTTTCGTTACAGGCGCAAAAAGGCAGGTACTACACGTAAAAAAGACGCCGAGTAGCAAGAGCGAGCGGAAAACGGACGCGAAAGGCGACGAGAAATATGTGCATTGGAGCGTATCATGAAATACAATGTTTTGCCTGTAGTCTTATGGAGTGACGTCAGAGTTGCCTATCATGTTGTTTAATGTCATTGGTTAAATAGACGTGCCCTGGTATCATTTACATTCTTCATATCCTCTTCAAATTCCTCAGCTTTATTTATTAATGCCTCGTTAACCTCAAAAGATCTTCATAGTCGAGGGAAATGCATGCACTAATGTGAAATGCATGTATGCTCATTGCATGCACTACAGTCCAGCAGTGTTTGCATACCATTACTAGACTATATCTACACTAAATTTTAATATATCACAGTCTGAAATGTCCTATGACAGTATGAGTATGGACTATAGCAGTATAGACTATATTTTAAAACATCAACTGTTTGTCTACAACTTGATTTCTCACCTCTCAATCGTTTCCAATGTTACCTTTCTTTCCACTCCGGCATAACTTATCATTGCTTCCCAGGTTCTTGTCGACTCTATGAATTTAGATTTAGACCAACCGACAGTAGTAAAATTGAATAATTTCTTCTCTTTCACACAATCGTGCATTACCGTACAGAAACAGCCATTCATTTCTATTTCCAAATATGCTGTGGCCTATATAGTAGTATAAGTCTGCTGAATAGTCAAGAAGAGTCATTAAATTAATCATAAACATTTCATGCAAGCCAGAAAATATCGTTGTTTGTGACATATTACAGTATTATTCTAGTTCCAGCCTTCCTTGGAGTTACCGCTCCGTACCTATTTAACAACGTCTTATGAGCTAGTGCTCAACTAATATTGCTATTTATGGTAAGGATATACAAGTGTTTAATATCTTACCTATACTTTTCAACACCTCCTTAGAATAACTGAACTAATATTACCGGTAACTGAAAAAAACTATGGAAAGGCTACTCAACGCAAAAGCGAGCAGTTGTAGTACATCTGATATTCATCCGACCACTGGGGATCCACCTACAGCTGACTAACTTGACTGTTACGTCGTGCAGAAGTCTGCGTTCATTGGCCCATGATACCGGAAAAGTAGAGAAAAGAGGACAGATGGTAACACATATTTATTGTAGTAAAAGCGTCTTTTCTGTAAAACGTGCAACTTTTAGAGGTGGGAACAAGGCAATATTTGTTACTAAATTTCTAAGGAACATTTTAAAATCATTTTCAGGTAGTTACCTGATGTGCGCTACGAAACTGAAAGATAAATGGCCTCGGCTCGCGGCCTACAGCATACTAACCATGGATTATGTTTGATTTCAGCCTTTGTGTTAAGGTGAAGAAATGGGTGAGTAATTGTTTTTCAAGGTTTAATCTCTAAATAGTTATTTGGTTAAATTCGGGTTATTTTCCTCAATTTTGAGTTTCACCCAAAATTTTTATTTTGTTCTAAGATAAATTTTCTTCTTAAATTATTACGAGATGACTTCCACTTTTTTCCGTTTCGAGATGTACCCACAAGAGTGCCCATTCTAAAAGCAAACGACACAACCCTTTCAACGGGTGATACTCACCAAAAAAGCTAATGCTAATCGATTCGATCTTGGTCTATCCATTCTTAAAACTACCTACCCTTAGCGATGAGTTAATTATACAGTCCCGATGCACCCGGAGATTTAACCAAATTCGGTTCATGGTTGTACCAGTCGATGACAAATTGCCATGGGAATATCAATCACAGTTGGTACTATCGAAAAAGAGGACAGCAATTGAACCTATTTCTAAAACACATAGCAACCGTGATAAGTCTGTTATCATTGCGCTGCCTGATTTCATTTTCTATATATATAATGGTTATCTGCTATTTGGATCAATTTGATTGTACAACTTTACTATATATATATGAAGATACTTGCAAAATATCCAACTCTTAAACTTTCATATACAGCATATATATTATAGTTTTGATTTAGGCGACTAATGGATAAAACAGTCAAATTACTTCACCATACGCGATGGCCCAGTCGCGCAGGTCAATATCAAGTAACGAATTACGGTAGTATTGCTGTACAGCCCCAATTTCAGTGAATCCGCCTTTTTGTGTTCGGTCTTACCATCTCTAAAAATTTGGCTTGGAATGAATATAGCGTCAGTGGGTCAAAATGCAACGAAACAAGTATTACCTCTTACCGTCTATATTTGTCTGAGCACATGCTTGGCATGTACAAATCACTGATACGTATTGCTGCCATATATGATGTATTCTCCATTGTGAACGTATAAACTCATCAAACTCTTAATTATTTTTCATTTACTCAGACGTATAAACCATGATCTAAAGTTGCAATAAAATTCAATAATATCTGATTTTTCATGAGATTCACAGCCAAACCATGGTGCGTGCCATCAAAACTTTGGACAAGTGTTGTTAGTGGATGAAAATCAAGTACGCGAATATCGTGCAAATCAGCATATTGTGCCATATCTCGGGAATATTTTCTACATTTATACTCATTTTGTAGATTCAAGTAAGCAGTTGGTTTAAGTAGCCCAATAGTCAACGGAAGGGAAAGTATTATTTGAGGCCATCTTCCGGAAAGCCTCTTTGGGTCAACCTGTTTTAGAGGCTTCCGTAAAATTGTTCTATTGCATTTACAGCTGGGCCTAGATAATAATTGATTTCACGTTCTGAAAGACATCCCACGTGAAAGCCAATACTGACTATAATTAGATCCAGGCACACCAAGATTACGAACGACAAGATCATAAAACTGTGCGCTGAATCGCAAATTGTAAAAAGGGTGCATGGTTGCTTTGAAGTTGGCATATCCTCTGTTTCCACATAGTTTTCCCAAATGATACATTTCTGAAATATTGTACAAGGTGTCACGACACTCTTTCCAGAAAAATTGATGCCTTTCTGTGCATAGTCCCTTCACCAGATCTGATGTATTTTTGTGCCATGCTCCCGAAACCGTGTCATTAGTTATGAGCATAGCAAACGCACGAAACATGTTTCTGCTGAAGGAATCTCCTACAAAATGTATACTATTGATTTTTGATCTTTCTATCACATCACAGGCTTGTGCAGCTGTGTAATTCCTCCACTGGCATCTTTTGTCCGTAACAAGCCAATCGCTGACATCTGCATATATATATTTTCTCAAGTCCACGCACCTGAAAAGAAAAACGTAACGTAATAGGAATGCTTACGACGACATAGTTTTGCTGTTATCTCACCAGATCCTGAAACGCCTGTGTTGATTTAAAAAAAATAGCCCTAATATATAGAATAAATAATTGGATTGTGTGGTAAAATTTCAAATTTTTCCGTGCATTGAAAATCGATTGTGTTGAAAAATATGACAACAACAGAAAAAACGCGATACGTACGATGGACATTCGCATGTCTTTTTTGATGGTCTTGCGCAATATCCATTAAAAACATCTGTACAGCATGGTTGTTTGCCACGAGCATTGCACCAACTTCCAACTTGAGGCCATGTCGAATTCGGCGGCTTTTGTTCGAAACTAAAATTGCAGAAGGTACTAAATCACTCATTTTAGTTATGTTTTTATAGATACTACTTTTCGGTATTGGCAGTTACTTGTGGATTTGCATTGAAATCGACTGCATTGAAGTATTTAAGTCGACACTACATGTGCGCAATAAATCATACTAAATATCAAATTGCTTCCATCAACTATTAGGTATTATTCCTTATAGTTGTTGTAATTGATCTATTGAGCAAAGAAATTGGTTGAAAATGTTCTGGAATTGACACATACTGTCTAATAATAATCTGCTCATTGAAATAATTGCGTAGCAGGTTGGTCTTGATGGTTCTTAGTTCTTCTATTAGAGATATATTTATAGTGGATAGAAAAAATTCTTATATATTAGTGAATATTTATCCTCTGTGCCGGACGTTTTAACAAAATTTCTCTTACTTTTTATATCCACATCTTCGGTCAGGTCTCCAGAATCGAGTTTGAATGCCACGCTTTACCCAGAAATGGTGTAATTCTTCTTCAAGAATCAATTCCTGCTGCACCCATTGATTAGTGTAATCTTTGTATTTTACTATTTTGACTTTTTTAATCCACTGGCCTTGAGTCATATTTATCAGTATATTATCACATTGTGGGACCAAGGTTTCATAATCCACGTAGCGGGATTTTGAGTCGGAGAATGATTTCACTCCAGCTCGGCTTGGATTTGAAGACTTTCTCTGTTTATTCAGTCTTTCATCAGATAGAGTATGCACAGCAATTATACTGGTGACAGAAAAATTGCTTCGTAGATTTCTTGACAAACTCAACGGAAAACGTAGGTAAATGATATAGGTTACTATCACAAACATGACACTAACTATCCCAAGTCTTCCAGCCAATGCTTTTACTCCCATATTACATTTTACACTTCATTTGCCTCGACATTGCTATTTTGGTTTATCATTGCCGCACAACGCATCAAATAACGCATCCACGTTAAAACGAGCACCGATGTTGCCTCTGGCAAAGTGAGGCTTACTTATTATCATATCTCGTAAATAACGTTTCAACTTTACGATGCAAAAAATTTTCACGTTCGATAAAATTTAGAGGCGGAATGAGTAGGCTAGTACTTGAGTTATTGACTAACATTAAAAATCTAATTTCGATGAACATAAATTTTAATTTTCGTAGGTGTGGCCGTGGGCAGTGCTATCATTATCATGGATATCAATTGATGGTTGTAATATGAAACGAACGTTGCATTATAAAAAATCATTTTTCTTTTACTTCGGAACAAAGCAGCGATTGCAAAGCGCAGTGAAAAGAAACATATCTGAAGAATTTGTCTAAGTCGGATTTTACTGTTTCCGACGGATTGGTAATGGTAAAAATAAAAGTTAAGTGAAAAATATATCAATTTTGAATTGTTATCAGTACTTCTGTAACTGAACATTGCTGTTAAATAACGGAACTACTAGGTGGTTCGTGTATAAAATTCGAAAAGGACAACGCTCTGCTTTAAACGTATGATATGCATCATAAGGAACAATTCTAACGTTTTGCGTAAAATAATATGACCAATGGTCGAGATGAATTAACTTTTCGCGTTATGCAGAACATAGCCTATTATTTGCTAGATTATGAACAAAGCAAGCTATTTGAAGGTAAATTAGCCCGTATATATGATCTCAATATATATATATGTATATATATATATATGATCAATATACCCACCCAGAGAACAATTGATAAGCATGATAGCAAAACCTTATACGTGCGTTTGCATTCTTTCTCTTTTATTTGTTAAGGAGAGTTACTGTAACACTGCTGTTAAATAATATCAGCAGACTCTTTCTATAATGATAACTTAGGCGCTAAAATTTTCGCTTCGATTTGAAATTTAAACGATAATCCACTAAAATGTTATATATGCAATACTAAAAAAACAGGTACGTTTTTACGGCAATAATTTTCGAATTAAAAAATTACCGCTATTGAAAATTATCACCAGAGATCCGACACGGCCCATCATACAAATAAATGTTTAATATGCAACAAAAAGGGATATTTTTATTTAAAACGTAAAAACAGGTATGTGGACACCTAGAACGGCATATAAGATCAGTGAACATTGGGTCCTTTTATTGGGCTAAAATATTAGTGGCTTGAATTTAATGGACAATTTCAACGGACACGGAAATAATTCTTTTGTTCGATTTTATATATATATATATATTCATTTACCAGTGATGCTTACACGCTCTGTTAATGTGTGTTAAAATATTGATACTGATAATACCTTAAATTCCGAAATGATAAATCACTACAAGTAGATGCAAATTCTCCAGTGACACCGTATGTAAAGCTTAAATAAGAATTAGCAAGAAAATCGAGGCGTTATATACAGGGTGACGGTATAGTCTGGATACATAGAGTAACTAAATATTTTAATTATATATGCATTTAAAACTAATTATTTAACTATTATTTTCACAATTTATTTAAATAAAATTATCAACACGATTTGCAATGCAAATGTTAATGCGTTTCACAAACTTTGCACGAACGCGATGCAATAAATCTATATTGTCGTCAATTTCAGCCACTTCACTTTTCACCATTTTGCGACGAACGTGAGAGATTGGCTGAGTTCATTCCTCCGAAAAACAACATCGGTTTTGGAAAAAAAAAAAAGTTCATCTAATGACTTTAATTGGCGGTCGTCGGTCATACTTTCATATAATTACTATTCGACTATTGAAACTAAGATCTGTTTAGCCAAATTTTTCTGGAAAGCCGTTGTGCTAAATAACGTTCTATATATATAAATTTAACTTGGTAAATTCAAATCTTTGGATTTTGTGAAAAAACAATTGAAGACCAATTTCATTCATTTTTTTATTGTTCAATCACTCAAAATTTTTGGGCACAAGTCAATCAATGCTTATATATATTTCATTACTGACAATCGGACATTTTCTGTGGGTAAAATTATATTACTAGGTTGTTTTTTGATATATCGGTATAAACTGCAACGTATAATTCTCCTATTTGGCATTTTATCCAAAATTTACTAAAAAAAGAGTTTTATGTTTAGTTAAAAGATTGAAAGAATGTTATGAGGATGCGTTATGCATGTGTGTAATTTCAGTTGATTTGCCTGTATTGGATTTTTATGCAAGAAAAAAAAGTTCGGCAGACTTGTTGACGTGGAGTGGTCTCTTCGTTCACCAGGCCTTAGTCCGCATGATTTCATTCTATAAAAATCAATCATACTAGAATCATCGACAAGTGTTGTGTGTTATACCATTGCAGAATGATTTACTTCAAATCCGTCATTCTCACAAAAGCAAGATATATTTACATGCGAACCGCCTTCATAAGCATTTCACTTCTCCAATTATACTGCATAGGGGAAATATAGCAAAAAATGGTAACTTGTAGGCTACAATAATCCAAATAGAAGATGACTAGATAAGAAGCTGTCCAATACTAAACGACACTGTGTTTCGAAAATGTCGTGTCGCAATTTTATGTTCTGTTACGCACTCTCCTGAGTTAGCGTTCTTGATAACTATACTTTGGTAAAATATCAGAGTATTCATATATATATGAGATTCATCTCTTCGTTCACCAGGCCTTAGTCCGCATGATTTCATTCTATAAAAATCAATCATACTAGAATCATCGACAAGTGTTGTGTGTTATACCATTGCAGAATGATTTACTTCAAATCCGTCATTCTCACAAAAGCAAGATATATTTACATGCGAACCGCCTTCATAAGCATTTCACTTCTCCAATTATACTGCATAGGGGAAATATAGCAAAAAATGGTAACTTGTAGGCTACAATAATCCAAATAGAAGATGACTAGATAAGAAGCTGTCCAATACTAAACGACACTGTGTTTCGAAAATGTCGTGTCGCAATTTTATGTTCTGTTACGCACTCTCCTGAGTTAGCGTTCTTGATAACTATACTTTGGTAAAATATCAGAGTATTCATATATATATGAGATTCATATATCCTAGCGTTTCTGCAACCAATTCGCCTTTTGCGTTAACGAAAATTCGTTGAGCATGCGAACGAACGGGTACGCTTTTGCCTCGAACTGCCAACGATAGGAGCGTCTGGTGTTTACATTGCGATGCATTTACACGCGGGAACAAGAAGTCAAAATTTCAGAATTGGAATCCGATTTGATCTGAAATCAAAATTCTAATCGGTCTCTGACAACGAAAGATTGTAAAGACGACTCGCGTTTCGCTCCTGCAGACAAATCTAGTCAAGTATTTACTGGTAAGTCCTCGAATGTTCCCAGACCCTTGACCAGCCCTGGGCAACACGTAGTAGGGGGCAGCAAAACCAAGCTGTGATCCCAACGGAGTGCAAATGTACGCGGGTTCAATTGTACTGTACGTTGGTGCAAATGTACGTGGGTGCAAACTGCAATTGTACATGAGTGCAAATGTCCGTGGGTGCAAACTGCAATTGTACATGAGAGCAAACGTCCATGGGTGCATATGTACTGGGTGCAAAAGTGCATGGGTTCTAATGTCCGCGGGTGCGATCTATATGCGTGTGGTAAAATCTATGGTTGGAAATGTATGGTTGCAAATGTTCTGGGTACAAATGTGCTGTCATCAAATCATTGACGTATTTGATTCGTGCTGAAATTTCTAAAACACAACCAAAAACTAACAAATAGCATGCGAAAACGAGGCAATGTTGAAACCATGACAAAAAACCTGTCTGTACGACTGCTAAAGCGGTTACGTTACGCCGCTTTTCCGAAAAAGGACAGATATTTTTCAAAAAATTCTGGAGATTTTCTTGCTTCATTGGTTAGGCTGGACATGTTTTTCAAACTTTGTGCGTTGCTCTCAAAAGTGTGAGTTTGTTGCTTAGTTTGAATATTTATTAAATAAAACACACGTTTTTATCTTACTTGACTTTAAATTTAATTATTCTCATGTATAATGACATCTATAATCTGTTTATCCCCCGAATTATTTATGAAGTTAGGTATAAGGGGCAGCATTATCGACTCGCCATGGGCAGCAGAAATGTTTGGCACGCCCCTGCCCTTGACTCCAGAAAAAAAAATGTTCTATACTTTACTATTACAAAATTTTGAATGCTCATTTTGCAAGTGTTTTGGAGAGTTGGCACTTACAAACTGATTTACACGATCAAAATCATCATTTTTATTGAAATATAATCACATGCCACTTACAGGAACTGATAGCTCATTTCAGCCTATCGCAGCTTTTCCGGGACTCATTTTTGATTATTGCAACTGAACTAAATATCATAATAACAATTAAAATACTTTATTTACAACTAATTTTTGGAAACTCAGCTAAAAACTGACAAATAACACGCAGAACCGCAAAAACGAGGCAAGGTTCCAATTACTGTATTGCAGGCAATTTTGCTTTCGACTAGGGGGCGTTCTTCAGATCACTTTGTTTTGTTTCTTGGAGATCAGCTCTGGTAGACGCGGTGGTTCTTGTCGCAATACCGCCAATTGAAACATCTTTTATTCATATATATATAAATATATATATATAATAATAATCTAACTATACCAAATTTTATTAAAACACTGAGGGATTATATCAATCGACGAAATAAGCAGGTGAACCCCGAAAGAAACTGATGCCAGTGTTTATGGGACTGAAATAAGGTTCGACAGTATTCACAAATTGAGGAAGAAATTGGGAAACTACGGTACCGTACTGAACTATGGTGGCTAAATTATAGACTATTAACATGATTGACCTGAAGACTCTTTTCAAAGACTTCAATCACAGGTATGCCTAACTTATTTGGTATACTTGTTTTAGCATAATAATAACTTTCTGAATTCAGAGATTTTCAATCTTCTAAGCTTGTTTGCATGCGGGTTTTTCATTACTGACATGCTGTCAGTTTCCTATGCACTGATGCAGGATCCTATCTATATTTGTTTAGACTAAATAAGATTCAATATTAAAGTATGCTTTTCCAAACTGGTGGTACTTGAAAAAATTCAAATTATTACTTTGCTGTATTTCTTCATAAAGTCGCCATTTTTATACCCTAATCATGATTTTTTCTCATTATTTTGTATTACTGCATGTAGTATATGCCCTTACTGCCTTATCTGTATTACCTTTTTATTTTTACAGTAAGTTTGTGGTGTTCGTTTGCCTTCTTCCATGTGCAATTCTCATCTCATTAAAACTCGATCAACACATAACTTGGTCGCTGTGGGTGATACTAACTCCACTTTGGATTCTAAAATTGATAGTTGTTTTGGGAGCATTCATTGGAAGCATAGAGTGGTGTCGACATCCAGAGTATAGGTACAGTTATATATCAGTATATTGTGTTGTATTTGTGTTACTGAGCTGCTATTACTGTGTTCTGGAGCACAAGAAAATAGATTTCGAGCAATGAGAAGTAAAAATTCGCATATCAGTAGATTTACTGAAATAAAACTTGGTTCATTTTCTCATACAAATTAACAAATAGTCTACAGTCCCACAGACCATTTTCTGACCATGGTAACTCAAACACTCTTGTGGTCGGAAAAGTCCATAGAGTGAAAAATCTTTATTCCTGCTCAATGCCATATCACAAGTAGCCTATACACTCAAGATTTAGGAATCATGTTTATAAAAGTATATTTGATCATATAAAAGTAGATTTGAGTATATCCACAGATATATTATATATATATTTTAATAAGAAATGTTATTAATTACATTTGTAAACAACTTATCTACTAAATTCATATTCTATTCAGGCATGATGTTGACAGTTACACTGATTTCAAGGCAATGTTGATGACTCTTGGAATGCAACTTTTATTATTAATGTTTGAATTGCTTGTCTGCAATAAAGTTGAAAATAACGGTCAAAACTCTTGGATATTTGTTTTTATGCCTTTGTATTTTGTCTCACCAGTTGCAATTGCTGCTTGTATTTGGGGCTTCAAGCATGATCGGTCTCTGGAGGTGGGTTCAACTAGTATTTGTTTTCACTAATCATATGCATATTTTGAAAAAAAAGGGAAAACAGAATTTTGATCTATTGCTTCTGATATTGTTACTCACGCTCGGTAAAACTTCGAAATGATCATTGCTGAATATATGACCTTTCTATAACTAAATTTGCATATAAAAACTTGACATTTAATGATGATTGATATCAATTCAACACAGTTTTGTCACTAAAAATAAAAGTCATAGTCTCGTCTAGGGCTGTCCAAAATCGAATAATTTTTTGATTCGAATCGAATATTTTCGCCGAATCGAACCGAATAATCGAATATTATTGCGCAATATTAAATCTATCTATATTATACAATAAACGCCTGCCCTTCGATGTTGTGGTAACGTATGTGCAGTTTCATCTTACTTACTGCTGGTATTTTGCAATACAATGTTTTCAGATTTATGAAAGGAGATCACACGCTTGTATGAACTGGTCAAAAAATTGGAGGACTCGAAAATTTGGGTCTCGAAAACTGTTGAGTGTTGAGAGTAAAAATTGCACTATTCAAAAATTGCAATCTCAATTTTGATGGATTCAGTTTTAATAGGACATGTTAAGCCTGTAGATGCTATTTAAATCCTATTCACTAGTCTTATGTATTTTTGTGTAAATTTCAGCAAAATAATAACAGCCATCAATATAGATAAAACTGTTGCTAAAGTTCAAAATTGCATTTAAAATTTCCAAGCTAGTTTGATGACAATATTATTTGACGACTATAATATTGTTAGTGTTTAACAGCCATCAAAATGCAAGAGTGCAATTATTTGTCTTGGTATATAGATGGATAATACAGTAATGCCATCATAAGAAATTACAAATTCCATTCAAAGAGGGTATTGCCATCATAAGGATCCCAAAACACCTGTTTCAGCTTTGAGTTGCCTGTACCATGTTCCTATGATAACTAACTCAACAGCTTCAAATCGATTCTATTTATAGAACTATCGTTTTCTAAATTGTCTCCTTTTTGGCTAATGACGTGCCACCGGGCGGGCATTAGTAATGACATGTTTATCACAAAATGAAGGCGAGAGAAATATCGGGAAACCAATTAAGCGGGGAGCGAGAGTGGTCTGAGCTCAGAGCGCCGCCGCTTGCCCGATAAAAAACATCCCGTAATGTGGTTTCCGCTTTTGTACAGGTACCTAATTTTAGCGATTCGAAAATTAGCCGAAAAACGATTCGAATAATTTGCGATTCGATTTCGAATATTTGGTTCGCTTGGACAGCCCTAGTCTCGTCACGCTTCTTCCATTTTAGTTTTGATTCTAGGTTATAGAATGATTATTGATGAATTATAATCAAAATCTACATTCAAGAATTGAATAGGCTATATGAATATTTCACCAAATTTTTGCGCATGCTTATTGCCTATCAATGATGGTTGTTTTTGAACTATCCTATTGGCTATTATTGGCAAAAATCCCATGTATTCCCAGTTATACCTGCTCATACTTCATCAATCTAACACATTTTGATATTGCTTTGTACAGCTGGAAGCACTTCTTTCCATCAATATACTTTTGTTTATATTTGTTGCACTGAAGCTCGATAACACAATTGATTGGGGCTGGACTGTGATATTTATTCCACTGTGGATTGCAATGTGTTTTCCAGGAGTTGCTGTTTTATATTATTTAGTTTGGACTTTGTTATTCTTCAGGTAGGTTAGTATAAAAATATATAAATTTTAAAGAAATGTCTTTTCTAATCTTTTGTTTTTTCATATCTTCCACTTTTAGATCGACTTTTCCTGGTGTTGACAGAAGAGCTCATTTATCGGACGCTTTGATATGGATAATTGTTGTTATTCCTATTTTAACATTTGAGGTAACAAATATTTCAGTAAGAAAATTTTTGACCAAGAAGAAAATTTGGAATTTTTTTCTTTTAGTGTCTGTCATCGCAGTTTCCAAAAATAAAATGTGTTCAATTAAACCTTGCTTTTACCAATGATGGTCTGCTCTACAAAAAGAGTACGTCCATATACCAATGGAACTATAATGAATTTCTTTTTGCCATTTCAAATTGAATCCTTACAAAGAAAAGTTATTATGTACGTGTGGAATATTACAAAGGCAAATTTTTGTAACTTCATAGTAAACACAAATTTCATTAACCGAGAAAATATAGTTTTATTTGTAAGGATTTCCAACATCAATTTCTCAAATGTTAAATTTACATCTAGGGATCGAGGCCTATGGACATTTCAAATAAGTTTCATTTGAAAATGTTACGAAGAAATAAATATATGATCTCTAAGTTGGTATCAAGTCAAAGTTTGAAGTAATATTCACCAAATATCTCAATATAAAGTTACAGGAAAAAAATCAAATATAGCTTCATTCATTTTCTCAAAACAGCTATTTTAAGTTTGGGTTGAAGCTCTTCGTATCTCAAACAAAATCACCTGCGCTTTTTTACAACCTATCGTATTCTCATGCAAATACTGTAGGAAAAGCTCAAGTTTAGATATGAATGCCACTAGTAGGTATATATTTAATCCGTATTGTTTTTAACACAGACTTTGTTAATTTTTCTTTGCAGGTGTTGCTGTCGTACAAACTTGATGGTTTAAATCAATTTCCATGGGTTAATATCTTCATACCATTGTTCATAAGCTTGTTAGCTTTAATATGTAGCTCATTTGGTAAGAAAGGAGGAAACAAATGTAAGTTTATGTCTAATTATATCCAATTGTCACAAATATTTGCATATGAATATATGATATTTAATTATTTTTTTAATCAAACTTCATAGAGAGTTTTTACTGGTTAAATAATTATAGTAATTTCATTCATATCATATGAATGAAGTCTAAATTATCAGTGGGTTGTAAATAGTTTGAAATAGTTCATCCTTTTTCTCTGATTGAAGCTATTTACTTTGACACCTTGACTTAGAATGTTATCAGGGTTGACACAGCCTCCGTTTTTGTGACATGATGTATATACAGTAAGTAAAAAATACCGTAATATTAAACAGCTGAAGCATCCGGCACGTAATATTTAATAAATCAGAAATATTGAGATTTTGAATAATACTTTATATAATGGTTTAAACATTGCTTTATCCCTTGGTTTATATTGCATGTAGCACAACTGGGATTTTGATTTACATTACTTCCCTTGTTTTAACAGGACCAATAATGTTTTGTAACTATTAATTTAGGGTGGTTTGGTTTACGAGAAGATTTCTGTCTGTTTTTGCTCGAATCATGTCCGTTCATGCGACTATATGGCAACGTATCATACAAACTTCCCAAAGAAAAAGATGATCCAAATTTTGATGAACTCGGTCAAACAGATGATACGAATTCATGGGTGCCAGATGTTCGATATTATGCATCAGCTGATTACCAATTTACTGCTAAAGTCATCACCAGCAGTCCTACTGGTTGTGGAACTGTGGTACCTCCTACATATATTGAGAGCCCAGATTGAAGTGAAGTTAAATTGAATGTTGTTAATGAGATTTCAAGCAGCTTTGCGTGGTTGATTAAACCATTTTTTAAGAAATCATCAATAAGATTGCTAAAATCAATAAGTTCAATGGTCAAATACCCAGATTCAGAAATTCACCTCAAGTATACACAAGAGAATATCTGCTACTATTTTCCTCGATATTGGGATATTATGCTTTTGGGCAGTGGATATTAAACTTTCATAATTGAGACCCTTAACAATCGTGCCCACACTTCTTTCCCCCCCGAAATCACCATGGAAAAATACCTTATAACTAGTTCACATGCGAAAACTAGTGAAAAATAAAAACAGTAAAAACTGTCACTTATGGCTGAAGGAGTTTGAGAAATCCTGCTGTAGGAAATAATTTTAAAAGTTAAATATAAGCGTGCGTTCCATTGGTAATCTCACGTAAAATATCCAGGAATCAGTTTTCTGTTACCAGTTTTGGTCTATGTATTTACAGTTTATATTTTTAAAAATTGGTGATGTAATTGGCCGAAGGCCTGTTGCCAAGTTTGATGAGTAGTGTTAAATAATATTTCAAGGGGGGTAATCCAACAGTAAACGGATGGCAATATTTGTTGCTAGGGCAATATATGATTTGTGGGCACAAAATGCCTAACTTGTTCACTAAGTTTTCATGCCAAAAAAAAAAAACACTGGGGGAAGCTCTACTCTTCGAAATTTTCGTATTTTACTTGAATATTATCATACCCATAATTGCATTTTTTTATATTTTCTGTGTCGCTCCATTTTATCAATAAATAAATCACTTTACGGTATCACCTTTATTACTAAGGATCTAAAACATGGAGGAAGTCTTGGTCATGCATTAGGTGACTCACCCCTTGTTGTTTTTCAAAATTGGTATCTTTCAAAATCAAGAGCTTGGCTCAAATATATGAACACTAGGGTGGAAGCGACGTTGTACGGGTGTGCAATCTGTTCACATAAGACAACTATTACCGCAATCTTGTCTACTTTGCGCAATCGCCACAAGATGCGCAATTTTTAATTCTGATAACGTCATTGCACACAAGAAAACGAATCCCACACAGAGCTCACGGAAATGTTTGAAATAAATAAAAGGAATAGCCTTTTAGCGAAAAATACAATCTCCAACCAATTAAGATTTCAAAGCCAAAAAACTTCTAACAACGTAATCACAAAACGATATGTATATTTCGGTTCCATTACATTTGAACCCATGACAATTGCACCTGCATACTATTGCACCTATGGAAATTTTTGTTGTTGTACGGATAGTTGAACCCATACTAACCCTAACCCATGGGTTTCAGCACCCGCATATTGATTGTACCCGCGGATATAGACATGGGTTCAAATGTACGTGGGTTCAAATGTACGGTCACCGTATATTTCGTGTCCAATAACAATGCAAAATGACAAACCTATCCTGGGTCCATTTCGTGTCCAATAGCGCAGTAATTTCGGACCTTTTGTATCGCAAAAAATTTCGCACATTCAAATAAATTGAAACAACTAAGCATATCTGATCTGTTAACGACCTATGCCTGAATGAAAAATGGAGGTATGCCGAGCTCCGTGTAATGTTTCGCTTAAAAATCCCGTAAAGAAAGCGAGCGTCGGTGGCAGTGTGTAGAGGTGTGAGAAATTGAACTACAACAGAAAGCGGGGTTAAGACAGGCAAATGAACTGGAAGAATAGATTTAAATGAAAGAAACAACGGGCAAAGGTGCTGATGATGTGAAGTAACAGCTCGGCGTCAAGTTTGCTGCTTGGAAATCGGGTTGCTTGGATTTTGGGGCTTGGTTTTTAATAGAATGACCAGTTGACATCGCGGATGTTTGTTTTGGTGTCCCTGCTTGATAACCAACTCTAGTTCCTGTGGCTTCGCCCTCCCAGTCAACAGTGGGTTTAATTTTTCTGGTAATTTTTTTTTATATGCGGTTGCGTTATGACTAGAAAAATATATATATATACTTGATTAAGTACGTGTCGGGTTATCACGCAACACTTTTTGTGACGAATTGGATTCTATACAATTTTGACTTTCACAGCTTACATGAAGTGGACTTCGTTTGCGGGACTCTTAACTAATATTTAAAATTTAACCCTGCACAAATCGATCAATAATTAGTATGTAGTACTTAGAATTCATCGGCGTAATTTTGTAATAGGTTTGGCATTTTTAGCGTTATGTGTCCTTTTTTAATAGAGTTAATATTTTTTATTTTATGCTAGATCTATTGGGCGTTACATTTACCAAACGCCGCACTCGACAACGCGACGTCGCGCAGTGCGGACGTCTTTGTGAGCATAAACCTGGATACAAACTATCTTCTGTTTTGTGGATTAAACTGGATACAACACTACATTAATGCGGTGAGATCGTTTCTTTATATTCGATCTGTATATATTGCTGTATATAAAGTGCAATTGACTGAAATCCAGTACAAATTTTCTTTTGGAGAGTGAACGTTTATTATATACGGATAAAGCTGTTTTATGTTATAAGATGGACGGCGATGAATCGCCAACTTCTTCCGGAGTGAAAAGGAAGGGGGACGATAGTAATTCTAATGCCCAAAGTAAAGTAAAAATTAACACAATAAGTCAAGAAAATGACGTTATATCTACATTCGTTGTTGTACGGGGTACTCAGCGTAAGATGAGAACGTACAATCCTATAGTTATACATAGAAATTTGGTGCAGAAGTTTGGAACACTAAAATCGGTACGTGTGCTTGGTTCTGGGGATTTAAAAATTGAATGTTCAAACGAAAAGCAAGTTAAACTATTGTTGGAATGTGATGATATCGGCGATAGCACAACCAACATTCCAGTGAAGACCGAATTGTTTGTAAACAATGATCAAAATACTAGAGTAGTAATTAGCGATGTGCCAATTGACATGGCCGATAATGAATTGTTGGACGCATTATCTGTACAACGTGTTGTCTTTGTAAAAAGGCTTAATAGAAAAATCGAAGGCAAGTTTGTGCAGAGTAAATCAGTTCTGATTTGTTTTAACACATGCATTGTACCATCAATCGTGACTATCGGCTATATGCGATTCAGGACCAGAGTGTATAACCCTCCACCGATTCGTTGTTTTAATTGCAATAGATTTGGCCATGTAGCTAAAAATTGTCGATGTAAAGTTCGCTGTGCCAAGTGCGGTAGAAACCACGAATATAATAAATGTGATTCCCAACAAACAATCAACGAGGATTAGCTCTTGCTGGAGCTATTGACAGCACAGATTTAGTAGTACTTAACACCTCTGTTCCCACTAGGATAAATTTATCCCATAACAGAGTAAATAATTGGTCGTTATTGGATTTAACAATAGCATCTCCTGATGTTGCCCATAGATGTAATACAATTGTGACCAACGAGTTACTGGGAAGTGATCACGTAATGGTTAAAACTTATTTTAACGTAACACAAGTCGGTGACACAAGTAATTACATGGAATCATGGCGACTCGATAAAGCAAATTGGGATAAGTTCTCGGAATTATGTAAAACGCGCATCAGTGAGAATATAGTCACAAGCGATATAAATGAATTCAATGATTTTCTTACAAATGCGATTATCTTAGCAGCAAATGAATCAATACCACGAACAAAATCCTACACAAAAAATGGCATCCCATGGTGGAATGCTGATTGCGACAAAGCCATACGGCTAAGAAAAGCGGCGTTCCTTAAAATGAAAAGGTCGATGTCCATCGAAAATGTGATAATGTATAAAAAACGTAGATCTGAAGCAAGAAGAATGATATTGAAGGCTAAAAGGCAGAGTTGGCATGATTACTGTAGCTCACTGGACAAGAATGGAAAACTCAGCAACGTATGGAAAATGGTTAGGCGCTTCACTAAAAGCAAGGTATACGAACAAATCCCCGGCCTTAAACACAATGGTATAACAGCAATCGAAGATTCCGAAAAAGCTGAGCTTCTGGCGAGTTCGTTCTCGGCGGTCAGTAGCAATGAAAACTACACTCCGAAATTTCTTCAAAGAAAGATCGCATTCGAATCCTCACATGACGTAACAATCTTCAAGGCTAATCACAAATTGGATAAAAATATCACAAACCAAAAAAAAGCACTGCTCCAGGACTAGACAAGATTTGCTACGCGATGCTCATAAAATTGCCCGCAGAATGTAAAGCCATATTACTCAAATTATTCAATTTGATTTTGAACAAAGGGAGTATTCCAGAGACCTGGAAACGCTCTGTTGTAATTCCGATTCTTAAATCCAATAAACAAAAAGACCAACCATCTTCATATAGGCCTATATCTTTAACTAGCATTTATGTAAGGTCTTGGAAAGAATTATAGTTCGCAGACTGAAGTGGTTTGTTGAAAAAAATGGCATATTATGTAGAGAACAGAGCGGTTTTAGGTGGAGGAGATCTACAACTGATGCATATCTAAAATTACACGATGACATATATAAAGCTTTACCAAATAAAAGATCTGTACTTGGCATTTTCTTAGACATGGAAAAAGCGTATGACATGGTATGGAAAAGAGGACTGTTATACAAACTATATAACATTGGTGTCACCGGGAAAATTTGGATTTTTGTTGCATCTTTTCTGACAAATCGTTCATTTCAGGTTAGAGTAGGCAGTCGTCTTTCAAGTATATTCTCATTGGAAAACGGAATTCCTCAAGGGAGCGTAATCAGTCCACTGCTATTCAATATAATGATAAACGATATGCCTAGTACTATTTCATCAGATAATGTTGGATTGTTTGCAGACGATAGCGCTCTATGGCACATTGGTCTCAATATTGAAGATTTAATCATTTCCTCTCAGAACTCGTTGGATTGCATTCAGTCCTGGTGCAATCAATGGGGTTTTAAGATCTCGGTCACAAAATCAATAGCTGTACAACTGTACTCTTCACCCGAAAGAGAAAATTACCACCAATACAACTACACATAAACGGTGTAATACTCCCAGTCAGGAATGAAGTAAGATACCTCGGAGTCTATTTCGATAGGCGCTTAAATTATAAGAGACATATCGAATATGTTGTACAAAAATGTAGTAAACGGATTAATCTGCTGCGTTTGCTTATTTGAACTAGCTGGGGAGCTAACAAATCACCCCTTTTGTCATTGTACAGATCCCTAGTTCGACCCATTATTGAATATGGTATGGAAGCCTATTTTTCAGCATCAATAAATGCCATAAGAAAAATCGAAATTATCCAATCTCAATGTCTACGCATCGCGGCAGGTGGCATGATGAGTACGCCTAAAATTGCTTTACAAGTTTGTTGTAATGAGATGCCATTGAGTATAAAACGACTACAATTATGCCTCTTATATAAGGCTAAACTGCTAACATTTGTTGACCATCCTTGCCACGAAGTCATCGAACACTCATGGCATGAAATATTTCCCAACTCTCCAGCATTTCGTACATTTGGTATGATTGCAAGGACTTTCGATATTGACAAATTGGATATTAGTATTATTGAAGCCGAAGAAATTCCCCCATGGTATTTGGACGAAATTAATATCGACGATGCATTATCGAATATACTTTTTCCTTGGTATACGCCCGACCAAACAAAAGCTATAAGTTTGGATTATATAAATGAATCCTATCAATCACACGTGCATATCTATACCGATGGGTCAAAAATTGATGACAAATGCGGTGCTGCGGTTTATGTTCCATACAATAATTCTCGTATGGGTTTTAGGCTAGACAAAGACTGTTCCTCGTTTGATTGCGAAGTTTTTGCAATATATAGTGCCCTTACATGGTCAAAAAATAACTATAAAAGGAATATACTTGTCATATCGGATTGTATGTCTGCTATACACGCTATAAATAATAACTCGGATCAAATTAGTAATATATCTTCAAATATTCAGAATGGTCTTTTTGAGTTACAGGAACAAGGATGCAAAATCACACTACTATGGGCTCCAGGACATGTTGGCATTCCGGGTAACGAAGTCGCCGACAAAATAGCAAAGGTATCAGCGGCGAAAGTCGATGTGGACAAAAGATTATCCCAATCACAAAACAAAGTCAAATCACAAATTCGACAATTCTGCGCTAATAAATGGGATCAACATTTTATACAAAGTGACCAAGCGTTTCATTACAAGACAATTTTCCCCTCAATTGAAGACAGCATCAAGAATTCCACTTGGTCACCACGAATAATGGACAAAATTTTATTTCGACTTCAGACGGGACATTGCCGTTTAAGTGGACACCTCCATAAAATAGGATGCCATAATAATGGACTTTGCGATTTCTGTGATGATCCAGAGACAATAGAACATTTTCTAATGAACTGTCGTGCATATAGAAATGAAAGACGCATACTAAAGATGAAATGCCGCGATTATGGCATTGAATTTCAACTCAAAGCTATCTTACGCGACCCTAGCATTTTCCCTGCTCTTGTTGATTTTGTGAAATCTACCAAGAGAGTATTATAGGCATATACAAAATTTTGATTTAAATTGTCTGGCGCAAAAGACTCAAATTGTCTAAAGCGCCATATATTACCATACCACACACACACACCAAACGCCGCAGTAGGTTCAAATACTTGCCAATATCTTCAAATGATATCGTTGCATTATTAGGAAAGCCTGTAAGCGTAGCAAACTGAGGTTTAAACATGCCCGATCTCTGTCCTGACCCTTATATATATATATATATATATATACGTGCTGTTGTAATCATATTCCAATGCAAAGTATAGTTGAGGGTTACCACAGAATTCACAGGAACGGTTTTCCCTATGGTGGAATAAAAGTGGATAAAATTAGTTCCACTAAGCCGATCTGATTTATTTCTCCATGGTACTCCAAGATCACCTCTACTTTGAAGCGGCTATTCAGCCTAGCAAATTTTGTTGTCGTCCATTCATACTTCTATGCCACAGCGCAAAACAACAATATCTGACGCAGTTTATCGAATCAAGTTTACAAGTTTTATCATATAAAATTAATCCATGTCAATGAAGGTTTTCTCGTGAATTTCGATTGTTTGATGTTTCCACTATGTTATAAATGTTGCGTTGACCTTGAAAGGTTGGTTTTGTCATTCCAGGCATTTCATTCCAAACAAAGCTCTGTATGAGTATCTACTAGTATGCAAGAGCCAACCTTATTTATGTATGGACAAAAAAGTTTCGGATACAGTGATGAAGGTTTGAATCCCGGGTTGAAGGTATCCAGACGCCTCTCTTGTCCTAGAAATCACAACGGATTGAACTGGGAATTTTATCTTTTCTTTAATCATACTGAAGCATTATCCCACGAATGACCATTTCGAGGTTTACCGATTGATGACAGCCGGACGATGTTCTTAACTTAAAATTGTGAATTATAAATTTCGTAAAAATATTGAGATTTCACGCTGCATCAAAAGTTACGTCAACATTGGAATGTGAGCAATATGGGAAACATACAGTATATATACAAATTAAATGAATGAATTTGGCATACATGACTTCATGGTAATATCGAACCGACATAATTATAAGTTCAGCATCAAATACCGTCTTGTTGCATAAAAATGGTGAATGAATAACATACAAAATAAGATTTCGCTATTACTGAAAAACAAACTTCCATATCTTATTACTGATGCTTGAGACCACTCGGTATTCACATTCGTTGTATTTCACAAAATTAAACTGTAATTCATGTTGTATGACATATTTTTTGATGTGCGGCCCGCGACAACACTGAAATATAATAGGCGACCTCAGAAGACATTGGGGTTGGACATGGCTGCTATATAGAATCAGTTCTTCAAAGCCTATGGACGGACTATCAGTAACGGAACGTTCATTACATCAAAGACATTGCTTGCTTGCCTGACTGTCTGAGCTTCCTATGCATTTCTATTCAACATTACATATTGTTTAAGTCTTTATGGAACTACGCGACGAGAAACTAGAATTAAGCACAGGAAACAGAGGTAAACTATTCGTGAATACAAGCTCTGAAACGAGTTCTCAGTAACACGTCACCAAAGACCGATCGATTTTTATTGATGCGGTTTTCAAAAATTCATAATCTAAGTTGACTTTGTAAATAGTAAGCGTCAAAAATTCTGAAAAAATATATATAATCAAATTCATTCACTCAATTTTCAATGACTACCAACTCTTAAGACCTCGATATTTCTCGACTTTCTCCATCAACATGGTTGACTAAACTGATTTTACATGGTCGTGGTGATGTACCAACTGAACGGGACATTTTTACTCACTGAACTTCCAACTGTCTGACTAATTTTCCGTTGAGATTGAAAATATAATATAAAACGAATTACAGAATCCCAGAAACACAAAACGAAATAGTCCAGAATTACAAAATTCAGTTTTTTTTTATTTTTTAATGAGATTAATATTATAAATATTAGTACAAAGATGAGCAGCCAAGCATTTATGAGCTCATCCATTATGACAGATCGTGATTAGTACCCAGTATTTTACCCAAGAAGCGCTTATTCGTCGAAAAGACATGTCATATGATGTAAGGCGTTAAAATTGAACCGAAATAAAAGAATTATATTGAATATATTTCAAATCAAGGAAAGCGTATTAAATATTGAAATTCTTCATGAATTTTTACTATATAACATCAAAATGGAGCCAAAAAGCCAGCTGGGATATTCTGCTTGGTCAAGCACTGATTCGAATGTATATCGCGCGTCACCAATAGCGTTGCTAAATATTATAGCCGGCATACTCTATAATTTATATACATATTTCGATTTTCTTGGACTTTATATCACTTGATTAGAAGGGACTGTATAAGGCACAGATTATTTTTGCTTAAAACGTAATGGTGCGGTTTGCGTGATTTAAAATGACATGCAAGCATGCAAATTGGCCCGTTACAGGCCGTGTTGAAATGAACCAAAAGCATACATTTAATCCGTCACCAAAATCTGGAGAAAAGCAGTAACTTTACAAAAATACGTGTGAAATCCTACTGTCAATAAAGCAATGATATACTTGACTGTTTTGAATCAAAGGTCGAATACATATGAAATTCTATTTTTTGTTATCATGTACATTGCTAAAATTGGTTCTACGTTTTGAAATTCTAAGTGACGTCAAAGTTAAATTTAAAAAGAAAACGCAAGCAAAAAAAAGCAAGGCAGTGCAGAAGGTAAAAGTTGACAAATTGGATCTGGTAATTGAATTATATTCTCCATATTTCAAGTACGCCATTGTCGGCCACAAAAGAAAAAGAATTTTGCATTGGCCGTTGTTTGTGACATTTTCCACGGCTGAAGACACTTTGGGAGTCGAAATTACCATCCGATACGAACAAATTGCATGTGACAAAGACATCGGTTTTGAAATTTCACTATTCCGGATTCGGAAGAAAGAAGACAATTTTTTTATTATTCCGGAATTGCAGTCGAAATGTCTCGGAAATCGACCCATCCGGATTTTCGATGAGACCGATTTCCCTGATATTGGCTTACATCTGGGGGTTAGTATAAAAAACCTTCAACATTAAGCACTACTAGAAGAATACTGAAACATTCCAAATAAACTAAATAACTCAAATCAGGCTGATAAAAAGTCGTCAAAATTCAAACACTAAACTAACACATCAAACTATTCACAATTCTAGAGTTGTTGCTCGAAAAGTAGGTCTAGGCACGTCGTTGATGGGAAGAGCTTTTATCACCCCCGGATAAGTAATTGGGTGTTTGGGCGTCATTTAGATTAATAATGATACGTTCTGGGTAAGTTAGGCTATATATGAAGTAAACCAAACAGATAAAAGGAGCATATGAGGTTTGGCAAAATCGAAGGCTGACGCAAATAATTTTTGTGTAAATATTGCTAATCAATTGTACTACAATGAGGTCCTACTAACTTGGTTATTTTTGACATCATTTTAAGGATATAATTAGGAACCGCATCTATTTAATGACCAGAGGATATGTTAATGGCACTAGGCAACAATTGTCAAGTCTAAAATAAAATAATACACAAAAAAACTAAAAAGACATACGGGGAACAGTTTTCATAAAACCAAACACTGTCTCGTATTTTGGCAAGTCGCCGAAGTTCCAAAAATACAAAAAGTAATGGTCAAAAGTAAGAAAAACATCAAAAAAGCAACCAAGGAAAGTAGCAACAAAGCAAAATGGACAGTAATAAATAATGGTAATAATATTCGTGTTACTTGAAATAATAATAATATGCTGCAATGCAAAATATGTCGTTTTGTATCAAAGACATAGGTATTTTAGCACTTCATTTAAAAAAAATTTAAAAAATGACGAAGATGTGTGTGTGTTGATTTCGGACCACAGTCCGAATTTACACTTCCGATGATTCGGACCCTCCGTAACCATCATCGAGAACCGCAACACCTGCAGCGGTCGCGGTGACTTTACCGCCAGAATAGGCACCCCTGCCATCGCTAGGTTGTGCTCTTTTCTTGAGAATGATAACGGAAGCGATGATGCCTACCATTACCAGCAGGCCTACGACCGCTATTATGATAAATATGAATGAGTTATTAGAGGTATCCGTGCTGCTTTCTTCCGGCGCTAGACCATCTCCTCTAACTGGTGTATCACCACTATTGCCAGGCTTCAATACTACATGGCCCATGTTCGTACCTCGGTTATCAGAGCGGCCAATCGTGTCTACCTCGTTTGGTGCATTCCGCTTAGAACGGATAACATCTTTGTTACCGGACTTTAACACGGCGTTGTATGTGTGTAGGATGGAACGTCGAGATCTGGTCTTTTGTGCGACGGAATAAATAACATGCAAATACCATTCACGCCCACTGGTAACCTAAAAAATAAAATTTAAATTCAGATCTAAGTAGCAGACTCATCTATCAGAAAACAATGGTAAATATATTTTGAGTATTTCGACGAAAAATTAACATAGAATTGTATCCATGATCTTGTATAGTGTAATATCCAATAATCATCTCGTTCAACCTTAATAATGTAAGCTCACCGTAAACAGGGGTCTAGATGCCATTCTGAATCCATCTGTGCCTGACTGTTGTACAATAGGAAGAGCTTCGGGGTCGTCCACAGCTAGTTTTGCATCGAATCCAACGCTATTCATATCTTTTTGCTGTGTGTCTGGTTGCTCTTTATCCTGTTGATGTTAAATGTATTTCAAAATTATTAACATTTATAAACTACAAGATTTGAATACAAGTCAATGCGAATCCGAGAATAACTTTTGATGACACACAACACACATATCCTTTTACAATGATTCTCTCTGGCGATAAAATGCCTCCACAGTTATATTTCAATACCAGTGACCATTGTCTTATTTGTCCACTCAAGAGTATCAGTTACCTTTACTTAATTTTACGATTTTATATTATTTCCCATTATGATGCCCAGCAACAACTTTAATCCCGTAAAAGATTGACGCCCACCGCTTTGCAAAAAGAGCAATAAACTGAGTGATCTATGCCAAATCGGGAAGATATTTGTCCGGTAAAATAGAGTCTGTATGTATATGCGATTGACCGTTCAAGGCAAAATTTAGAACAAAATCAGAACATTTCTATATTACAAGGACGTACCAAGATCTTGAATTGGTGCAACAAGGTAGGTACATCTGCTAAGCAGCCATATTCATCGTTTTCTGGATTATATTTCGGAATATATCCATCACGTCCGGTACAAATGAACACTTTTTCAATTGTTGCGTCAAAGGAATCCCCCAGGTTCTGTACAGGATCAACGCTGACTCGACCATATATATTAGCGTCTAAAAGCAGAAGGAATGATGAATTTAGTATTAAAAATAACGAAAACTCAGTATTCACGTTTAGTATTGAATGAAAACACAGCACAAATAAACCAGCTTCAAAGTTTGCAATACATATATATATCAATAATGAAGCAAATACAAGAGCATACAGCCTGATGAAAACGTTCCAAATTTAAAATATGATAAAGTAAGAGTAGTGCTCAGCTGGCTGGGTTGATCTACGGTATATAGAGACGTTTTAGGTTCAAGATTGTGTCATGTGTTGTAAAGTAATTTTGAGCTCAAAATCGATAACACTTACTTTCGACAAATGCAACGTCAGTATCTTCAGCATATCCCATGGAACCATCAGAAAGCCAAAGTGATTTTTTACTCAATAAGTAAAAATTTGTGTTCAAACTGAATTCAGCCGATACTGGGTCGCTCACCTAAGATTCGAAAAAGAGTTTTAATAATATTAATAGTAAAATAAATGAAATTTAGATCATATTTTGAATACTTCACAAGTCTTAACTTCAAAACTGGAATCACATGTGGACAACGGAGTACATCAACTACGTTTTGAGTTTTTACCCTTTTTAATTGCATGGAAATGTATCTTATATTGTTGTACTTACTTGTTGGAACCTGATGTCAATATCAAACGTAAGAGGTTCTCTTGGATTGCAAGTTATCGGTATCGAATAAGATTGATCGGCTGTCGTAGTACACGGAATAAGTTTGATAGTGTACGTTCCAGAATAATCTCGGATCTTTGAAGTAAATAAATAAGAGAGTTCAATACCAATCTTTTTTGCTACAACTTACATTTATAACCTTTGTTATTTATGAACATCTTGGTACAAGAGAGCACAGCGACAGTAAAATTTAATTAGCATTGAGGCATGTATTACTATTATGATAACAATAGTAGAAATTTGATTAATTCAGCAAAATACTGCTAAGGTGGAATGTGCGTTATATAGTTTGGATCTTTCTCAATTAGATTTGGGAGAGGAAACGTTTTGATACAGGCAACTATTTCATGCTATAATTTACGAGAAATATTCTATATCATGCACCATTGAAAGTTATACATTTGAAACTCCTGACTTCGGTGTACTTCGTATAAAAAGTACAACAGATCATTCATCAATATCAATGTGATTTCTTACGGCATATTTCGATGTAAAAGTCCAAATCTGTTCCGGTTGATTATATGTTGATTCTGTTCGAACTAGATTAAGTGAAAGTTCTAATTCTGGATGATTAGAACTCATAACCATCGATGTTTGCTCTGTGCTAGGATGGTCCAAAACGAATTGACCTCTGAACCTCGCTTCCGTGCGGAAGTTTACAACCAATTTACCTTCGTCACCGATGCGCATACTTGTTGGGTAAACGTAACCTGTGAGTACATAAATACGAAATTAACCTCATTGTTGGATATATATTCATGAGTATTATTGCAAACGATTTGAAGCTTTAATATTATATTGTTGTTAATGTCTGGGCCAAATTTTTTTTTATCATATTCAATCAATCACTTTCAAATCTTCAGCAGTTTAAAATGGGATTAACTTGCCAATATTTTTATAATTTCCTTTCGCCTCGCTAGGACCCTCATTCTACTCAATAGTTTTGAGTGAAATTGCACCATTATATGGATATCCCAAAATCGTTTTCAACGAGAGTGTTCGTTTGATATATACTTAGTCTGTAACAGTACCTTCGCATACCATAGTACCATATATATACCAGTACCATATATTTAACCATTGCCATGTTTTTATTTCCAATCTAAGATATTAAACTTTTACAAACCTTGAATTTCGGATTCTGGTGGACTTCCGATTCCATTATCCCATAAGGCAGCAGTATCATACGTAAATGTTAAACGTAGTTCAGTTTCTTGATCAAAATGTTGCCAACCTTTTCCGACAGGAGAGTGAAATACGTTTGATACGTACAATGGTACACGCAGAGATACGTAGGATTGTACGTTATTCAAAACCTGGGTGATATTTGAAGAATAAGATTGATTAAAATCATAATTTAACATAGAATTTATTCAATATAGAGCTATGGCGAAATCATTGGCGGCGACCAACTGGCAAAAACTCTCAAAAAATAATTATATCATCGGAATTATACATCATTTATGCAACGTGTTGTTCGATGCAAGCATGGTTTATGCTCAAAATTATGGAGGGATTTATTAAAGAGTTTGTTATTAAATAGGTCACCATACCTGACCGTCAGTGCCGACATCACCTCCACATTCATTCAATAACTCAGACATATCGTAGTATGATTCAAAATTCCACAAACATGCTTCCAGGTTAAGGTTTCTGAATATAAAAGAATAAGTAAGTTAAAGTATTCTATAAATTTTATCTTCTTTATCATGACTATGTTATATTGATTAGATTTACAATGTTTATACACACAAACTCACTTGTAAAATCTCAAAGTATTATTTCCTCTTAGTGCTGAACTGAATTGATAAGGATAAGTTTCACCGATTATATTGCGATCTGTTAGTCCTTCACTAATAAATCCGTGCTGAGTTTTTATTTCATCGAAGTTGAGAATATTCGAACATCTAAAAATAGGTTAAATATTAGATACAGTAAAAACGATGGGAAAAAATGTGATATTGATATACTTATTGCGGTTTGAGCCCATTTCACGAATTTAGTAAACTATTATATGAAACATTTTATTATACCAGAGCCAGATTTTCACCATTTTCCAAGACAAACAATTTACGTAAGCTGGCTCATGCCTAGACTGGACCGTGACTCGGTAGAGCTGTCCTTACAAAACCCACTCCATTTTAGATAATAGGCTGCGAATAGCGACAAATAGTCAATGGTAATTCCACAGTACAATTTGGGAGTCCGACTAAAAAAATACATTTCAAATCTTTCTTACCTGTGGTTTCCAACTCGAGATGCATCTCTGCTCAGGGTAATTTCATAATTGCTTAGTTTTCTAGTACTGATTACTGGCAACATTCCATCAATGTGAGGCATCAACACAGAAACTTTGATTAGGTTTGGATAGTCTGGATGAGAAGCTCCGGTGTAGCGGAATTTTGCTGAAAACGGTTCAGCTCCAACAGAACCAGCTACTCGTGGAGGACAAATTTTTCCGATTTTGCTCACTAAAATGAAAATATGTTAATTGAAAATATGTTTTTGAATGCTATATGCTTTTTTTGTCTCACAAATTGTCATTTTCTAAAAAGCCTTTGGCCCGACCCATTTTTGAATACCTATCCCAACCTTAAATACATTATCAAGGCATAGTTACTGTGCAACAAATCAACACTGTGCTACAAATGGGTACTCCAGTCAATCACAAAATTTTCTTACAAAAAGAACCGTTTGGCTTAGTAAACTCGTTTCGCAAGTTTGTTTAAATATTATGGTCATGGACTAAGTCAAAATATGAACACATTCGTATTATACCTACAAAACGTGTTTATTTTGTAAAAGACGAAAGAATCGAAACGTCAATAACCTGTTACTGGTTGTGAAGTCATTTCGATTCCTGGATCTCCGTTGTCTGTTACCGCTCTAGCAGCACATGCAATTCTACTTCCGGGCTTGAAGAAAATGCTGTCTAACGTTATTGAATTTGAATCAGTGAAAAAAGTGTTTTGTGCAACCTCCCTCAAATTATTAGTGACGTTGTCAGAACTGCTAGGTGCAGCAACCAGCCACCTGAAACAAATGATAACATAGTGAAATTGTGGTCCATACACTAGGTTAGCATTGTATTTTTTTTTTTCTCAGAACAAAAATGCATACCTGTATCTGGTCTGTTTGTCATCAATACCTTCACTTGTGCATATATCTGCTACTTTGTCGTATCCGTGATGTTTAGGATTGCAGGACTGAAAACGAACAAATGGTATTAACAAATAATTTGGTTAAATAGATAGAAAATGATGCTGTTGAAAAAAAGGGAATTACAATTCTTACCGTAACACATACAACTGGATACCCAGGTGCTGGTCGAGCTTTAGCCTTTCCAGTGTCGTCGTAGTCCAAGAGTGAAAATACAGATGGTGGATGAGGGAAAGTTACATCAGCTAAAATCTTTTCTTGGTTAATATATATAATCGCTCTGCTCTCCTGTAAATTAAAATTGAAAATTTAAATTGACTCCTATGTGCATAACTATTTTTTTGGTCCTATAAATTAGTCAGTAAGTTATACTCACTCCTAGATCGGCAATCATGCTGGTGTCAGGTTCAAGTCGGATTGTAAAAGACTCTCGAATTTCTTTTTCTTCGTCGTAAAGAATTTGAAGATCGACAACTTGTCTAGTCACGTTTACATCGAATACGAGCTCTGATGACGCAAACAAAACACAATAAATAGTGGGTAAACTTTGTTTGATAAGTTATTAAATTGACACACGAGAGGTCGGTCTTCCCATTGAAGTGTATAAGACCTCATTGGGTCTTTCCCAAAATAGGGTGATTTTGTGTGTTGTGTCATTAGTGGGAAAACCATTGGCGTGAGTAGGGATGTTGATCACGAATTTTGCCGGAATCGCTTTACGAAAACTTTAATTGAAGTTTCCATATTCTAACCAAATGATAAATTAGGTTTTGCCGAATTTTACTCGTCGACAAAAATTGACCCTTGAATTTGAGTGATAACAGGTTGTATAACATAAAACTCGTGTCACCTTTACTGAGAGGATTGTAATCCTTTCCCGACTCCGCGTTCCCGTCTTTTGTGAAAAATCTCACAGATGAAGTTTGTGTTGCATCTCCCTTTCTAATCACCGCTACACTCAACGTGGCAATGCCTTCAACTCCCGGTTCCGTTACTTCGTATGTTGTCTTCTCAAATCCGATAACGGGTCCTAAAGAGATGGTAAAAATTATGATCGTGTAATGACGTAATCGCCATGACATCATGCTTCATTACGATACTAAAAATTCATTAAATTATTAACAAATATATAAACGTATACGTCCAAGTCCAAGTCGAGTACCCCAAGTAAAATCATTCCAAATATCATATATGAAGTATACAATAAATATATCATGTATGTGGATACTTTAGGGCTTTAGGCCAACAAAAACGTCAAATTAGGAGTGTCATTTACTTAGTTTTGAGTTTTTTTTTTCGAGTAACAGTATTTCACGAATTTACGTTGGGCGTTTTAACAAATGTCAACTCCATTAGGGACGGCTTTGGTTTGTTTATTTTGATACTGCCGTTTTCGACCAGACAAGGACAAGGTAAACAGATCATTATGACCAATAAAAGATCGTTATTAATCAGTGTTCATGTATGATCTAGGAAACACTAACTCTGACATATAATCCTACAATCAAATGAGATTTATATTATTTTGAAATGGATTACTATTAATGTAAGGGCCTGTGTATATCTATTGTTTGAGACGAGTTAATCGTAACGTAAATTCCATAAAAAGAAAGGCCGTTTAGGGTGTGATGCATTATGGGTTAGGTGTGCCACCAAAGAAGCGACAGCAGCATGGGGTTAGTAATAAATTACTGAGCTCAAAAGAAAGACCAATGTGTGTATTATGACTTTTGAGAGCGCAATTAACTATGCCGGTATATTTTTAGAAAGTAAATTTTCTTCATGACAAAAGATATCATGATGTCAAGGAGCGGAAAAGATTGGGCGATAACGGTCTACGAAGATATGTAATATTATGTTGTTCGAAAAGTTGACAGTACATATATTTCAAGATGCCCAGATTGTTATATGATATGGCAAGTCAGACAGAGAAGAGAAAAGGTTTCTTCCGCCAACAATAGTCCCTGAATGTGCCAAGAGATTGTTCATTGCATGGTAAGCATTGTAAAAATTCTTACTGGGTATTTGATATACCACCAAACCATATCAGTTACCACATTGCAAACGTAAGTGTACTCGAAAATCTCAGGAAATAACAAAAATTACCGTCAAATATGCGGTGATGGACACCCGCCAAATGCTATTTTTTTTTATAGTACATGGGTTCTCCATACCCGTTAGCCAGGAATATTTATTCTTATCAAAAATTCAAAACGTGTAATATAAATTTTCGTGAGTTTGTTTTCCAGCGAAAAATACATACTATCTGCATGGTCCAAAATAGTAACAGTTGTTTCAGATGTTTCTCCCACTCTTGCCTCTCCCGCACTTTCGCTTGTTGGTGTCCCCAATACCAGTCTAAACTTTTCCGGGTCTTCGTGAATTCCGTCGTTTTCAATGATAACAGTACAATGACCTTCAGATTGACCTGGTGTAAAAACATGGTTGATTAAAAAGGATATGACATGCAAATTCGTCCGACTACAACATATCCGCATGTGATTTCGGACTTTCAATTTTAAAACTATTGGTAAATTTTATTTAGAAGCGTTCGTAATAATACATGGACCTTATATGGCCGAATATATTTAATATATGACAATATTCAAGACAAGCTATATAAATTGTAATAACATCGTCGTTAAGGCGGAGGAAACCGAATACAGATAAAATCACAATGAGATGTTGCATGGCGCAACAATTTTTGACAGGCTGCGTGCAATTTAATAATTTTAGATAAAAAATTTCAACTTTAAAAAATTTAACATTCAAAATAATATATCTACATAAAAATGATACAAAATTATGATGTAAATGTTTGGAAACTTGATTTTGTTACGATACATTGATGACTCAGTCTAGTTCCCGAAAAAAAGTGACCATATGAGCGCGAACGCGAGCTTCCATCAATACCATACATTCAAGCGTCTGGAACAAAACTAAATATTAACCCGTCTGTGTAGATTATAGAATATTTATAGATATTCCGAAACGTAGTTTATACCAATTCAAATTATTGTTCGCAAAAAGTATTTTTATGAATCCAGATAATCAGAATTACCGTTTTTTTTATTTTAGAAAATTGTCCGTATGCAATGAAATCATGATTTTTGACAAATAGACGAAACTTTTTTTACATAAATTTGCGACAAAATAATGCCAATCTGGGTAATACTAATTTATATTTTCCCAACTTATGAAAGCAACGTCCATTACTAAGATATATCTTACGACCGGCCAAAATCAGTAAAATAGACGCTACAAAATTATATCGTCATGAAAATTTGAAATTCGTAGTAATCTACAATGTTTTGGGTCATTACATGACGAAGCGTACGTACAGGAAATCACTGTCAATGTCAGTCTATAATTTGTCGTTCAAGAATTCAGATTTGAGGTGACAAATTCCAAAACGTGTAATTCGAAACCGACAAGAAACCGCTAATTTGTTGTAAAATCAAATGCATTGCCACGGGTATGCTAGTAATAGTAGAAATGCCATAACCATTGTATTGGATACTGGTACTACCAGACAGAAGCCAAACTTGAAACCAATATTATTTTACTCATGTTAGAACAATATAGAGATAATGTGAATTTTGCCGAATATCATTGAGATTAAAATATCGTCTGCACATGAGAACAAATATTGCTTTGATTAACTTGATTTTAAATTTTTTAGAACTAATCCTAGATTCAAAGCCACAGAGTAATACTGGAAAACTCAAAAACCTCTTCAATAGCTTCGGGCGAACCAAATTCGAATAAGAATTCAAAATCACGATAAAAACTTATTGTTTAAAGTTCAATAATATAATATCATAGTTACATCATCTTTTTTTCACAATATCTTTGAAGACTCTAAACTATTGAAGTCCGCGCTGTAAAAAATTCCAATGCGTTACCTGGTTCAAATTTGACGATGGATGCATCGGTGTTAGGTCGTTCAGCGTAATCCATCATGACTTCAGCTGAAGATTGTCTTGTGTAACATCGGACAGAAGATGTTTGTGACAGGTCGCCACTTCGGACTATTTTTGCTGATAAAGATTCGTCCGATTCGTCAACTTCGTATGTTTCTTCCGCGAATTGCATGAGAGGTACTGTGAACGTGTTATAAGTGAAAATATTTTCTAGATTTAAAATTTTAAAACTTTCAGAGAAACAGTTTTGTGTGGTATCGAATTCCATAAAGAAGCGTTTTCAAAAAAACTACTTTTGACATAGAAATCTCGTTGACGTTTGCAGTGAAAGTTTCAAAAAGTTAACTCAAATGCAGGTAAATAAGATGACTTACAATCTGAGTAGGAATCGTTGATGGTAACCACTGTTACTCCAGGTTCTCCTAGCATAGCTCCTCTGGGCATTGTGAGAATTAATTCAAAAGTTTCTGACCCTTCAAGTTTCGGGTTGCCCAAGTCATCAAGTATGACAACACGAACTGGCTGCATTGTTGCCTGAGGAGCGAATGTTATCGTCTCACTGATTCCAACATAGTCTTCATTTGCTGTGCATGGGAACAATATTGATTTTATTATTTAAAATGGTTTCTCCGAATAATTTGTGGGTATGGTTGGAATTTTAAGCACAAAACGTAGACCTGAATCAGGCTTGCAAACAACGTAATTTATTAATAGGATTTATTTAGCATTCTACGCCAGTTTAAGACCCATCAACAACAATGTTCTCGGAGTAAGAAGGGTCGCCATCAAATCTGACGATTATTGACTCTTTGACTCATTTTGAAAGTGTTTTCATGGTTATAAATAGTGTTTTCAAAATAAAGATCAAGTTCAAGCTAACGTGACAAATCAAAAACAATAATAATAAATCCTATAGCTTTCAATCATAATACTTTCCATCGACCATTTGTCACCAGCACTTAAGAGTCCATGCATTGCATAGTATCAGTTGTTTTAGTTATACAGACTAAATCATTTAACACCTGCACAATATAATCATTCAAATATCCCATCTTTCTAATTCAAAACTACATTTAGATGTATCATGTCTCATCAAGTGTGGGATGATATTGATCATGTCTTTGACGTGTAATTTATCAATATTCTATGCTTGGTCTATAGCAGTAAAATTTGTAAACAGTTCTCCATAAAAGTGATTTTAACATCTAGCAATTTACCTACAAAAATGTTCAACTATATTGACCATGAAAGCGTGGACAGAAGGGCAGAAAACATGCAATGGACCTGATCACCGGTTAATAAAATCAGACGGGGGATGTAGAACGGCACGCAATGACATCTGGAAGGAATTTATCAGACCGATAGCGTAAATCCTATCTCCATCTAAAGCAGAGTATTTCTATTTTTAAAGAGCTGATTTTTTACTAAAATAAATATTTTGTTACGGTCTATTTAAAATGTTCGACTCACTTTCAGTCAGCCATGAAAAAAAGAATTTGATAAATCAAGTGTGGCTCATATTAGATTAGCGATACTAAAATATCGTGGTGGAAATTAGATTTGACTGGGTGTTGGCGTCACGCTACGATTTGCGTCCTATTAGCGACGTTGTGTCACAAGAATTATATTCCTGAAGTGCTTCACCTGGACCACCTTGAAATAGCGCAACATAAATCTCACATGGAGGTTATGTACAACACTCGGTTTATCTCTCTTTCTACACAAGGTTAACAGTTGAAGTATGATTTAATGGTCAGTTTTATCGATGGGAAGCGACTGCATGCATTTTTAGAAAGACAAAACAAGGCAAATGGCTTAAAAAACACGGGACATCTGGAAAACGCATTTTCGAAATGCCAGTCTCCTTATGACTATGGAGGGTCGAATTCCGACACATATTACTCCAAGAAACGGCGCCATCTTTCTCATAGAGCGAAGACTAAATTCCATTACACGTATACAAGATATTTCAATAAATAGGAAATAATGATTTAAAAACGTCGATCAATGAGGATTTAAATTTAAGTCAGAATGGTTAATATAGATTACATTGATCGGCTTAAGTAAATGTATATGTCGGCCTGTGGTGGCTTATTTATTCGACCATTCTGTATTTTTACAAAATCAGCAAAAAAAAGGTGTAGTTACCACAGTAAAATTCTGCCCAAATGTTGACTTTTTCTACTTATCCACCCACCTTTTGCTGATTCGACTTCGCTTTGTTTGGATCTCACAGTGACAGTGGCGATCTGGTCAAGGTCTGGTCCAGTTCTCCAAACATGAACTTCAACGTGACCATCGCTCTCATCTACCTGGTAACTGTCAGCCTCGAAGTATATCATCGGTTCTGTAATAATTCAAGAATGTCATTCATTTTTAGCAGGAAAATTGTATGGTCGTACGAAACAACTTAATATCATACTCTGGTATCAAATTTCAACTCCGCAGTTTGTGTATTACGTTATAAAAATGACACCAGAAATACAAAAATGTCGCTCTCCGCTACCATGAAGGATGCTCATATTTTAATCAGTTGGCATTTTATAAAAGTTCTTTTAAATAATGTAAATTGATTTACTTTTATGAAAAATTGAGATATATACCAAATTTTACTTAAAATAAGTAGTGGGCAGAAATTACTATTTTATAAGTATTTTTAGAATGAAATTTCTTATTACTGATATAACATATAATGTCACTTGTGCATAAATAACTATTAGCCGCTCGGTCAGTTAACATACCATCGTCAGAATCTGCTTCGATAGTTATCTCTGTATCAGAAAATTCTCCTAGTCTACCACCCATCGGTGACGTCAATCTCGCGAAGAATTTTTCGTCTTCTTCGTACAAGGAATCGTCGATGATGACAATTCTGCAATTCTTTTCTGATTCGCCTTTCTCAAACCTTAAAAATTTACAACATTATTGGCATTGCTCATATACCTAAATCATCCTAGGATTATTCTGAGATAAATGCTTGGTTTATTAACGTTATACACATAGAAATATATGCACTTTACTTACTTTATAATACTGTTATGATCATTGGGTCTGCTGATATAATCGGAATAAGAAAGCACTGTTGTTGGTGTAGTACCAGTAGCTGATTCTGAAAATATAAAAATGGATAAATTACTTGAGTTGTATGTTTATAGAATTCATAACTTTCTGACGCGGCTTCGCCAATTTTTATGATTTTGCAGATATATAGGGGGTTTAGAAATATTTTTGTACTTTTCATCTTTTGGCGCAGTTCATAACATGGGGATAATATTTCATCAGCATCAGAATAAAGAATAACTCATTTTGAGAATCAGTTATGTAATTATGTAATACGCAAGTTTTTTCGTTACACGACTTCGTTACATGTCCCTTTTCCTTTAGGAATTGTAATCATCCTTTGTCTAGAATCGATTGCGCAAGTCTCCGTCTTTTCATTTTTATGTCTCAATATCTGCATTTTTTCATCAAATGCCAGGCTTGCGAAAAGTAATCTATCTGCGTGTAGTTTATCGAAAATTGATTAAGTCAAATTTAGTGTCAAGTGTTTGTTTAGCAATGCATTTATGTGCTAAGTATGGCGGCGACTGGGTGCCGGCGTCCGGCAATTGACTTTAGCGAGTTAGGTTGCATCGATACCAATATCAAATCAATTTTGTTGAAACGTTTGCAAACAATGGAAAAATTTTGGGCGCTGATTCAAAACCCGAATGAAGTGTTTGATCAAAGTCACCTATGTTGAGGGATAAACGTGCGGTTTTTCAGTAAACACTGACTCGTGAGGAATAAGGTTACCCAAAACGCAAATCAGTCTAAATCTGGGAGATTGATACAGCACTTTTTAAGTACAGATTATGTACTTTTCAAACATGGAAAAACATATCACAAATTCTTGAAAATGATAATAAAAGTTTACGAGGGACGAAAATGGCCAGGATTTGACGTCTAGACATGCAATTAACGATTTCAACTGTTTTACCAATTAACCACCGTTTAGCTTTTTCAGACAAAAGCTTGGCAAATTAGACTACTTTAGAGTGGTCACTACTTAATAGTTAAGGTATACATCTTCAAAGCTAAAAGCAAATACAAGTTTTCACAACAATACATATTGAATGCCTAAAGTTTTAGGTTATCTAGTAATTTCTAAACCAAAATAGAACAAATTGTTGAACTTTTTGAGCGACCTTGGTCTATGTTTGCTATCACAGTATCCTAATTAAGTGTTCTGGCCGTCTGTCTGCACCGGAACGGACAATTTCACAATATCTTAAGTGCTTGCGTGGGAATTTCGTGTTTTGTAGTTTTCTTGTTATCTATGATATGTTTAAGTTTTCAATTAGCCGAAACTGGTTAACAAAAAATTGACAAATTCTACGGAAAGTGAAGACAAATTTTTGATGACCAGGCAAACGCGACACGGACGAATAAACACCAATCAGAATGAGCCCATTCATCGTCCTGGGTTAAAACAAACTCGTTTCGTAAATTTTTACGACTTTACTTGTAAATTTGTACTTTAAAAACGCTATTTTCGTTAATTTTTCGAAAAATTTTATACTAAAACAGGGGAAAAAAAGATTATTTTTAAATTCGAAATTCTGTATAATTTTATGCTTTTAAACTTGCTCAATAGACCTCATCAAACCAAAAAATTTACATCACCTAACCTTGCCGGGTGCGGGCCACGATCGCGCCGCGAGGGCATCGTACATATTTGTTCCGTGGCTGGTAAAATATGAGCTCTCAAATATGAGATTGATCATACATGAATCTTGGAAAATACAGTTGTGACTGTGGGTGGGTGGGGTACGTGTGATTTCTTATATGTGGAAACCAACTATACATTAATCACCTTTGCTAAAAGGCGATTAGAATTTCATGCAACCCCACATCAGAGAAAGTTTAGTGTTTGGGGTTACACCACTAACGACGGACGAAAAAGGAAGTCTGATACTATTAAGAATATCGTGAATTCGTAAACTTTTTATCGCATTTTAGTGTTATTTTTAGGGGTATTAAACAAAGCATTTTTCAAATCAACGCGATAGAGAAAAATGGTTGTCTTTATCTTAAAATATAATGAATTTTACAGAATAATAACACAGTGTTTCTTTTTGTAAAACTTTAAAACCAAAGAGTATTTAGATGGATTATGATAGGTAAATTATCATTAAAAATTTATCATTTGAGCCGGGTGGGAACGAAACAACATAATTCATCAAACAGAAAAGATGTTACTAATGATTTTTTTGCTTGCTAGATTATATTACATTCCAAATATGGATAGGTCGGGGAAGAAGTATATCCAAATTCAAAAAAAAAATTCTGTAAAATTTTAAATTTTTAGGAATAAAATTATATTTTTCAATGCCTTTCTTTTTTCTTAAAAAATATTCACAACCAAAGTTGGTGAAAATTGACAAATAAATTGATACTTTCGGAAATTGTAACATCTTAGATAATTTAAGTGCATCGACATACCATATGTACGTATTTTGGCCGTAATTGCGTGCAATAGGTTGCATCTACAAATCTGTGTTTGATAATATATTACTTATATCACCACTGAGGGCTCGTAAAACGGTTACAATATTTGTCGCCCTTTGACAACTTTATGGCAAATTCAAGTGATAAACCACGCCAGCTGTGACCACTTTTATGGATTTAGTCGTCATCAGGTCTGTCCCGCGGGAATTTTTTCAAGTTCTATCTTGCGAAGTGTACTTCATAACTTGTGACGGGTCAATCGTCTGCGAAAAGGCGGCGCGTGCGCACTTGAAACTGAACATTGAAGAGGCATCCGTCCGGCCAAACATAAAAGATAGTAACTGTATACGAGATCGTAATAGGTCGTATACTGTAATTCACGTTTGACTACCTTAATGCGCATCTTCAGTTTTAATATTTTACGGCGGTTGATAGTGGGTCAAGTATGAAAACATGATTAAAACGCGTGTTATTAACGCGGTTTAAGCATGTAGTGTTGCTACCGAAGTAAATAGGGGTTAAATGCGACATGTCATAATTTTGTATAAACAGACCCATTTCCGAACATACAATGCATCCCTTGTTTTGACGACACGATTTAAAATAAAAAGTCGTCCGTTCGTCCGTAAAAGGCTCCTCGTTAAATCTCGCGAGGAAATTGACCAAACTATTCAAACAATTGCGCATGTCGTGTAATTTGTGTGATTTTCTGGCCAATTTCCAAAAGTTTTCTCTTCCTATTTCGAATGTTCACGAAAAGTGGGATATGGGTTTCGTAATTATAGAAATTAGCTGCCACAGAAATGTAGTTTTGACACGATGTTGTAAACATTATTTTACCCTTCTGACTAGTTTCCTACATATTGATCATTATCAATTAAATAATTTCATTGAATTAAATGGAATTCCACAGTTATGAAATATAGGTATACTTTGTCACTGTTGGTAGCTCATTTCTTTGACAAAAACCGTTCGACAACGTCGTAACCTTTTGTAAAAATTAAAGCCTGTATGTATACCTTGTTCTGTATAACACACAACCATCATTTCTTTGTTCAAATCTCCGCTTCTCCTTACTGGAATTAAAAATTCTCCGATATCCTCTTGTATAATATGTACATCTTCGGGGAAGAAAACGGTGGATTCTGTAAATACAAAGTCAAAGAATATATGTGGGAGAAGACTTTGTCATTTTGATAGAGTTAATATAATCACTTCATTTCTGTATTAGAGTTTAGAACAAATATTTTAATGGCACTCTCAATTCTCAATAAGTTTAGCAACATTATTTACAAATATTTTAAATTTAAATTCTTTCAATTTTTTAATTAAATCGATGTGTTTGAGAAAACAATAAAATCGGTTATTTTGGGGCACTAGGTTTGTTCCTGTAAAAATAAAATACTGGTCTCCTCGCGAGAATAGAAAAATAATATTAATAAATTCTGATATATTAGAGTTGAAGACTGAGTTTTTATTGATCGCACCTTACTCGAATTGAAAGCTACCTGAACACACACAGTACACGATGGAGACCACGGTAGTATGTGGTTTAGCTCTAATTGTAAAAAAATCGTTCTCAAACAATTATACAAAAACATTGATTTCCAACAGCTACAGATCCGTTGCCCCGTCGAACATTTACAACAGGATATTCTCTTAAAATAAATATGTCGACCAACATTTCGAATACGAAAACTACGCCTTTTGTCATAAAATTAATTTTAATTTTATTGAATTAAACATACCATCTTCCTGGTCCGTTATTTCAACACTAGAATTCGACGGCTCTTCAATGATACCCATGACAGGATCAGATAAATCAACATAAAATATTTCCGATTGCTCATATTCTTCATCCTAAATATATAAAAATGATTTACAAATGAATTTGTCATTCCATACTAAAAAATATTGTTAGTCTCAAATCTTAATATCGGCCCAGCATAAGGCTTTTGCATGCAAGTATGGGGGGTTGTTGCAAAGCAGTACTGCTAACAAATTACATACTGACTCGAACATTAGAATATTCTCATCGATTAATAAGTGGACAACGAGAACTTCGCGTGGCATCGTAGCGAATTTAGAAACCGCTTCATGAACCATTACTATGGGCGATATTCTGAAAACCTCTTATAGTAAGTGATTGTGTAGTGATTATTGATAGACTATCAAGTTGAAAGGGACAATGGGAGTTTATAAAAGTTGTTGAATGGGCTCCATTTCCAACACCTATAATTTGGTTCTTAACGAGTTGTGTGTTCATCCAAAACTATTCCTTCGTCATTGACAGTTTAGGTGATAATACCAAAGAAAGATTGGTTGGTTGTTTTTAGATTTGTGTGTAGAACTGGTACAAACCTGTAGGATTCTGACTCGCCATTTCCCTTCACTTTGTCCTGGATTAAACTGAACTTGATTTGCAGATGTAGTTTTGAAATCTGCACCTTCAGTGGCAGTTCCGTTTCTCGTAGAAATCGCTGTGAGAAGAGACATGAAATTAAGTACAAGCCGATCCACAATAACTACCGTAAGTAATGTTGGAGCTGGTTGTGTTCTAATCGTTCAATTTTTATTACAATAGCGACTTTGCTCGAAGCTTAAATGCATAGATACCGACAAGAAACACAAAATTTCGGTTGAAAAGGGGAAATGTGGACTAAATATAGGACGACCAGAAAATGAACAGAACTCAGATATTTGGGAAATATTCTATAAGGAACCTAACTTTTGAGAAAATCGTAACAAATTAGTGAAACGTTTGGGTACAATCAAATAGAATTTCATGTGTTCAAGTGTTAAAGGAATTTTTCCATTTCAGTAGAAGTAATTAAGGAATAAGTGTTCTGCATTTTTTGGATCACCTTCTCGAATAATAGTGCTTAGGTCTAATTATTATTGTCACTAATTATCTCAAAAATCATAAATAAGTAGCTGCTAAAATAATTTGAATACACGCAAAATGTTTATCAAAATTTAAAAAAATACCGAAATAAAAGAGCTTCCGCGGAGTTGGCAAAGTTCAAAAAAAGACACAAAAATTTCTACATAAAATAAAAGACATGAAAAATAAAATATAACTTCTGGGTGGCATATCATACTACAAACCATCATATGACTAATAGTATTGTGTTGCTGTTGTAGTAATAGCTTATTATTCCCGAAATGATTTTAAGAAAATATCAAAGTTGAATCGGGTAATTTATACTCTCTAATATGGCTGACGCCATTAAAATATACCCTTTTTAGCGTCACAAATTGTCTCAAGAAGAACATAATCCGTCGCGAGCGCGGAAACATGAAACGAAGCCGTAAAATATACGTAAAGCGTAAAAGAGCCGATACAGTTTTATTTATTGTTTTTACTTTTATTATTCTGTGTTTTTTATTTTTAAGAGATTTATACGCTTGGAGAACAGTCGTTTGGGAATTAGGGACACTTTTGTATTTGTTTAGTTCATAGTTTTGTGTATAAAGATCGAAAAAGTAGGTTAAGTAAATTTTGATTGTATATTTTACCAAGCATGGCTTGATGTTATATCTCGCTGGCGCGATATAACATCCACCCATGCTTGGTAAAATATAATCTTCAAAGACCTTAGATGCGTATTGAAGATAATGTAAACAATATATATACGGAAATGTAGCGGGAATCTAAACAAATCACATTTTTGAGGGAGAATTTCCAAGAACATAGGATGTGGTTACGCAGATTTACTTTCGATCATTTATTTATACCGATCATGCTTGTCCAACATCTCCAGGTTTAATAAAACGGGTAAATCGTCAAATGCAACGTTCGGGTGGCAAATTGCCCTTTTCCTCTTGTTTTAGGAACCACTAGATGATTTAGAAAACTTTAGACAACGATAGACACAACACCACTGAAACGATCATAGAATAATAAATAACTTCAAAAAAAGAAAAAAATAATTTTTTTTCACAACATTACAAAAAAGCATTTCACACATGGGTATAATTTCACAAAAATCCAATCGCTATTCCTATTTCGCTATTCTAATTTCGCTATTTTCTTATTTTTTATGAATCAAAAAACTTTGTTACTAAACTAAATGATCGCACTTATTTTCTGTTTTTTAGCACAAATCTATTTCACACAATTAGTTATTTCCTACACTTTTTGTCAATAAAAATTCATTTTCAGGAGAAAAAATATGACAAATGACGGAGAAAACATTTTATCCCCTTTTAACAGACCGCAACAAAATTCATCATTATTTTGTCTTTTGAAGTTTGCAATAATGAATGAACCCGATTCCCTCCAAATTTATGTATCAGTGGTAAAAATGACGTCATAGTGGTTTTCCAAGTAAGTACCAAAGAAAAAGATCATGTTCTCACGCGACTTATATAGCCCATACTCACACGTAAGTAGCAAAACGTAGCAAATTATCAAGATGACTCAAACACTAATGAAATAATCTTTAAACAAACTTAAACTTCAGACAAATTTTGGGTTTGTAAAGCTAAAAAAATGTACTCACTGACGAATGAGGTCTCGCCCAGATAACCCCGTCTCTTTAAAATGATTTCAAGGTACTTTTCTTCTTCTGATACGTTGTAATTTGCGCTGCTTAGAGAGATGATTGCCCAGTTCAGCATGAACTTTTGCTCGTCAAGTTCATTTTCACCTGTAATTATATTTTGAAATTGATTTGTTGTTATGAATAGAGCTGAAATATTATTTATTGTAATTCCAGTTTGGATATGAAATATATAGTAAAGGTCGCTATTTTCAAAACTTGAACTATTTGGAATAAGATGAACAAATCGGATTCTATCGACTGCTTGAATGGAAAAACAATTGACCCATTTCATCGACCATTGAAACATTCATTCAAAATGCGATTATCTGTTGTTTTTAATGCTTACGGTCACTGTACATAACATTTATTACAAATTTAATTTTCTTTGAAATGTTCGTTTTTGGAAAGGCAATGTCAAAAAAAACAAGGAATCCTATATTTTTTTTAAATCCGGGGGATGTGAATAGCATACGTTTAAATTAAAAGCCTAAGGAAGATTTGAACACGACATGCGTTTAATATAAAGCATTACGCTATGTGGCCGCCTCGCCCAACATATTACAAGCTAAACCAAAAACAATCAATTCAGGTTTCAGCTCGTTCCCTCCATTATTACGAAAGATAAGATAATGTAATAATACGTCCAGATAGTTATTTGCTCAACGCACGTAAAATAGTAAAATAGGAAAACGCTCGATAGAACAAATTAAAATTTCTGAAGGAGCTGTCCGGTGGACAAACAAATAAATAGTCTGAGGACGGCTAGCTCAGCCGCAAAATTGCCCTACCCGGGTGCAAACGATTTTTAAATTTCTTGGTATACGCAGAAATTGGTTCCCAAATCGCCTTTCGCGGTATATTTTTACTGCTTTATCAGTTTTTATTATCTCTAAATCAAATTATTAGTGGAACATTTGGTAAAAATGAGCACGGAGGCCAAACAAATTAACCTCAACGTTCTTATAATGACTGTGACTTTGTTGTAAATATTTGGAATGAGTTTCTTTATTGCTATCATGCGTGATCGGTGGTATATATGTTCACTTCGACCAAGGTTGTTCATGTTTGAGACATATTGGGATGATCGAGAAAAGGAATCCGTTACATTTCTATATTACAAGTATAATTTATTCGCCCGCATTTGAAAATGTTCTGAATGAAGATACCAGCTCACATACAGTTGTTGACATGTGGGTGGGGTGCTTGCAACGTCATATTTAGCTATTCAGTGGCAAATTGATATGAATTGATAATTCAGTCATATTACAATGAAACACTACAGATATATATAATAGTGAGACGACCACCTTGTGACATTTCAAAAATCTAGCTTTTAACCAAAAATAATAAACAAAATAAAACCTCCTCCAAACTAAAATATAAATCAAACGAAAGCTGGTATGTTTTGTTCAGATCATTTCATCTTTATTTATGACGACAAAATAGAAAAACTAACAATTATTGATATTACTTTACGTTGATAACGTAATGAGCGTGACGTGACAGAGTAAAGCTACATGGTAGGTCAGGACAGGTGATCTAAAACATACAGATTGCATTCACTCAGTCTTAGTCAGAGAACGTTGTTGCTCCTCTTGTAGCTAGAACGAATATCGTTAAAAAGGCTTACATAACAATTGAGTCCCCACAATTGAAATAAATATTTGTGAATTTCTATTCAAGCGCCATCGGATGGATAAGCACACTTTTTAAACAGTATTCAATTACCAGAAAATGTATTCAATAATCGAAGTTGCAGTTTGACAATATATAAAAACTTTGATGGATAGGAAACAACTGGGTGAGTATCACTAATGGTTAGATAACGACTTTCGTACTTCCCATGCTTAGCCAAATGCAATCGTAGAAATCAATTACCAATGATTTGATAATGAGAAGACGATCCATATAAATTGACCCAACGCGTAAAGAGCGCGGTAACTGGGCATAATTGTAACGATAAGGATCGATAATAGTGCCGTAGGCATGGGCACAGGTATTACCTGCGTATCTAGATAATTGCTAGTATTTATATCTACATTTACATCCAATAAGAACGCGGAAACCAAGAAAAGCACACTGTTACCTAACAATGCACAAGGGAGAGAAATTTGACGCTAAAAAGTTGTCTGTTATACCATTTCCTAAGTCGAGGTCAAAATGCATGCCCAGACTCTGAGTCAATTTAGCCTGGGGTTAACTATCCACGAAAGCGTTCAAATACAATACATACACCCTAACGCGTTTGTTATGGGATACTACCATTTAAATTCAGTAAAATTAATTATTTTTAACGTCTTTGAGATTTTCTGTATGCTTGGATTGGAACATTAAAAGTTTAATATGAAAATGGTTCATATATTGAATTACCTCTAAATATACGTTCATTTTACGTTTTGAATGAGATGAACAATCATCACAACATCATTACGTTTTGAGAAAGTAAACCACCGCTTGTTGGTATCGAGCGATACGCTTTCATGCGCGCCAGAGACGCGTGAAATGAAAAAACCACCAAACGACGCTCTAGTTCTCTACGGTTTCCGTCCGTCCGTCACTCATTCTCGACTCAGTCAGACGGAAGCCGTGTCCTGGACAGATACCGGGTAACAGTGGGCTCAGAGGTTGCTACGTGGGTTTACTCGTAACAAAGTTGATAGAAAGTCCTTATATAAAATCGGAGTTAACTTGCCGAATTTGATTACAAAAAAAAAATCGTTTTATTTAAAGCTACGGTATAAAAAATATGCTTTTTCCCGATTCAGGTCATCGAAAATGCTACTTTTTTCCTAATTTTACAATTTTATCAGGTAAATTATCAATCATAACGAATTTTACAAATAATATCAAGATTTTGTTGTAGAATCAGAATTCCCTAATGCAAACATATGGACATCCTCACTTGCAATTGCGACAATAAAATCGAAAGTTGTCAATCATTTCATGATATCAAGTTCTCCAAGAATAGCTTTTATTGAAAAAATTTGGGCATGACTTATATCACGTATAGGAAAGAATTAGGTATGTCCAAATATAATTTCATATTATTACTTTTCTATTGGGCGTCGCCCTTTTGACTGATACGTGACTCACAATTAATATTACGTGGGCATGATTGTCCTAGCCACTCCTAATGCCACAGCGATGACTACCGTGTGTCGTGGTATACAAAACATGGTCCCACGACCGGAAAAAAGTTTGGACTCAACTCCAGCGCCAAATATTGACTTAATATTTCGCCACAAACAATTTCTTACCCCGGTATTTAATTCAGAATCAATCTATTGTGTTCATGTATGAACCACTTCGCTCATCTTTTTTTAAGATGATTATAACAAAATAAGTTAGCTCGAAATGGGTAACTTTGGAAGCGTGCATTAATTTTTGCATTAATGTTGTCAAAATATTATGATTGCAGCGACATGGCATCGGTGTTTATAGGACTCAAATTTTAAAAATATGTTTAACGTATTTTGTGCACGTTTTTGGAATCTATGCTTGGCAGACTATCCAAAAGTGTTTGATATTAAATTTGCGGTATATTCATGCTTGAAACACTACCAAAAAGTGGCTTTCTTTTTAATTTGTAGTATGAAAAATATTCAAAAAAAATCGACCCAAGAATGCCTTGCATACCCCGTTTCGCAGGTTGCCCATTGGTTTAAAAACCTACTCCACAATTGACCCCGTATCACCCGTCACACCCACATCGTTCCCTTCGACTGATCGACTGATAGAAGGGTAATGGTGCGTCAATTTTAAAGAGTATCAAACCAGAATTTAAAGTCTATCAGACGTGGGCCAAATGATTATCTAACATATGGTGCGATATCATTAACTCAATAATTGGATTTTCTAGAAATACGAGAATAAACTTTACTTTGTGGTAAATATGAAATAAGTTCTATTTCAGGGATGCCAGAAAATTTGGTTTGAACGAGATTCAACATTCAAAAAATGTAGAACTATTGTTTCCTAGAAGTGTTTTTGTGCACACACTTTACGTGTGTCAAATTTATTATATAACTATATATTTCTAAATTAAATCGACTATTATTTGGATTATTATCGTAAATCATGAGTCGATGAGAACAACTTTAATGGGAAATATCCGAAGGGCACCATTTCGACCACATTTTTAAATACGAATTACCTTACAAACGACACATACGCTCAGAAAAATGGAATTTGCAAAGATTTCGAGATCCCTCTCCCTGACGAGGGTTTGGTCTATATGGAGCCATACTATTTACCCACGACTGTACGTGATTAATCATAATATAAAAGTACGTTACTACGTGCTAAAATTAACAACATGACTTGGCATATTTATATAGGGTCATAATTACCCTATAAATGATACATGCCCTACCCAATGCCACCCCTACTTCGTCTCCAAGTTGCGTGCAACAAGAGTGAAGAATCCATAGAGACGACGTCAACACGACGTACCAAACACTTTACGCAACTTTTACGTGACAGCATCTCTGTCAACGCCAAGAAATCGCCACAAATCATTTCAATGTGTTTGTCCGACGCACCCCAACGTATCTTAAATGAATTCCGTCAAACTCGGAAGTAAACGCGAGAATTATCATCGGTGTGGTCTTGGTCGAGCGTAATAAGAAGAAAATAACAATAAAAATGCGAGATTTGAATTAAAACACCAGGCTATAAATAACTTAACGATAGAAATATTTCCCATGAAAGAGGGGTCGTGACTTTAGCTTCATGTTGCGACACGACCACTTGAAAATGGCAAGTCTGCCACCCAGTACGAACACAAAAACTATGATAATCGTGTTCGTGAGTAGGAATAGCTTTCATGGGATCAATACAGTGGGGAAAGTATCATTTTCATCGTCTGTCTATGGGATATGTCGTGGTTTTCTGAAAATTAGCTGTAGCGACGGTCAAAATAAAAACAAACACAACGATATTCTAAAAATTCATTAAAGCACGCAGTTTGTTTCTCAGACAATTGATATGTTTTGTAGAAACAACAAAGTCGGTTTTACAATGGAATAAAAAGACAAAAAGACAATATTATAAGATAAGATATTATAATTTTAGTCCAGTATACACTGTAAAAAATATTGAAGACTTTGACTGTTATCCCTTTTATTGGGTAGTGCAAGCTCCGTCTATAGCATAATAAATGATTGCTTATTCGAGCCTTGTGCTGAGAGAAGCAGGGAAAATATTTAATATCCAGTGGACGATAATCTATATTTGCAGTTAGGAAACCAATGGCATTTCAGTGCCACTGGCACTGACATTTTACCATTTTTTTCGTCTAAAAAATGCATCTTTTGGAAAAAAGTGTTACCCAAAGACAGACAGTCAGGAAATGAACAGATTTTTTGTGTTCGCGTGGTTGTGCAATATTAAACTCTATTCTTTACACTCGCACATTTTTGGCAGCATTATTATATTCATAATAAAAGTAGAAATTTCTGCCCAATCCTCAAAGTGATGACTGATTTTACCATAACATTGTCTCTGAGTAAACGTACACGACTTCATATCAAGCGAAATAACGCACAATCGAAATCAGATAGGGATCGTCCGTGCGGGTGGAAAGAGTGTGGTGTATTGTTGCAAATAAATCACAGCATTTGATCGCTCGTTAGGACAATTTGTCAATCGCTGACAAGATGCTTCAACAAAACCAGGATACAATTTTAAGAAAATGTTCCTTCCCTACGTCAATGTTAATTTGTTTGATCATTTTGTACATGTTTCGTCACAAATGGGCCAACGATAACCATTACCATTGTTAACAAATTTTTCGTTTCAATAACTTCGATCGCATTTTTTGATTCGCACACGAGACAACGACAATGCGGTTTTATCTAAAAATATCTTGAAGTATTTTATAATAATTTTGAAGTGAAAATACCTTGCGTTTATTGCATTTATAAAGAAAACTGTTGAGGACATATTCGTCGATTAACGACATTTAACGAACAGTTACATTTTGTGATGTCATTGGATCAATTTTTATGATGTATTTTATGTATTTTATCTGCAAAATTACCTCTACAGACATTCCATATGGATATTATGAGCTATTAAAGGTTGTACGTGCCAGTATCTTGATTTGCTATAGCCTACAATACTCAAACCTTTGCTACATGGGCGAACGCCAACTGAAAGCAGATGCTGAAAACATTAATAGGAAACGGTTCTCTAATTTAATGTTATTGAAAATTATTTCTAACAATTTTAGAAATCAAAATGTGATTTCTTTCTAATAAAATTGACGTCTTCACAGTAAATCAAAATTTTACGTTATTGAATATGAATTGCAAAGAATGATAGAAATGCTTGCTCATCTCTGAACAAGTATTCAAGCCAGATTCCTTCGACACACCCTGTCGTCTTGAATATGATAGTGCCCAGAGATTGTAAAAACAAGACCATGGGTTGTTACACCACCGATCTTAACACCTGTTCCATACAAATTGTAAAACTTTAACTCAGACGAACCTGGGGGGCTTCGACATATGAGTTCGTTAGTTCTCCGCCCCTCGTTGGGAAAACCATGTTCTGTCTGGCATCATATAATTCCACACAGCAAACAAACAATGAAAACTTTATATTGGTTCATATCCGATCGTATATAAAATTAATTTGATACCTTATTTATATATTTCCCACGCTTTTTATAGCATAAATAAAAGTTTCATTTCAATAGGCGATTCGGCTCTTGCGTGCCTAGGTCGCGTGAGAAAGTGAACGTGTTACCATTCGGAAAGTGTCGCTTTTGCAAGAGAGGAATGCCGACCCGACCACATTTACTCGTCGACCTAGTATAACTTTACAATCGTTGTGTATTGATGGGGGTCTCATTTTACTAAAACAAGGGTCTCAACCTACAAAACCCCTATCAAATTTACATCAATCGTTAATTTGGGGTCGATTTACTATTGATGTGAAAGAGAACACTTTGATTTTAAAATGAGGAGACTCAAGTAGGCGGGATTGGTAAGATGTCAGATTATTTAATTGTGACACAACATGTCTACAAGTGGTATCAGATACGCTAAGAAAAGGCAGCCATGTTTGGTATTCAAATCGAGTAGCAAATTGGATCCATGTTTTGTTCAATTTACAACCAAAGCTGGTTATCGTATGTTGTTAAAAACAAGGTATTTCTTTAGCACATTGTGTTCAACTAACGTGTTTGAGGCAACAGTGTTTTTATTGTTTGAGTTTTGTGACGAGAATTGTGTCTAGCGCAAATTCATTTTATCAAATCAAATTTATATCATTGGGGATAAATATGCTGATTTTTAAGGTAAAAATGATTCTAAATGTTCTATGCGTTATAAAGAAACTAATTCCAATCTTATTTTTTGTTACGATCATACTTGCCGAGACAATTTTGCAAAAAAATGATATGATCAAATCTTTTTCAGATAAAATTACAAAATAATTTAGTTTGGTCGAATTTTTCTTCAATCATAATATTTTTTCAGACATTACTTCCGTATTATGATCTGTTTTGTATGGGAAAGGACAATACATTTTTGGTCGCTTTGATTTCAATTTATGCAGCCGAATGTCTCGTACAGTACAAGTCGCTAATGGTTATTAAGAATAACAATTCCTAATTCTATTGTGTAAATCCGCTATCTTATTATATGACGAATAAAGATGACCGCAATTTGTTCCACCAACAATGTTTTCGATGGTGACAGGTTTTCTTTTCGTATCACTCATAGGTTAACTATGGCCTGAGAAAATTTCATTATTTATATATCTATTATACATATGACACGCTTGATAATGCATGAAACACAAAATACCTTATCGTCGGCGGACGCACTGAGGTAAACAAACAAATAATGGATAAGACGTGCGCCATCGCTTGAGATACTCGAATCCGTTGACCAATATGGAATTACCACAACATAATATTACAAAGTATAAATCATGATTAAATATCGTACTTTTTCATTGTCCCATATTTGATTGATTGGGTTACGGATTGCTTCTTTAGTGGGGACTAACTGACTACCGCGATACAGGTGAATATTAGTGATGCGGTGAGAAAATCGGATCACCGGATTATTTTTGGCAAGAATAATGGATTTTGGCAGAAAGTCAAGGAAACCATAAATGCGTCATTTTAGCAGTTTTTAGCTTGTAGGATAACGGGTAAGGTAACCACTGCACACCAAAGCAGGCTGAAAATAATCCTTAGTGCTTAAAAACGATACCCTCACATTCTTTCGTGTTAGGCATTAGGTTGTTAACAGTTGGGTAAGTCCACTTCGCACGTTTCAAAAAACGAGCTTAATTTTTCAAAACTTGACCAATAGGGTCAATAAACGAGGCTTAGAGACTATCTTACACTAAGCTGACACTTTCAGTCTAACAAAAATAAGAGCGCTGGTGTACGATACTAAATATTATAAATCAACAAAGCGGGATAGGCTTAAATCATCAAATTTTGAGTCAAATGATAACGATTTCATTCAATTCGAGTTTATCGGTTTTAAGTTCCAGCTACAGTCAATTTGAGTTTGTGACGGCAGTTCAATCAAATTCAAGTCATTATTTAGAGGTCATATAAATCCTACTCAACGAAGGCTACTATACTTGATGAGCCTCCTTCAAATACCTTCAAGGAAAATATATTTGCGTACAAACACCTTCTTGGAGCTGTATTTTTGATCCCCAGATAGATGTCCAGTTACGTAGTAGCTATTAGGTGATTTGTAACTACACAAGACATTAATTAAGACAAATGACAAAATTCAAGTATAAGCACATTGGATCTCATTTGTGGAAAAACAAATTATGTTATATAATTGAACATTGAACATTTCGCTCACTTAAAAAACCTTCCCACGGACAATGTATAAAAGCGAATTAAAAAAAAAATAAAAAATAAAAATAATGCGATAATAGACAGAATAAAGCAAGCTTAAAATTCTGAAATCGCATTGAAAGACATAAATCCATCTAAAAGCCAAATATTTGACCTGGTAAGTAGGAAATCAATCATTTTACCTTTGTCAACGACTTTGAACTTGAACTCGTCTGCTGTAGCGTTGCTTCCCGGGTTGAGAATATAGAAAATATTCATTTCATCTATGTCACCTATGAAACAAGTAATAAAACACGGATAATCAAAAAAATGTATTTTAAAACATTCAAAGAATATTAAAAAAATACGAAAATATACTTTAATTTACGTTTTTGTGAAATGGTTTTAAGCGCTTTGAGTTTTTACTTCAAATATGTAATTCACATTGACATTTATTTGTATTATCACGTCGACAATATGTTTTCTGTCATTATGTCTGACATATTATTAAAAATCCCAAAATTGTTTACTTTATTAATAAATACTACTTCATTAAATACGTTATAAATTCAAAATGGCAATTAAATTCATAACTGATATAAATGTTTACTGAAATCATAACTTTACATTAATATTAAATTAAAGTTCGATTAAACACCTATTGAGACTAAACGACGCAGTCCCACTTGTCAACATCTCATTAAAATGCAGTGGCACGCGCCATTATTAAATAACTTCATACAAAATTCATATTTATTTGTTTGTTTAGATATAAATATGCATTCCCTTGGGACATTTTTTTTTCATTTCAACATCAAAAGCGCCGAATTTTATTCTTTGCTAATGCGAATAATTTCGTTCATAATTTTGTTTTGTTCAACAATATATGGGGGGTCATTTCTGCAATGCTAGCTCAAGTAAAATTTATAACAATATCAATTTTCAAATAACAAGCATGGCCGATATTAGGGTCAGCGTTTAATGGTCAAATTTTATCTTTATTTCATATATGACCAGTGGTAATGTATTAAATACCTGAGGGTACATTCTTTGACTCCTAATGCGTAAAGTCGTGACCACATTAAAATAGTCCCGTGGGTATGCTTATTTATCCTCGATTTAACATGGGTGGTGGTTTATAGTTGGAGACTATTTTTGACCCAAAGGGTTAAGCTATGTATATTAAACACTGCTGATCAAAAATTCATTAGTACCGAGGTCGCGCCAAGTTGAAAAGTTAATTCATACTCTATAATCTATACTAACAAAGGATTTCAATGTCGTTTTGTAGACTTTGAGAATACAAATCAAGAAAAACGGGATCATTTGCGCGAAAAATTATTTTTATCATTCAACGTCATATGATTTGTTTCTATAGTATTCCTAATTTAAAAAGTATCTTCCAATTCTATCGTTGAATGTGTCGTCTGAGACAACTTCAGTCAATTTCCGTAAAGTTGAATGTTAAAGTAATTAGAAATGGTAACTAATTGGCACATTCGCAGTGACGCAGGAAAAACTAGCCACCGTGAACAAAAATGGGTTTCGTGTTCTTAATTTGTGTAAAAAAAAAAATAACCTACGACCTAATGTGTTTATGAGGTTTCAAATTCTGACTAAAAAGGGTGGAAAGTTTTTTTCAGAAATACACAACCAACCAACTTCGACCTACCTTGAGTAAACTCCTCAATTGCGTCCTCGCCGTCGGCAATGTTAACTAAATATCCGTGCTCAGCAGGAGTACTGACTACGTAACGCAATTTCGCGACGTCACTGTCTCTGTCGTCAGCACGCAAAACTTTTTTTGTGATTCGATACCCGTGTTTTCCACTTGCCATCTCCGAAATAGTTTGGGCACCTCTGTTGATCAGTAGTTGGGGTACGCCGTTGTCCACAGCTATGATTTCAATGTCCATTCGTTGTGGGGCTTCAGTTGTATCAACGGTATCGGGAAACACGAAAAAATCATTATGGCTTCCGTCGGAAACGGTGAAAGAAAACGAATCACCAACCGTTTCGGAACCGTCGTGAGCGTATGATACACGATTATGGTTGAGATCTGCCATAGTGAACGAACGAGTTGGATTTCCATTCTTCAAAATTTTGCCGTGAACCGGGACCTGAGTGATACTGATTTTCAGTTGGCGGTCTTTCGTATCACGATCTTCAACTGAAATTAATAAAATGAGGCTTTAATGGTGACCGCAGTCTCGCAGAATTTCAATTTATCCCGATAAATTTTGTCGAATGCATCAACTAATTATCTTAGCGAATATGCAAATTACATATTTATCAATACATCAATATTAGGATTTTTATTTGAACAGATTTGGGAAGACCTATAAATCAAAATCAAATCATCAATTCCGTTTTTCGGAAACATTATTCATTTATACAATTTACGAATAATAATTATTGAAAGCTATTTTAGCGATTTACAAACTGTCAGAAATTATTAAATGGAGTCGAACCGTAAACCCTATCAATCAGTAGTAATGATGAAAAACTTCCTTTGTAAAAATTTTCTGACAAACTCGATTAAGCATGGCCCACATAAAATTTTATATCATGATCAAGTATAATCCAAATTACCTTTCATTTCAAATGGTGTGATAAGTTTTGTAGACCCTTCCTTCAATCGAAGAGTAGAAATAGTGACAACCGGTTTTTTGTTGTCAACGTCGGATATTGATATCCGGAAAGTTCGATAAACCGGATTGAAACCATCCGTGACTTCAAATTCAAAGCTGTCCATCTTAATTTCGTCAATTGAAGTATGCACGTACTTGATTTTATTGCCTAATAAGATATGACGAAAGATATAGAATTACTCTAGAATAAAATAAAAATGACGTCATCATATGACGTCCTCGGGAAGAATACGCCACAATTCGGGAGGAGAATGTTCTTTTAAAAGATAACTAATAAAATAGAAACTTATTTACAAATTTTTGATTCATTATATAAACAGTCAATAATATTTAATAATATTTTTAGTGATTTAAAATATTCAATTTATCATTATTATACTTTTATCACTTTTAAATGGCGTTTTCATGCCTCCAATTTAAACAGGGCTTTGTACAAATAACTACTGATGTTTAACAAAATGTTATTCGTGCGTTGCTTTTAACCCAACGAACTTGAAATACTCCAAAAAATAAAACGAATATAAAGTCACCCAACCTGCCAATTCCAACTGTGTGAATGTAGTGATGGGCACTCCGGGTTGGTCCGTGCTTTCCAGATGCCCTCGAGTAGGTGCATGTGCAATTGTAAATGACAAATCCTCGTCGTTGCTGTTCATGTCGTCCGTACTTAGAATATCTAGGTAAAATTCACATTTTTTATACAAGTGGTATCTTTTCGAATTTTGAGGGTAAATATTTAAAGAATATGCACTTAACATTTTTGAGTTGACCTTAATGTTTTTACAGTGTCGGATTTTGGTTTAGCCACTCAAGTTAAAATATACATAATTATGTGTGTTACATGACTGGGTACAATTTTAGGCAGAAATATATTTTGCTCGTTTATCTATAAATCATGTTCGGCAAGTGATAATTGTGAATTGTAATCAAATTACTAACAAATTGCTTCTATCAGATTAGAATGCATTTAATTTAATCAAGGAAGGGCCATACTATCAAATAATTCGAGAACATGATTTTTAAAAAAGAAATAGAGGAAGTAAAATATATAATTCTCCATCTAAAATACCCAAGATAAGCATAAAATTATGTAAATTTTTAGTATGATCAGGCTTATCTTTTCACATTTCTCCAATGATAACGTGTTTATGTATAAAACAGATTTAACCTAAAACTCGTTTAGAAAAAGTAATACCATAATTTAAGTCGGAAAAAATTATTTTCACGGTTTCTTGACATTTCCGTCAATGGGTATTAGTAAGTTTTTTGTTCACCTGTCGTCAAGGTAACGTGACCACCTTCTTTCAATGTAACCCCTTTGTTTACAATAGATGGGAACAACATGTCTATTCCTCCGACGTTTATGTAGAAATATCTGTCAATAAGTGGATTCAGACCATCCGTGACGTCAAATTTGACGAGATCTCGAACTCCTTCTTGTCCTGATAGAAAGAAGGAAATTGTTTATCATGTTTATATAAATATTCAAAGCTGATTTTGTCGTGAGCTGAACGTACAAGTAACCGATAAATGTGAAGTCGATTGGCGGATTTTTAAAGAAATTAGCTTAAAATGAATCCAAAATTAACAGTATTCGGAAAGGGTGCCTTTTAGAATTTCAATAATCCAAATTGCTGTATATTTTGAAAACAAAACATTGCTATTTTAGCTGTGAGATACTTATCTACGAAAAAATGATTACGATACGAAAGCATGATTTTTTCTTCAATTGTGCCAATTCATAATATTCAAAAACAAAGAAAATACTCTTTAATATCACAAGTCAAGCAACATTCAGTAGAACCACGCTAAACAGTAAATAAAACGCATTATGTGTTTCCTCTTTCTGATTGAAGTGCTAGCGTAATCGGTCAATTTTTGAATATGATAAACCATATTATCTTGCAGTTGGAGGGAAAGATAATAAATCAATGGCAATGTTAAAATACTTGGGGTTCATTTCTGACATCTATAAAACCGAACAAACAATTAAAATTGACTTACGGCGCCGCCTATACACGAAAAGGAATGCTTCGTTGACATTCAACGCCGACGAGGGATGGGCTATACATGAGTTGCGCATTGAGATTAATGCGAATACACCGGCCATGTATGAGAAAAATAATTTCGAATTCATAGAGTTTCTCGCGAAGTTACGCTTCTTTCTTACTCTAATGGCTACCGTTAGTCCCATGGCTAAGTTTTTGACAGGAAAAATATCCAACTGGCTTAAGTTTGTGGTCAATGCGTGCCATACCATCGATTCTATTTCTAGCATCGCATCATATACGAGTAATCCCCGAGACGCCAGACTGTTAGCTTTGCTTCTTAACAAAGAATGACGTCACAAGGACAATGTATGGCGAGCCACAAATATTTTTTGACTCGAAATTATAAATAAAAAAAAACGATAAGTAGCGATTCGGCAATTCGACATCGACCGCACGCGACATTGAACAATGAAAAGGGCGTGTATGTCGTTTTTCTTTATGTAGTTTGATCAACTAAGAAGAATAGATAGTTGAGTTATATAAACCAAGTTTACATATGGTCCATATCTAGTAAAGTATGTGATTGTAAAATATTTCAAGCAAAAGGAGATGATATAACACAAAATATACCCTGCTGGGACAATGTAAAAAAGCCCGAAATATTGACGCCACAACCGGTTTTATAATGACGCAATTGAACAAAGTTAATGTTGGAGTCAATTTTCACAGTCTGATAAACTTCCGGATTGTTCAATAATAACTACTACACTACAAACGACAAAATTTAACCACTTTCAAATTCCGGATTCAAATTTAATCAATTTTCGTACCTGTATGATGATAGGCTATCTTATTATCATCAATGTCCTTCTGTGTGAAATTGTCTCCTACTTTCAAAGTGATCATCCTGCCTTCCGCATTGGTGCGTGACAGGTTTCCATGGTGAGGACCGAACGTAATAATAAACGTCAACGTGCTATCGTCAGAATCCAAATCTGTGGCCTGTATTGATCAAAAGAACAGTATTTCATATCTATTTCGAGGAAGGGAAAATTCCACAAGACAGTTAGTTATTCATTTTATGGCGAAGCACGGTTTCTTGTATGGATACCAGTTCAGGTCTGGTATGATGTTAGTAACCAAATGCATTTTTTGGCATGTAGATAGATCTACTATAGGAATATCCTGCGAATTATAAGCACGCGATAACGCAGAGATAGTAAGCATAATCGAGCTGATGACAATTTAAATCTAGCAGAACATTGTACAGTTAAAGAATTGCATTCATTTATCTGTGTGGATTATACTAATGGAGCTGTAATCACATGCAAGCAAATGCATTCAATCTACATCCCTCGAGATATTTCGAAATAATGAAGTGATTATTTTCAAGTGCCGAAGCGCGTTTCCAGCTAATTTATCTAAATACCCTTATCTATATGGGTAATGCCTTTGAACGACTTGGGATGCATTTCCGTTACCACCCATGCAACACTCCTTGACAAAACATGTGCCAATCAATTGTAATTCACAAATGTATGTCTAGTTAAATTCAAACATCCAGCTCATAGACCAAAGATTCAAACCAGACATACTCTCCATAATTATGTATAAGCATTATTTTGAAATTAAAATAGTAATTCATCAGAAGCGATTCTCGGTTTAACAGCATGATTTCACAGTATATATAAATAACCAATGTATTGTAAACAAATGTGATAGCGTTCATTGCCTCAGCAACGGTATCTCTGCCCAAAATATAACGACGCCTCGCCTGAGAAACGAGCTGATTACTATCAATAGCCAAAGGCATTTAAGTGGCAAAACGGAAGTGTGTTTACATAAATAAACGGAGTCTTTACAAGATTTTATATAAATTTGAGGTTTTAGAATTAAAGTTAAAAACTGCCCTAATGAGGTATCTTATTAGTATAAGCATTTATGTAGCATAACGAAAATTATTCAAGTTATACAGCCTTCTAAATACTGGATCAACTGAAGTTAAACCTCGCAAAATTGTTAAAATTGATTGCAGAGACACGCTCAGTGAAGTCGTAAGTAAATGACGACCAAGATATGGACAAGTATTGGTCAGTAATAATCCCTGTCCATTACTTTGAGAGCAAGCCGTGTGTGTTTTACATTGGAAACCCTTTCACTTTATTTCGTGTTACTGTCACTGAGTATCAAATTCAACATTTCATACCAATTTTGTCTCGTTTTAAGTGAAAAATTACTTAGAACTCAAAACATTGCTTACGAGGATTATCGCGTCACGACACACGAGCATTTCCATTCATAAAATATCTTGCCGTATAGTTTACGCACTGGATTAACGGGATAAAACATACAAATACATTAAGATCAACGACCAAAGTTTGTAAATAGATGATGTGACATCTCATAAAGACGAAGAAATATTTGTGCAAAGTCCAGTGTACTTATTATACACATATAAAATAAGAGGAAAAGCCTCAGTATTTTAGAGTAATCGAACGCTTTATTTCTAACAGTTAAAGTGAAAAAGTGGAAGATAAATTTGGAGTTTAATCGTCGCTAGATCATTTCGTGAGTGTCGTGAAATATCAACACAGTTCCTAAAAATTTCCTTATTTTCTGCCTGCGTTTACAACTTGGTATAAAATGCTTAAATCTTTAAAATTACATCGATAGATAAGTACGACTGGCTTAATCGGTCAGCCGGTGGCGACATTATCATCTATGTGCACTAAAACAAGCTCACGAGTTGTAACATAGAGCTTTATAAATTCGAAACAATTTGGGAAAAATTCCTAATCAAATTGATGAACTGATGAATAGTAATGTTATCAATTGTTATTCATGGTAAAATGTTACAAATACTAGAGAACGTGATTCACTCATTTAAGGGTCAGCTTTTGAGGTCATGAATAGCATTAACGAAGGACATTTTGTAGAGTTTTGTCTTTCATCTTATGTGATTTAATCTTTAATGTATGAGACATTTTGACCTTTGCTTTGTAACAATAAACTGTTGCCACATATACCACGGAATTTGTTATCAAGCATGGATCAACCACAAACACGGCTAGCATAATGTATTTATCTTTGATACACGTATGTTTGAATTAATTTATTAATGGCCGTTTACGTAATGCATGTTTTGGACCCTCGGGCATTGGCGGTTGTTGCTAAGTGAATTATATTTCATATTTGCCGGGTCGAGTAGCGAAATTTTAATGTTGTCTGCTCTGCAATGTGTTGGCACTGCGTACATAAACAAATGATGCCGTTTCTAGGCAGAAATAAGAATCTTGATAACGTTGTCATATTAATTTACAAATATAATTAAAACAAATTACTTGAAGCATATGCGTATTTAAATATATGCGAAAAACATTACATGGTGTGTTATATAACAGAACGGAGTGTGTCGATTTTTCGATAAAATAAATTTGTATACAGGCGAGACTAAAATATAACTAATGGATTTATAGACTTTTTGACAGGCAGAAATATGATAAAAAAGCAAGCAGTTTCAATTCGACATAAAATTTTTGACGGGTTTGTGTATTTTCAGCAACATTTTGAAAAAAAGCAATTTTGATTCATTATAAAAACATGAGCACTTGGCTTAACTATCGAAAATCATGAGTCGGGTATAAAATACTCAAAGTTTCTGATGTAAAAGTATCCTAAACATAAAAGTACTGTATTACCTTGAGTGGTGGTTAGTAATACCCATCAAGCGGCCCGATAAGAGACTTTGCGAGACTTCTTTCCAACTAAGCAACCGACCCTTCTAGAATATACGTCAATAATCTATCATGTTAACCCTTTTGACTTTAGGCGAATGTATATAATAGCCTATGTAGGCAAGTACTCCATGTATGGCCCAAGTTGCGACGTACGTTTTAATTTTCCCATATACCTACTAACTAGGCCGCTCGTCAACATAAGTGGCACAAGCCGGCTGACGGATTGAAAATAGCGACTTTTATCTTGGGTATGTTATCAATGATGACACGGATTAGTCAGACATAAAACAGTCTTTCGGCATTTCAAAACAATTTATATTGCATGCAAAACTGTTCAAGTATCCCTGGCTTCATCTCCGTTCTCCCTTGTTTATTCTTTTGAATTATTTATCATCTATAAAGTATCACGTGATATTCAATTTATGATATTATATAAATACATAATTATTTTCGAAATGAGTTTCTACTAATTTTGCTATAATCCCGGTTTTAATTCTCAATTCATTTATACATAATCTGAGATACGAAATGAAGTATATATTTATAATAGATATATAGATATATTTAGAATTAATAATGTGAAGACATCTGAATGAATACTGAAATAATAATTGTGGATTTGAGTGGTTAAATTTTTATTACCAAGGTAATTGCCTCATACCATTATTTGAATATTTTTTCCCTCTCCTTATTTTACGTTAGGTTTAGTCAAGCTATTGCTATACTTCTCTAGTATAAACTGAATAGTGTGGGTAACAGGATGGTACGGTAGAACATTTCGAGAATATGTACCATATTGTCGAAAAAAACTATAAACTATTTCACATTCAATTATTATTATTTTTTTAATTTTATGGAAATCACACCATTCTTTCATCATACCAAAGTATACTATCAATAACTACATACAATGGTAAGTCTAATTCTGAAGAGTCAAATCAGTTGAGTTCAACATTTCGTGAAATGCCACATTTCGTTTGGAATTGACACTTTCAGACAACCATATCACGCTTTCACCCCTGCAGCGGGGATAAAATTACATTTCGGACAAGTATATTTTTGCACGCATGATTTCCGAAGTTGAGATATCACAGTGAAAGAAAAAACTTAAATTACTTGAACCACGGAGAAGAAAGTTGAATTATATGGTGTTTTTATGTACTACACATGCATGGTACGATGGTAAATTCTAAAGTGAGGCAAAAAATTTGATACTACAAATATTCCACGCTACCATATTACCATAACGAAAGTATAGCATACTATACTATGGGAACACAATTTGAACTATCTCTAACATTTTACTTCGCGTAGAATAAAGATGAAAGGGCTTTATGGTTCAAATAGTCCGAAACCGCAACAACGAACGCCATCTGTTTTCTAAACTAAGCCAAATGGAGCAAAACTTTTGAGATATACGCCAGCAGGATAACGGATAATATAATAAATCAATGTTTAAGATAGATTTTTGACTTGGTAATGAAATTTTCTATGGACAAAACAGATTTAAGATATTTATTTATTCTAGTTGCGTGCTGGATAACATTTTTATTCGCTAATTTGAAGCTCAAGATGGTAAAACGAAAAGTCTCAAGTACGGTGAAAAAGGCTCGACTTTCAGTTTCGTAAGAGGGCGTTGATACACAAAATCCTAATCTTTTTATAAATCTCACGTGAGTACATACGGTATTGACTGAAAGCTAGGAATTTTTGTTGATATGAGCTTGGTTTATAAGAGGATATATTCCGTTTTAAATGCTTTTGGGTGACTGATAATACACTAAGAATACATACGGGATATCGCGGTTACAGTATGAAACATATGCTTTCAATGCTGAGGTATTCTTAACACATCATTACACGCATTACATTGATTCGTTTTTGGATGCATACTCATGTATACTACATTTTAGAATACATACGGTACGTCAAACCATAGTGAAGACGAAGAGGGTCATGCAAAGTTTAATATGGCCGAGTGGAGGTAAAATATCGTATTGTTTGACTTGACAATGATTGAAATTCATTAAATCAATCTTAGACTAGGACAAGATCTTAGACAATACCTTCAAAACGTTGTTGCTGATAATTTTGGATTCATAAATATCGACATCAATTCCGTTGTTTATTGTCATTCTTGGCGTTTCGTCGTCGACCGGTCTGATAGTGATAGGAATGATCTGTTTTACTTCGTGTTCGCCGTCATTCAGTGCAATCTCGAATTTATCGTCAGTCGTTTCTGTTCCGTCATGTTGATACACAATATTTGAACTGGCTACGTCATTCAGAGTAAATTCTGACTCTGGTACGAGGTCGTCGTCTCTCTGTATTGGCGAAAAATACAATAGATTTTATCGGTGGTATGCAATAGAAGGAAAATGTGTTTATGTGGGTGGGGTTCTGCTTAATCATTTTCCAAAATAAATATAGTACAGTTATGTAACTCCACTGCTAATAGAGCCGATGGACTGAATTTAGGTTTTGTTAAAGATAATGTATTATTGCCAATTAAACAACAAGAATTCTAGTGAAATAGAAAACAAATAATCAATAGTTGGAAAATCTGGATGGGATGTATAGATATAAATACTTCAGGCATAGATGTGCGAACTCGCAGATAATCTTTATCATATCATTCGTTCTCGCTTACCACAAGCAAATTTGGATAATACCCATTCTTCTATCCTCACAAAAATAAGTTGAAACGAGTTTAATCTTTCAAATATGAATGCGCTGGAGTATTATTACTAAGTGTGTTTTTACCTTTCTCAAAAATTGTCCATTCTTGGGTGGTTCGATAACAGTAAAAGTTAATTCGTCTTCCGGAATATCATAGTCTTCCGCACTTAATCGAGGTAAATCCACGATGAGTTGTCCACCTTCGTCCAATACAAATTCAGTGTAGTAAAGAAGAGGTTCTTCATCGTTTACTAAAAAAAATCATTTCATAAATTATCGAAACCAGAATCATATATAGAAAAAGAAGAAGAGCGGCCCCACTACGCGTCCTTGAGGCATATGCTTCTCACTCTAGCTGACAATAAACTATTGCTCATAAAAAATAATACCCCTCTTGTGTATTCACAATAATCACCTTACAGTATATGCTCATATTGGGATTTAGTTATTGACGATATAACACGCATAACAATGTATGGGAATAGCATTCTCACGCTACATGGCGTGATAGAATACAGAATGCTCAAATGCCCGTGATCTTAAGACTATTCGCGTACAAAAGCAAATTGTCACTCGTAGAAGTATTTTAATCCTTGGCGACCGCATTGTAACTGAAACCATATATTATAAGTTCTATCATATTGTCCGAATGCTGCACGATCATATTTAGTGTAAATTGCGTTTGTCTTTCCGAACAAACCTAAGCATAAGTATGGCGTCCTTGAGATGGCATTGGGTACAAATTTTATAACCCACAAAGAGAATTACTAATCCAATTAAAATCTTCCCAGCGACTTTTTGGGGTCAATATACATTATTGCCATATTATGCTATTCGTAATTGTAGGTTTATACAGAGTACATTTTTCACAATCTCACAATGCCAAGTTTATGGGACATTCAAAGGACGACAATTCAAAGGATTTAATTCAAATTTGAAAGCTTAGACCACACACCAAAAATTGCGAGTTTCAATACCTTATTTATATGTAAATGTGCCTAACGGATCTCACTTATCGAATTATAAAATATGATTATACTGTATTGCAGCGATCATATAATGTGAAAATGTAGGCTCCAACGTTGCTAGAAAATAGGTTTTGTTCCATGAATGAAGTACAATATATGACTACACCGGATCACCTTACGAAATTCACATGAAATGTGCAAAGTAATGAGACATTTCTGTACCGGTAAGACAAATGCTACACGCAAATGAAAACAGTTGAGAGCCTTCACTTTATATTTTATCCCGCTAATGACAGCCTACAATTTTCCATGAGAACAAAACTTCAATATATGTAATTTATCAACCTCATAATGTAAAATAATAATACCTGGGTCAATGGCGATGTTGAAAAACTCTGATGGTGATACGTTAGGTGTTCCATCCTGACATACGAACGAAAATCTATCCACGATCGGTTCTTTCAACGCGTTTGCACTTTGCATATAATTGATGTTGCCAGCTATGATGTCCCCCATTGTGAATGAACTGATGGGAATTCCTTTGCGTGACTTTTCTGATCCTGGAGCTGGTGATATGTTTTCTAAGAAACCCTCCATAGGCTGCGTGATGACCACGCATATAATCTCGTTACGTTCGGTATCTTCGTCTGTGGCGGATAAATGACGTAACTCGATAGTCGCTCTGTCACCTTCGTTGACGTTATAGTCCTCTCCAATGGTTACTACAGGCGCCTCACTATCTACAGGTAAAATTTTCACAGCCATCAGAACCGTGTCGACTTTATTTCCTCCAATAGACCAATCATCTGATAAATCGGATAAGGTTAGACTGAAGGTATCTGAATCTTCATCGGGACCGATTTCTCCAGCTGTGTGCATGTATTTAACTTGACCGTTTCGAATGTTTTCCTGAGTAAATGAATTGACGGGTTCTCCCGAAACGATGATCTGACCTTTTGATGGTAATGACGTAATAAGGAATGTTAAAGCAAGGTCGTTAGTATCGGAATCAGTTGCTGATAACACCTGTGTGAAAAATATAACATTTTATCGATCAATTTGTTTTGCTTTCAGAATAGTCATATTTCAGTATTTATTAATTTCACCTTGCCATTAATTTTGTTTCAGAATAACTTGAATTTATTTGTTTTATTGCAAAAGACGTTATATATACAAATTCTGACTCTGTATGTTGCATAAACCATGCTTGCAAAAGTTAAAGTAAAATCAAGTAAAAATCTAGCAGTAAAAATATAATTTATTTCAAATTTTGTTCAACTTGATTTTATGGAAATGTTTATAATATACACATGTTTGTTTTTTCATTATTTTAGTTTTATTCAAACTAGACTACAATGACATTTTAAATTTTCTAAAAATGGTCATTGTTTTAAAAATACCAGCATACTAAAAATAAAACCATAAATATCAGTTAAAATGTTAGAATTTGTGTCCATCAATTTCATGACATGTTCTGTCAAAACATCTGTTATTCACTTTGTAATGCTTGGGGCAAATTCGCTTTGCCAACGAAGAAAATAAATTGAGTTACTTAGTAATTTTGTTACTGAGCAATATTAGTTAAATTTACAGATATTTTAAATAATTTCACAGAAAAATATGGTTATACAACACAATGATAATTGGACGGAAAAAATAACAAAATCAATCAAAATTGACAAGATTGTGAATATAACTAATTTATTTCGGGCAAGCAGAAGAAAATTTTAGCAATAGTTGTCGAATCAGCCATTGCATGTGGAATTTAAATCCTGAAAAAATTCTTCCGACCCAAAATATCAGTTTAAAACTCAAAACCGCAAATTAAATTGATTGATCACTATATATATCGGTTTTTACACTTTTCTCGCTACTAGATTACGTAATGTGACTGCAACAACGCGTAATAATCCGCAGTTATCGGTCACGTGATTCAGTAGATAGGCAGGAGAAATTTGAAAATTATCTGGTAAATCGATTGAAAATGCAGAAATTTCAAATTAAGGTGTAATTTATGTAATCTAATGTGTTATTATATTAAGAACCTTAGCTTCGAACTTGAAAGATGTAAAATGTACCTCAGGGGTGATCACAACCATTCCTCGTTCTTTTACGTTAATTTTGAAATTCAATTCCCCCTTCAAAGGCAGAGCCAATGTAGGGATTTCGTCGTCAATAGGTTCCACGTCCACTTTAACCTTAATTGGTATAGTGTGCATGCCGTCAGATACTTCCAAATCAAATACGTCCGATGTGGACTCGTCACCATTATGTTGATACATCATATGCATATTTGCAATGTCGTCACGAGTGAATGCTCCTCCTAAATATTATTACAGTGGTTCAAATAAGAAAAACGCTATGGATAACGTTTTTTTGTAAAAATTGGAAAAAATCTTAAAATTTTGCGATTCGAAGTTGGAAAAATTAATCGACATTTCGGATTTTGCAAAAATATATGAATAAAATACATGACATTTTTTATAAATTTTTGTTAAAATTCAAAATATTGAACGATTAGTGCCGCATAATCCAACACCTGAGATAAATTACATGGACGATCGTAGCCATATGTTACGAGGTTCCCCTAAATTATTCAAGGCTAAATTACGGACCTTATGTGAAGTACGGCATAATCACTTATACCACGGAGGTAATAAATCGCATAAGGCAATGCGGGACATAAAAAAGAAAGGCAATAAAATACCCGAAGGTAAAGTTTACAGAGTTGTATTAATTTACTTTAAGGGTCATATCAATTTGCAAGAAGGCCATAAACAAGTTATACTTACCCACTGTCAGAGCAACATCGTCATAATAAATGATACCACGGGTGGGCCGTCTCAAGACAGTGAACGTAAGAACGTCATTGTTGCTGTCGGCGTCTGTTGCATCCAATATATCGGATGTGATACTTGCTGTGCTTCGCTCACGCACAGTGAAACCAGTATTTACGATTTGCGGTGGTTTGTTGTCAACAGGACGAAGAAATATTGTGAAAACCTGTTGCGATAAAAAACAAATTGCGGTTTTAAATGGATTTTGAAATTCTGTAAAGTCAAATAAAAAATAGTCTGATAGTTCGCGTCTTAAGAGAGTTTAGTGTTGTCTCCCCGCTTGTGTTTATGTATCATCTTTCACATAAATATTACTCGATACACAAAACTCATTCATTATACCGTTGATTTGAGCAGGGTTGTCCAAAACGAATCGAATATTCGAAATTATTCGAATATCAAGGTATTCGAATACCTTTTCGGCTCATTTCCGAATAATTACGAATAGTAGTCACTTTTCGCCGTAAACACGGTGTTTCGTTTTACCGGAATCTTCAAACGACTTTTTACGCTTTCTCACGTATTGTAATGACGATGAAATAGAGTCGGCATTTTGATTGTTTATATTCAGCGCGAATGTACGTCGCATAGTGTTGCGACACGTTTGCGTTGGTGGACATTGCCGACATTCGTCTTTTAATTCACAAAATCATTTCCATTAGTCGAAAAATCGACAATCACCGTATTTCCCGGCTAATAAGTCGCTTTTCTTGACCTAATTTTGGCTTGATTTTTTGGGGGGAGGGGCGCCTTATTGAGAAAGCATGTTTATTTTATTTCTATGTGGCCTGCTTATTTTTCGCATTAGTCTTCTCAAGCATAATTTGTGTTAAACCTTATATTTGGTTCTTATGGGTCTGCCAATCATGATATTTAATCGTAGGCCGGTTATCGTTACTTAAAAGAGAAAACACGGCCACCGCCACCGAGATAAAGTAAGTGATTTATGACCCTTTGGTTTTGCCGATTTAGCAGAACACGACAGGGACAGGAAAACACAGCTGTGAAATAACCCGTGGACGTACAGTGTGTTACTTATCACATTCCAAAATTATTTCAACATTCGGGTTAATAGGTTGTCCAAAATGATTGCCGTTTAACAACTTAAATTTACCGCTCAATTGTTAAAAATAGTTAATTCTGCAAGTATGATTCTACCAAACTAACATGATCTGGTTCTAAACATAATAAAATTATTAGCGCATATCAGCATAACTGAACAACAGGGACACAATTTTTCTACCCGTCTTATTGGAGGCCTGTATGGAAAAAAAACTTTTTTGAGTGCTAAAAATAGACATCCTCCTATTTGCCATGTGGACCTATTAGCCCGGAAATACGGTATTTATAGCCGTCATTGTTACGATATCCAATAAATTGTCACAAGTTGGAAAAACAAGTCATTTATTAGAAAATAATTTCTGGCAAATATTTCTGATAACGATAGTTAAAAGTACCGATCCTTAGCAGGATGATTTTTTGTTGCGTAAAATAATCCAATCCATGACTGGTACCAGCATTTAAAATGTCATGCCGTATTAATTTAATTCTGTTCAATGTAACTCATAGTTGTATCGACAATATGTGGACATAAAATGTGTGGTAAACTGCCCGATAATATTAAATATTGATTTCCATTTTTATATTGACAAAATATTGAAAGTATTAATACCAAATACCACGGGTATTTGTGGACATGAAATACGTGGTAAACTGCCCAATTATAATTAATTTCGGATTCGTATTTACAAAATAATAAAACTATTATAATTCTAAAATGCAACGGCGATCTGTGGCCTTAAAATGTGTGGTAAACTGCCCGATTTACCAACGTTTGAGTTATGATAATTGAATTAAATTAACACGGTCAGGCATTTTTAAAATATAATTAGTTTTTGATTCTTATTTTAAGAAAAATTGTCACAAGACGGAAAAAGAATTTATACTTTATCTCACTCTTGGGAACTAATTTGGATAATGTTTGTCATTGTTTTGTATTTAAGAGTATGGACTTTTTACTAGGATGATTTTGTGTTACGCAAATATTCAAATCCATCATCGATACCACTATTGCCGTATTAATTCAATTCTGTTAACATGACTCTGGTATATAAAATATATACTGCAATAATCTGCAAATATGAAATGCCTGGTAATATAGCTAGGTTGTAACTTGTAGATAGCAGTTATTCCATTGCTTATTATATGGAAATTCTTACATACATTTAGATAAGCTTCAATTAGTGGATTTTATTTTCGAAGTATTCGAAATTTCATATTCGAAAAAAATAATTTCGAATGTATTCGAAATAGTGAACTATTCGATATTGGCCATCCCTGGATTTGAGTTTATATATTCGACCAATTTCTGATGTACGTTACCACAGAACAGTTAAATACACAACTACCTATCTTTATCTTATAATAAACGAGACTATAACATTACAATTAGTAATAAATCCTACCGGCCTACAAATTTGAATAGTATGTAAACGTTAACTGTCGTTTTTTAAATGTTTCGCAACCTCGTTCAAAATCCAATGGATGTCCATGGCCTGGCTAGCATAGCTAACGCTGACCATGTTGCCACTCAAAAACCATCTTGACATGGAACAATCTTCGACGAAAAGAATTCCATTTTCTCCTTAAATCTAATACACAAATCAAGCATCAAGCTATCTTCCCACGGAACCTGGAACGATGATCTAACAAACCTATCTTTATTTCCGTTGTGGTTTTAATCGACAAATAAAACTGTCTCAAGTGGTTTTGAACTTTAAATAATAATAAAATAATATGGACGGAATGTGAAAATATAAAATCTTCAGTTATTGTCGATTGCTTTTACGTTGGTTTCCAAGGACAGTTGAGAGAAAGCTAAGTAATAAATGTTCGTCTGATGTTTGATCTTAGTTTTAGTCCGTTCCGTGCAAGGGACAAAACGGTAATAATTATTATACAACAGCAAAATTGCGCAAGTACTCGGGCGACTAGGTTCAAGCCTGATACTTTCCGATTGTACATTTGACAACATTCGACCGTAGCTAATAAAACACGATAGCTTGAAATGGCGAGGAAAATGCCCATCAGTGTGTGAACTAATAACAAATAGGTGCAATAATTATTATTCATAATTGTGCAAGCAAGCGTCATACAAAATTGAGGTTCAATTAACTACAAACATATCATCACCTCACCATAAATCAACTTTTTTTTACCTGATTAGGAAGTTCGTTTCCGGCGTTGTCTGTCACGGAGAATGTAAACTGAAGAATACGAGAAATAAGTCCAAGTTCAACGTCTGGTGGTTGGTAAGCTATTTTGTGATGGTTGATTTGAGCTTGAGTGAAAGTGTCAACCTCTTGTTCAGGGTGATCTTGAAGTACAAGTTTACCTAAACACAAAAACAATTGGACAATTTTTTTTTTGATTTGCTAGACATTTCGACAACCTGCGATAGAACAGAATTTTTCATATCTATAAACACAAGTTTGAAAGTGATTTTGCAGCTTTATCGGTCATTATTACCAACGCATGACACCAAAAAGGCGTTTTCCCGCTAAATTGGAAAAATGTTATACTTTCGCTAACACAAATGTGTTTCACACTAGCGCAGTTCATTGAACTCAATTTTTCTAATGTGATAATGATGATGAATGAACACTTACCAAAATCTTCCAAAGGACTGACTGGACTGAGTTCAGTTATCGGTGACGTCAATGTGTACACCAACTCACGATCATCAGTGTCTTGGTCCGTGTATCGCAAGAATTTTTTCTCCAATGTGGTGAGTTCGTATTCATTTACATCAACCTGAGAGTTTAAGTTAAAATTACGTTATTTTTATCAAATAAATCGAAAAATCTAATATAAGTTTCGAGAATTCATGCATGCTCTAGACTAGTGGTTCCTAACCGGGGGCCGGTGCCACAAGGCTAAGAATTTAAAGCAAGTTCGTTTGCATACTTTCAAGGCTTCACCGCAGTTTCATTGCCTGAATAGGTTATTTGCGATCCCGGGTGTATTCACTTTCTTCAGCGCAAATTGTTTTATCCTAATAGAATTTGGAATCTTCCAATCAGAATAGTTCGCCCGTGGGCCGTCTAACCTTTAGACGGGCAGTTTCACTAAACTGCGGGATAACCTTCGCTATCACATTTGTAATTTTGTAAAAAAAAATGTAAAAACATTTGTAAATTCCTAATGCCCAAAATACAGAAATACGAAGATGTAACGACAGTTAGGTTGGCTTTTGCTTTGCCAAAGTAAATCGAGACGACAGAGAATGTGCTTTATGCTTGCATGGCTTGTACGTAATGAGCAATGAATCAATACGTCCATCTAAACTCAAAAACCACAGTGACAAAATCACCCCAGGTAAAAGACCTTGACATCAATTTCTTGGCCGCCAAGCGAGCTAGATTCTCAAAAAGGCAACATTGGCCAAGTTCGGGGTTCCGTCGGAGGGAATACTTAAATGCAGCCATGAAGTGACATATCAGATTCTTACCCACTACTAAGCAAGAAAGCTTGTTCAATTTGCCGCAACTTATATGTGCGAATCTGGTTCTTCTGATCTTGTTACCATCAAAATAAAATCTAGAAATCGTCTTGATGTTGACAGTGACATTCGTCTGGCTATATCAAAGACGTTGTCTATTATAAGGAACCTTGTCAGACAGTCCCAAGCGCAAGATTCCCATGGATTGTGTATTAAAAAGCTTTTATTTTTTTTGTCTGTGGTTTGCTTTTGAATTCCATAAAAGGTCATAAAACATATTACAATCCAACGAGTTTAGCTTTTTGGAATGGCAAACAGGCGGGCCACGAATGCAAAAAGACGCTGGAAGGGGGCCACCCGCCATGAAAGGTTGAAAACCACTGCTCTAGACGAAACATCGTTCTTTATATTCCGTCCATATTTGATCTCACGCTACAAATATCCAAATTCATCCGTTAGAAGTCATGTTAACGTTATCAAAATACTTACCCGCAAAGTGGCCGATCCGTGTACGTTGGGAGGTATATCGTCTACCGGTACGATCTTGACTACAAAGGTTTCAATAGGAGATTTGTTGGGTGGTACATTGTCGTCTTCGACGTGAAATCTTATTCTGTCCATTACAACCTCGGTTGAGTGAGGCCCAATGTGTCGATAATAAACCTGTTACAAATTGAAAAATATGAATCTAAGGAGGCAGGTGATGTTCATGATATCGTATTGCATATTTTGTTCAAATTTCGTATAGAAAACCGCATTAGACCGGAAAATTGATAGCATTGTAAAAGTTATCGTAAAATGTGACTCCGACAAGACAACACAATACCTCAATTGATACATTTCTGGAATTGATTTTGTTTAAAAGCCATCATATGGGTTCATAGAACAGTAGCAGTTAAATTAAAACTTGACATACCTCCATTGACAATAAATTTGCTTCCGTGAATTGTAAAACCTCCTTTTCCCATCTGCCATCCGGTCGTTCTGTCCAAGCATCCAAATCGTCTTCTGGTTCTTCGCTGATAAGTAAGAATTGCCCTTCGGTCGAATATGGCTCGGCCATTACGAATTTAATGTCCAGATCTTCGGAATCAACGTCAGCTGCACTCAAAATCCACGTAGTAATAACTTCAGTAGCTCCTTTGTTGATGGTTAATCCAGTATTTGCATCGAGAATCTAGATTAATATTGAGTTATAATTTTATAGTGTCAAAATATTCAAGTTCATGGTTTAGGTTTCCAGGAACAGTATACGTATTGCTCAAGTAGTTTAACTACAGATTGAAATACGATAGCTTACCGGCGGTGTATTGTCGACGGTTGCTATGGTGATGGCAAACAAAAACTCCACCTTGTTTTTTCCGTCGCTCATTTGGAAGACGATATTGTCGCTAAAAAAATATCAAGAAAAACGTTGAAAAACTGGATCGTTGACAAAGTGTATAGGTTGGAATAATAAATTTCTCAATGAAAAGAAACCGACCAACATTTGGCAAAGAAATTTATGCCAAATAAATTTAGGTAAAACGAATTAGAAAACTGAAATAGAGAGTTTCTCTAATTGAAATTACTGTTTATTCTTCAGAATTTGGCATTCGACAGTGAAATTATAATTGATGCAAAATCCAGGAAGCAAAATTTAACATATTTCTGACTATATGGTGTAAAATAGTTTCACTCGTATTATTCGAAATCGGTATTTATAGTAAAGTACAATTCTAGAATACTAAACTATAGAATATAGATGTCACTACAGTATTCTAAAACATTGGGTGACTGCTAATCAGATTTGAACATTGAAGAGGAAAAACGGGATAAAATTTGAAACGGTGTGTGGCCCAATCGATAAAGGGAGGAGTCACAGAAGTGGCGTTTCCCAGGTTAACTAGTAACATTACTATGGGAATAAAGCATTTTACAACGACTTCAACAAATTGCGCAACAGAAGAAGACAATACGACCTTTTTAAGACCTAATTTATCTTGACGTAAAACACGCAATATATGATGATGTAATCTAAATTTTTCTGTTTACTGTTTTATGAACGGCCATACATGAAAAATCGCACAACGGGCGAATTTCAAACACGGCCACCTTTCATAAAAAATCAAGAGAGTACAAGTTCGCGTTTGGGGATGATAGAGATAGTACGTGAATTCACCCATGTAAGCATTTTTCGAAGGTGACATCCTCTGTGACATATTTTGATAAATTCCTTTCTGAGTGTAAGAGTACCAGTCAAAAACTATCTATATTCTATATAATTGCAAACCGAGTTTGTCTCGTCTTGATATCAGTTATGCATACCAGATTAAGCAAGTAAATGCTAACGGCACTCAAGTCAAGTCTAAGACAAACATTCAAATACAGATTCTGCAAAATAACACGATATGTATGCTTGAAATGTTTGCAGACGACAGTGCTGTATTGACAGCAAGTATTGACGTCGATCTAATACGCCACATATTTTCTGATTGCGAATACCTAACGTATTACTAAAGCAACCTAATAACATTTTCAACCCCAACTTGACATTGTAAATAGGTTACGCAAGCGAAAAGTTTTCCGATTAAAATTTATCAAAAACAATACATTTGGGAAGAGTTTTCAAATAAAAAAAAAACTAAACCAGTTGAATCGAATACTAAATTTTATCGATTAGTTAAAAGTTTGAACAGAACTATTTCTAGAGAACGACAGAATTAATAAGGACTCCATACGTACGACTCACGCTTATTGCGCATCATTGATCACTTGCTCGTCAGCGACATTTCTACTTAGCCAAGGACTTTGACCCTGATTGAGTAACTTGCATAAATATATAAATAATTATGTGAAAAGATGAAATTGATTATCCGGGGACTGACCTGTACGTGTTCGTCCCGTCATGGTGATATTCTACGACACCTGCGTCCAAGTCGGCAGGTGTAAATGTTTTAACTGTCGCACCGTCTTTGACCAGAGAGCCGTGAGTTGCACCACTGACAACAGACACTGTGACGTCACCCAAATTGTCTTCGTCGGAAATTTCGAGATTGTGGCGAGAAGACAAAGCCCTCGATTGTCCCTGAATGATAAACATGCATTTGCCTAGCGAACACGTTCAATTTTCAAGCTTACATTTTAATTCACTCACTTTTACGACAGTACACCATGATTGCAAAAAAAAACGCTTGTGGGTATAAAGGCGATTTCGGAAAAACATAACATTATTAACTTACCTGGTATAAAAGTTGTCCCGTGTTTCTTGTAACGACGGGAGCCATCGTGTTCATGGGTTTAACAACAACGACAAAATCAAATGGATCCGACATCATTCCCTCAGTGTCAATGATTTGCATTTTTACTTTGAAAAATCGAAGTTCATCTGAGTCCACTGCAGGTGGTCTATAAGCGATTCTCAAATTGTTGACGTCGGATTGGTAAAAAGATCGAATTTCCTGAAAAGTTTATCAATATTATTTCAAGATAACCGTAAAGAATTTCCCAAGTTTAAATTTAATCGAAAGCAAAAAATCATGAACAGACGTGAATAAGATTTGATGATATATATATTTCCATAAATATATATAAATTCTAAAGTGAGGTGAACGAAGTGAAAAAAAATTGAGGTATATCTACGTCAGCAAAAAGCTGATGACACAATCCCTCAACTTTTCAAAATCACAACGAAATGCTTTATAATTTACAAGTACATTACTAAGAGTCCCAGCAGTTTCTGACAAACGAGCATAGATAGTGGAAGTGGTGGAATGAAATTTTCTCTTTGATCACAAATGATCAGATTCATATAGAATCATACATGGTTCTATAAAAACATTACGCTGATAAGATGATTTTTTTCAGCTCATACTTGGGAAAGAAATTATTTTCACATATTTTACTCGGGGTCACTCATCATTTTTGGAGTCATTCTTACGGAATGTATTGAGTGTTAATTCAACATTATTCAAGTATCTATTCGAATTGTTTCTCATCGATCTTACGTAGACACACAACTACAAAAGGCAAATGGACTTCAAACGAGAAGTGTGCTTTTAAAGGAGGTACATTTCTAGACAACCATGTTAAAATCGAAGCTGTATTGGTATCTCAAAGTCCAAATGTGATTATTTTGTTTCGACCTAGAAAAATGTTAATGATATATATTTTTGACCAAGCAGAGAACTCAATCAATCAAAACCATCTTTTGACATGCAGATTGGAAATGATAACAACATACGAAAAGGTGACCTACAACATTCGAGTAACGTAAATATATGGATAGCTTCACGAATGCTTATACATGCGTATTTACAGCATTTCTTCTGGATTTATTTACCATAGATACATCGCTATTTTGGTCACACCCCTGACAACATCACTTTAGTGAGACCGCAGACTTGATACACAGGTCTGGGCGCCCATAAAGTGTTGAAATATACCAGCTTACTTTGTACAATTAGCAAGTCCGGGAATGGGTCGGATGGGCACGACTCACGACTTAATCTTTGCAGGATAGACACGAAATCACAATACAAGATCAAACACGTTTCAAAATGTTGAAAAAATGGGTGTTAGTTATGTATGCTTTATATCATCAAAATATTTTGTACGCTAATAATAGTTGGGAAAATTGTTACCGACCTGGTTCCTGTCATCTGTACTGTAAAAGCCTCCTTGTTGTGGTTTGAGTGGCTCTGTAATGTTGAACACAAGATCTGCCGGATCTGACTCCTTGTCTTGCGCACGTAACATATCTGGAGTAATTGCTGTCATCACAAACTGATCGACTTCCATCATCATCGTTGATAGAAAATCGGTCACTGGGGGTGTGTTTTCGATTCCATCTGTAATTCTAACTCTGATTTGGAAGTACTCTTGTGTTACCAGTTCACCCTCTTCATTTAAAATTTCGACAACCATTGGTATCAAATCGGTATTCGGGGAGTCAGTCAGAGCAGTATGCTGATATTTTGCACCGGCTGCTAAAAATTCGGAACAAGAAATTGGTGCTCCTTCTGAAGGGTCATTAATTAGTTCGCCGTAATGGGGCAGAGACGCCGGTGAAATATTAGTTGTCACCTGGCAAGTATGTCCTGGCTCGTAGGTAAACTCTAAAATTTCACCATCGATGGCTTCCGAAGTACCCAGAAGTTCGGGTACAGTGATGAACAAGGCCTTTGTCACTACAGTGCGCTGAATAAATAATACTTCAACCGGAAGTGCAATCGGAATCACATAAGTTTCAGTAGGCGTGTCGTACCGGATTTGGAGTCGTATTTTATGTTCGCTTGGACTTCTCGATCCGAGATGAGAGTATTTGACATCTTCTGGGCCAAAATTACAAGGGAAATGTTCTGGTGAAATAAATCCGGGCATTCTGTCTGATGGATCTGGCAGCACAATAACGAAACAGTAGTCGCCCTCATGAACGTTGATTTTGAGATTTGTTAGTGGGTTAACAAAAACTGATCTTCCATAAGGAACCCTTAAGGATTCAACTCTTTCCACTATACCCGGTGGAGGATTCAAACTCGGCGGGTGTTGGGCAGAAATAAATGCCGCAAGAAATGCCACTGCGACCGGTGTTACAATTTCAAACCGCATGGTGCTATTCTGACCAAACGGCCGTATCAACTACGTCGGCTACTGCAGTTTAATACCAAGCCTAGCCACGTTAACCTATCACAATCTGAAATATTATAGGGCTCCAAATAAATAAAAAATAAACAATATTACAAACCTCGTATGAAGTTCATATTGTGAGTGTTAATTTGACAGCATACTTGGCATTTGAGAACTCTCAAATGGAAATCCGGGGAGTTTTATCATGACCAATTACAAGTACGCATTGAATGGGACATTTTCAAAGTGAAGGGTTGCTTGCGCTGCTTCGTTTGTGTCAACGACGAAACCTATTTCGCGTTGATGTGTGAACATATTGAACGGCAAGCGATTTCAACGTACTGGTATTTTAAATAGGACTATTGAAAGTTCGATGGCTTGACATTCATATATTTTCATTTCTAATATTGAGTTATGAGGGACATAATTATTTGTACTCTCAAAGTAACACTATCGTCGTCTATGGTGCGTCGCATATGAAGCTAACAATGTAAGCTCTTATTCTACACAGCAAACAACCCACCATATGATATTATATGCTCACATATGTACCATTTGCAAATATCAGCCTTTACTATCTGTATGCGTATCGCAGACTTCGATCCGCCGAACACACCATGTTTAAACTTCTGGTAAGCCCACACGGTGCCAACAGGCTTTATAGACAAGCCGGCTTCTTTTTTTTCTATTGTTTGACAGATAACCTGTCATTGTTACTCAATTACAGAGATGTACTAACACCTTACCAAAAACATTAGTCTTAGTAATTCTATCTTCTACTTGAGTGTACTCAAAACTCGATTTATAATAGAGTACATTTAGGTTGTCCGCTGCCTTCTAGTTTCTTTCGACCGGGTAAATAGATACGCGGACTAACGAAGAACATTATACAGAGCGTAGGGTATGAACTAGTCAAGATAAAGCTTTTTACGTATTCTCTTGCTTTTGTTGACATCTCTTTTTCCGCCAGCCTCGCCACCACATACCAGCGATGTCTCGCACGCTTCACGCTCAAACAACCTCGCGGGTATCGCATAGTAGCTTGACCGGCAGTGATAGACGGATGCACCTTGGCCTAAAATTATTGTGGTCCTCAGATAAAACTAGGACTTTAAAAGAATTTTATCCGTGATCCTCACTTAATTGCTGTTATTACTGATTTAACATTGTTAGTGACTCATCAAATGTTGTTGTGGTTTTCAAAATATGATGCACTTTTGCCATGACAATACCGAAAAATTCGCAACAAGAGGTACGCGACAAATAGAAGAGCGTACTCGAAAGTTCCTGTAGTGCCATCAGTGGAACCCGACTGGTCGGTCGTAAGAGTTAACGTCAACGAATATTTTTTAACCCGTCTAAAATTTGTTTATAAACTAATATAGATCAAAATTAGACCATACAAATGAACTTGTACAATTAAAATTACTCGTTAATATAAAAAAAAGCATCCGTAGCATTGGATTTTGTTTAAAGTCTTTCTTTTTACTATTGAGATAAAAATAGCCGTCTCGATTTATTAAATTTCCTGTAAAACAAAATGTGTCTTAGTTTTGATAGAACAATTTTTTTTCGAATATCATAATAATCTTTGGTGATAACGCTATACGACAATCATTTTCCTAAATTTATAAATTCGAAATAATTTCTGAGGACTGCACGCCGTATTTCCGAATATTAAACAATAACATACAGAATTTTATTAAACTATATATACCGTATATATGTTGCAACTAATAATTACGGCTCTCGATTTTTTCCATATATTCATCGTAATTCTGCTTTGTGATTAACAATCTATCGATGGTAATCTTTTTATCATTTTTGCTTTAATGTGAAATTTCAATAATATCGTCTATATGCGATTCATCTTCGCATATTATGAATATTGGATAAGTTTCAACAGGGACGTATCCGTAAGAATGGAGTCTAATTATTATTGTTAACTGTTGTTAAGCAACACGCTGGTACATTTTACACAAATGCAAAGCTATCACAAACACGAAATAATAAATAATAAAAAAAAATGAAGTCAGTGATTTTGACTTCAACTCTTTTGCGCAACCGAGTGTTCAAAACGATTACCGATGGATAAGCGGCTCAGACTAAGATCGAATGCTATAGTTCGCCACAATCATAACGTTAGGAATTTTTAAGTTCTTCATAAAGGTAGCTCAATTCACTACGCGTAATACGCGACTTCGCATATACGTATGCTAATATTAAAGAAGTAAAAAGGAAAATTGTTTAACTGTGTGAAAATATATTAGAGTGGATATACATAGGCTACAGTATAAGCACTGTGCGGATATGAGTATGTAATGCCTCTTTTATAATATTTATTATAACTTATTTAAACATTCAAAAGAGTCTGCGATATTTCAGTCATTTTGATTTGTATTTTATTCGCCTGCATCGTATTGCCTCGGGCATTACCTGCCTACAGCTTTCATCGACATCACCACAATTCTCATGATGAATTCGATACATCATGAAAATGACCCCGAATAATTAAAGTCATCAGGGCATATGACCCACGTAACAATGCTTTGTTACAGGTTTATATCATACCGAAAAAGGCTTATGTCTATGACCCATGCGTGATTAAACCAAATTGAGCAGGTAGCGCTGAAGGATTGAACAATGCAAACCTATAAACTTTCACTTTGAACGTGAAAAAACGATGGACGAACGAATTCATCTGTTTGTTCAAGAAAATAAATGAAAATAAGATAGTCACTCATGGATTACACTAACTGAGACTAGTGTTACATCGGCGCAGCCAACTTCTCGTTCACAGTAGCATGCCTAAAATTATATATAAGGGATATTATAAAGAATATGTTTTAATTTGATGACGTTTCTGATGAAGTAATTGACTTATCGCTTAATTTATTTTTAAAATTGTTTGCTGCAACTTCATTAAAACGTGTTAGATTTGAAAAGATTTTGGTTTAGTCTAGGGTAGTTTGATACTAAAAAAATACTCTTTCCTTGCCTTATACAGTTATTGCACACTGTACTGCTAACTCGTCATAGGTTGTATTGAATAATTCAATATAATGCAAGTTATTTTCATACCATAAAAATCACTTTCTGATCCAGAACCCGTATACTTTCGAAGAAATTGTGCTTCCCGATATCTATTTATAACCTGTTGGTAGATAGTTAACAAAACTCTGGAGTTTGAGTGAAACAAAAACAGTAGCTTCACCTAGGGTGCTAATCTTCAACAAACGCGACAATGTTGATATGGACTTCAATATAAGTCTCATCAACAATTTGTCCCCAGACGGTATGAAATTTTCCGGGTATCGTTATGAATCATTTTATTTGATTTTATTGCTTGTGTATTGATAGAGAAATTGTAGTAAACAATTTTATAGTTTATGTCAATTTCACGCACGTGTGCAATAAACAACGAATCAATTATTGAATTGAAATACATAATCGAATTGACAAATAAATCATGTGATCAGTTTCATTCAATATTGGTTCCAGCAATATCTTAATACACATAACACGGTACGAAACAACATAAATTTTGCTGGTATTTGATTATCAAGCTTTCAACTTAAAGACTTACGAGAAACGTTTCATATGGGCATTTAAATATCTCCGATACAAAAATTCAATTATACATAATCGACTAGAGACAAACAGTACAAGCTTGAAAAAATAGACCGATATATCACAAGACGTTATATCTTGAAGTTTAAATTTCGACGCTTTTCAAAAGTGTTGATAGACGACGGCTTCAAATCTAATTAAATTTAGTTCCCCCTGTTTGATAACCCATTAAGTTATTCTTTGCCGAATATTTCAGTCGATTTTGACCGAATTAACCAGGAAAGGAAAAAAATATTTCATTTTTTTAAAATTCGCTGAAATCTTTGTTTTGTAGGGTTAGGCCTGATATAGTCACCAAATAATAGTTTCAAATTATTTACATTTCAATTTGTTTTATCATAAAGTTCGAAACGTGGATTTCGGCTGTAAATTGCCAGTTCGATTATTTGCGACTGATATGAACCACGTATGTCGATTAGACAATTGTCGTATACACAATGATAATAATGATGTATCGGGTGAATGCATCACATGTTTAATTACATTTCTGTTCATAATTGCAATTTTGTTCAATTCTGTGCAAACAATAAAAGCTTTGTTGAGTTAACTGACGTACGTTGACGGATGTGTATTGAAAGTATGAGAGGCTTATGTATTTTGCGCATTTAGCAACAAAGTCATTAAAATATTAAATACATACTCAACTTCACATTTGTTTCTACTTGGCAATTTTCAGACACAAAGTGACCCGATAGTCTTTTCGATAAATTGTAGCAAAGACTTTACTCTTCATACAGAACTTCCTTTGTATCGAACGATCTATGGCGTGTTTCCGACCTCCATTCGAGAGTTGTTTTTCATGTTTTGTGCATTATTACTGATTTGGAATTCAACCGTATAACTGGTATTAATTAAGGTTTAAGTGTATTTTCAAATAGATCTGTTTTTTATTCAATTCGATAGTGGAACTTTACAATATACGAACATTGGCAATACAATATTTTGTGTGCATATTGACCTCTGAAGAGTTCAGATTGGGGTTTACTCCGCTAACATACGGGGGTAAGAACAAGCAGTGGGGACAATTTTCCCTACACTACAATCGATCATAACACAGAGTTGCTTCCGTCAAAATATCCTCGAACAGTAATATGTTATTTGAGTTTAATTGTTATTACCGGTATACTACAGTTCGATGTTTTATTACTTAAGGTGCAATTTGTTGCATATATAGCCTACTAGAGCCGACTTTTTTTGTAAATTTTATTGATACAAAATATAGAAAATAAAATACGTCCTCCCGTCATTTGCAATCTCCATTGTCTGAAAAATATTAATGTAACATCTTTTAATATGAAAAGAGTGCATGAATGTACAAATTTTTTTGCAATAGAAAATTTCAGTCAAATCTTTAAAATCAAACGCAATAAATTATTTTATACCTGATGCCAACATATCTGATTGCTTCACAACAGTGTCTTTCATAGCAACGCTCATGGCCACGTAAATTGCTGAGAGTAGAAAAATAAATATCAGCGATTGTGAGGCCCCAATGGGGCGAAAATCATTTTTGTTACAAAAATAAATTTACTGTTATTTAATAAAAATTGTTTCGCAATTTTTTGTGACATAGATCAGTGGGTGAGACAATTGTTTCATGAAGAAACACAATAGCTGTCAATATTACTATTCAAACGTGAAGATAAACCCGAATGTGGTAACTGTAGTATCTATGTAAAAATTCTTAAGAAGATAGGACTTGGAATTCTTAATTAGCAATTATAAAATACCAGAATATCGGTCGGAGACCGAAGACTTATCGATCGAAAGTTAGGGGATCCCCAAAACAGAAACTGCGGTTTCGATTCGTGCGCTCTTATTCCATAGTGACACCGTGTGTCCCATCACTAATTAATTAAAAACTCGCTAATTATACGACATAATTCATCCAAAATCAATAGGATCTTGATCCGAGATATGATGAATGCACATAAAAAATTTGAAGCAGATTCGACCTCGTTTTCGTGAGATATCGCGTGTATCTAACAGACAGACAGACAAACAAACAAACAAACAAACAAACAAACAGACAAATACCTATCAACATACTTACCGATCTTAAGATCGATAAGTAATAAGACCGTCACCTTTATCCACTATGTCCTTGGCTTGTTTTTGTAACTGGATGTCTAAAAAGAGTAAAACGTGCCTTAATTGTCTGACTTGTTACGTGGCGCGTACGTTCATTTTAAATTAATCAAAATATTAAAAGAAAATATTTATTTTAGATGTCTTTGATTGTGATGAAATATTTACCATTTCTGTCAGCAGTCCGAATTAAATCTTCTTTGGCCTTGTATAAAGCTAGAAAGGCAAAGATATTGGGAAAAAAGTTTCTATCTGAATCTAAATAATCATGAAATGAAGTAAACATAGCTTCATTATTTACAGACAAAGAGAGACAATTCATGGACAAATGTGAATTACACAGCGGATTGTAAATTAAAACAAATATATAAAACTGAATCCAAACAAATGTAAAAACTCTTAGTGTTATCAACTCTGCATTTGTGTTACTGGACCTTATTTCAAATGTTAAAAACATATTTCTTTAGGCACTTAGAAAATGAGTAAATTCATTTTTTTCATTTTAAATTTAGGTAATTATAAGCGTAACTGTAATTGATATTGCAAAATGCCAAAGTTCATCATTCATATTTGTTCCTGTGTGATTTTTGTTTGTGAACATCACAATTCATTCGTGATTAGCTTGTAAAGTGGTGGAATGACGTAATATGTTATATTTCGTATAGCATATGTTATATTACCCATGTCGGTATCTGCTTTTTGTTTATCCCCAACCTGTGGATCCATCGCACTAGTCCTCCAAGAACCTGTGTTTATAAAATAATAGTTTATTTCATTCTGAAGAATTACCAGTTTGGTGAATGAGATATATCAAACATAGTTGATCGTGTATCATTTGATTTGATTGGATGAAGTAGAATGGATCTGAGGGAGAAATGAGTTCTTTTGATTCATTTATGTAATCTTTAATTGTTTGTCGCAATAAATAAACCAAGTCTGCAGCTACGATGTGAACATTGAGTTATGCAGCTGCATCACCAGACTTATCAATAAACATCCATATTTAACTATACTTCACACTCACCTTCTGCGATTTCTTTTTCTACGTCTTCACAGAGGTTTTCTTCAGTTGGGTTCACACAATCTGTAGTTGAATGATTTAAATAAGTGATTACGGAAAACTATTAAAAACTTGTAAAGAAGACCCAAATGTTCGAGAAAATTCACTTCAACAGAACCAAAAATCGCTTTCATGTAGTTCCTCATTACTATTGTCGGTATTTTAATAAAAACTAAATGAAGGAAAACCAAAAAATTTTTTTGTTTTAACTGATAAATGTTATTTCAAAACTGAGAATTATTTACGGATTAAGAAAACGATGTCTTGTACTTTGTTGCAAACCGGTTTTTGTATTATGCCACTTGCAGAGCAAGTATTACATTGATTTGAAAATGAAATAGATATTTTAATGAGTGTATATACATAAATTTTGTTACAAGAAGGGTTGTGAACCACTGCTGTAAAAGGTATAGACAACAAACACATTTCATGCATTGACGAGACGCTTGGGCTTTTCATTTCTTAAGGGGAAATACGACGTCCGATTTCCAAGTTTTGTGACTTGGATTGACGATAATTTAGCCATCTTTAATGAAGAATTCACTCACGAACTGATTCATCTCCACGTCTTCTTGTTTTGGATTTCTAAATAAATGGAATATGTAATTGATTATAGAACACAGGTGTTACTTGAAGAAAATTTAATTCAGCTAGAATATGTTTTGCGTTGCGCAAAATTGTCAAATTACGCACTCGGTCATTGGAATTTGTCTAATTTTTCGCTAAAATTGCAGTTTTGAGTTCACCAATTCTTTGAGGAGTGTTCTAATACACATTGTTCTTCGAATACTCCCACAGATGAATATGGGGTGTTCAAGTCCCATGAATTAGGCGCCTGCTCGACGTCACACTTCCAGCCTTTTTCTGAAATAGCTGTCTCAGCCAGGGTGTGATTTGATATTGTGGGGTTTGGCTGGAACTACTGATCAACTCAATCAATCCCTCGTCGTCTAACTAAATGATGCCCAGCACTTTTACACCACATAATGTTCCCTATTCACCACTTGATTTTCGTCATCAAACCAATACGGGCCAGTTATGTGATGTTTGGAAATGGGTACCCATGCTTTGCACATTACTGAGTGTAACGTTCTCTGTGCGACTTTCTTCAGAGATGTTGTAGGCTACCCAGGTAATCAATAAATATTGCTAGTGACATGCCCAGGCAGTGGAAAGTGTGTCACTCGAAACATATTCTAGACTAGAGGGATCATACCTTTTGTGCAAAAGTCTTGGATTATTGAAACTTTTGGGCACAATCATACACAAACGAAAACAAAACCAAACATTTACTCCATGTTTACAATTTTACGGAAGTCGGAAGTAATGGAGAATTTGTTTTCTTTTCGGGTCACCCTGTAGGCTATATGCCTAGGGTGGTAAGTGTTTTGCTTCCATTCCGATCAAGATATCGTACATAATATATCACCAGAAGCATTTATTTCATACGTGAAAAATCCTTGCTTACACAAGGAAGTAGAAAGCATAAATAGCGGCATATCTACGTAAAATGGCGCCCATGACTTCACGTTAAAGTTGGTGAATTTTAAACAACTTCAAGTCAAAGTTGATAAATTTTAAACAAAGGTTTATATTTTATTTCATATTGAAGCAATTTTAAATGCGCTCCCATGATCGTTGAATGACAATTTTAACGACTGTTATGAATTTAGAGTACCATTGAGATGCTTCTAAGGCGGCCATACCCCAGATAGGCCACTTATCCTGGATAATCAGAAGAGTTGAGAACAACATCACTGGCTATATTACCCGAACCGATTAGCTAGAAAAGTCCTGCAACGCGTGAGCATAAAATCAACCACGACTTTTGAATCTGCAGGCCTTTCCTTTTGTATACCATAGGCGTAGGATATAATAAAAATAGACGAAGCTCAACTGACATCCACGTACCATTAGAAGTTTTCCCGTGAACCCCTGTTCTATATAAATATAGACATCAATAATCAACTGGTGAATGCCTAATTCTAGCTTATTAGATCTGATGCATAAAGGAAACTTGTTTAAAGGAAGGGTAGCTGCACCCTAGCAAACGCCAACATTTGAAAAAATTGCATCGACGGACGTGAAATTCGAACTCGATGAGCCATGCTATGCGCGCGCGGTTCGTTTGTGACGGGCACTGCCTGTTGGCAAACTCGTCCTCTTCACACCTTCCAAGTTGTACATCAAAAATGTTAATCGAGACGAAAACAACCCAAAACTAACGAACCAAGAAAGCGTAGTTATTATAGCCTGCAATTGGGTAGAGTATTTAAAACAAGAGACAAACGCGTTTCATGGTAGTCATTGTTCCACACATTTCATCTCAGAAACCATAATTCCCGCTATCGTCCCAAAAGCACATGAACTTGATGCATGATGAATGGTTGTTATATTTTTGAAAAATCAGGCGAATAGATCAGTGGTTTTGATGTACAGTACAACAAGAATAAGCAAAGTTTTTAAGTCAAAAATAAAATAAAAACTACTATTGCCAAAATTTTGAACTGCTGGAATCTACAATGATTAACAAGTTAGAATTTACTAGATTTTCATGTAGTGTTTTGCTTTCAAATTTATAGCTTTTTTAAGGTTTGGTTACGAAAGGTGAGTGATCGTCTGTAGTTCAGTTTCGAAACTAGTAATCAATCATCCAACACTTTTGTTAAACTTTGTTTTTTGATGGAACTTTCATTGGTGGAATATATGGTTCTTATTTAATCAGAAATGCATATACTACGAGCTCTTTTTACAATAACAAACAAACAGTGAAGAAGCGTTTTGCTAACTTTCATAAAATATTCTACATCATCCTACTGCTAACCAAGGAAGGTAACAGGACAACAGCAGCAATGAGAAATGATTCAAAATTAGAGAAAAAAAAACTATAGTTTAGGACAGTTGGCTGGAATGATATGAACACAAAAAGTTAACTTGGTCTTATTCCAATAATGGTTTTCAACCCTTCCTTCTACTCACAGTAAAATAAGAGATACTTAAATATACATCCAGAACAATGAGGCTTGCTTTTATAACAAGCATATTATCCCACTTCACTTTCGGTCACAAATCGAAATACTCCTGCTTCATGCAATAATTGAAAAAGAAGATAGCAGAATAGCAAAATCACATTTGGCAAGCCTGAACAGTATCCGATGAAAAATTTCAACAAAGCCTAAGTTAACTACTTCTTCAACATACTGGCAAACCAAACATAGCCTACGTGAAAAACATGATTGGCAAACCACAACATATCCTACGTGAAAAACATGATTGAGCAGAACTAGCAAGTGTAATTATAACAATATATTTTTGAACGGAGTTTAACCCAAGTTAGCTGTATCTATACAAATTATTTTGAAGCTTTGTTTCTGAAGAACTTCAAATATAATAAAAATAAAAAGAATGATGAATAACATACACTGATAATCATGGGAATGGGTGCTAGCCCAAAAGAAGGAACATCAGTCTCGTCGGTAATAAGCAGGATTCCTATGATCAAAAAAGGAAAGAATGAAGCTATATTTCTTATAGACTTGATCAACTTTTGCAACTGCTGGTATTAACATTTTCAATATAATATTCAATATTCATAATCAACATTTCATTTCGTTAATGAATATAATTTATATCTCGCTGATTGAAATCCCTCACGATCGCCTATCATGGTTGCATCAATATTCAGTAAAAATGAAGAGCAATACTCAGTAGTTTGTTTCAATAAATCAGATTACAATAACAAAAAACAAAGTTCAATAAATATTTGAGATTTTACAATAGCAATAACCGGGAATCAATAAGAAAAGATATGAAATTATTCAGTATGAGCAACTGAAGTGCAATTAGAACATTAAAATAGTGGTTAAAAATAGATGGAGGTTCAATTGGTGTTAAATATTAAACTAATCTGCATATGACCCAAACAAACCATGTCCGCTTAAACCATGTAATATCCAAGGTTCATGATAGATCAAGTCAGCTACTCAAATACGGAATTAGGTACTTGAGTATACACCATCTCAGATGAGAATATTACTCAACACTCATCATCAAAAACACTCGACATGAGATTAATTTTATGGGGAGTAATTGAGGCTTGAATAGCACAGTGTGGAACCACCTCACCATCGACTGTCATGTGACCAGTTATAAAAGTGAATGGTTCAAGACGAACGGCTCGGCATGGTATCACAGATGAAAACTCTCCTCCTCGTTCAATGTGAGTACCTCCCTCAAATCCCAGTAACACATTCATCATCTGTGTTTTGCTCTGAAATTGATTGTCATGAGTTATGAGTGAAGCAATAATACACATTAAACCACAATTTTACTCAAATATATATGAAAGTATGATTGCTTGTTCCATAAGTTGTTATATTATATTTGTAAGGTCAAGTCTACAAACAAAACATATCCTCACTCTTGAAGTTTTAATTATCCATCACTCAAATATGGGAAGCAAAGGTTAAGTGGTTGATTTGAGTCCTATATATTGAACCCGCGGACATACACATGTGTTCAAATGTACGTGGGTTCAAATGTTCGGTCACCTGCACAAAGGTGTATTTCCATAAAAAACCTATCTGACTGATTCAGCATACTTCAATCTATGAATCTGTGGATTATGTATCAGATATACCAGTGACTAAGATTTCAAAATTGGAAACATTAAATATAGTATTCTTTCCCTCACAGGTGGTAAAAGCGTTAAATATAACTACAATGGCATTGCAGGTTAAAATGTCAGGTTCAAATTTCATGCTTATGCTCCTGGGTGACATGATAAGGAGCAAATGACATGGAAACATCTCATATAAAAAAATCCAAGACTTAGTATACCTGTACCTGTAAGCATTATTTTAACCAAGTCGAGAACAAAAAAATTAGAACAATGCTCTTAACAACTTGGTCATGGCACTCACAATTATGAGGACATATTTTAAGCAGTTAATTACTCACAATTCCATGTCGCAAAGTATAAATATACATAATATCTTCATCAAGTTTTGCAGTAGGTACACCCATCATTTCATGGCCAAGATGACTCAAGTAAAGTGATGTCACGAACACATATTCCGACTCAAGTTGCACCCAGTCTTCAGGTGGATCAGAATCAAGGGATGATCGTAAGTGATAAAGAATGGCAGAATCTCTCCATGCTTGGGGAGTCACCAATTTAACTTCAGTACCAGGTTTTTTTGGAACATTTTGATTTGTATCGCCTGTTGATGATGACAAAGAAACTTGTCTGTTTCTAGTTTCATCTGTATGTTGGTTTGTTTCTGATGAAGCCTCACTGTCGCCATTTTCAATTGCTTCATTGGTTTACATAAATAGAAAATTGCAAACTAGTTAAAAATGAGGAAAGATAACAAGAGATCAAAGCAAATATATATGTACACAAAAGTACTGTTATTAATAACATGACATATGCTGTTTGTGAGTACTTTTCAAACTTTTTTTAAGCTATTAAAATGTTTCATACGGTACATATTCCCATGTGATCTGGAGGAAATTTGAAAGTCATTGGACTACAGAAAATTGATTAGCCTAGTAATTTCGACTTATGAGTCAAAAATGGCAATGAGTAATACACTTATGATCCCCTTGAACTATGAAACTGAATGGTTATCAGCTAATTATTCAAGAACATTAGGAGTGATATACTGATATATTTGTCAGAGTTGAAGTCTTGATTAAATTTTCTTCATTTTCGTAGAATTAAGAAATTTATGAGTCTTTTTCAGGCAACCTACACCCTACACTTACACTACATATTCACAATCACGAATAGCCAGATCAAACATAATGCTGGACTCGCACAGATTTCACTAACCTGGGTGATTCGTTGAAGTACCGGCATCATTACTCGAGTTTGATACATCATCACCATTCAATTGCTCTGTTGATATTACTTCAATATCAGATTCACTGTTGCCATTTGTCTGACCAGACGATATCACTTCAATATCGGATTTGTCATCTCCGTTTTGTTGATTCGTTGGCACAACTTCAAAATTGTTTGAAGTTGAATCTTCATTTTCACTTTCTGCTGACTCTGATTGTTTTGTCGTTGTTGTAGCATCTCCACTACCATGCTCTCTGGATAAACTTGCAGAATGTTTTGTATCGAAAACTGGAGAATTACTGTCGGATTCAATGCTGAAATTTATTTATTTAAATGTTTTTTACGTTGCACTATTCAGAGTTTGTTAATTTTTTAAATCTTGGTCCTTTCCAAGCTTTGGAAGCAACAAAAATAAATTTGAAAATTTTCGAAATTCTTACCGAAATTTTGAAATTCTTAACCCAGTGGAAATATTTTGATCAGTATTCATCTTAATAAACTTCTGTTTAGTGAAATATCATTATTGTAAATGTACCTGCTTGGGCTAGTTTTACATTGTCTTGGTTGAAAAGCCTGCTATACAGACTTTAACCTAACATTTAAAACTTGACTAAAGCCACATGTCACTCAATTTAGAATTGACAAGACAAATATTTAGTTAAGTTGAAATTCAAATATAAATTTGTAACATAAATTCTTAATTCAACAATGAAGGGCACATCCGGAATATGAATGAAATTATGTAAAATGAACCATGCTCCACATGTCAGCCACAATGTACCAATCAGTTGAACTTTCTTGTGAAAGAACATAGCTTCTAGCTTTGTTCATAGCATATCAATCATAAAGCAACACATACCTTCCGTTAGCATCTTCCAGTGGCCTAAAAGTTTCGGGAATCCTGGCATTCACAAGACTAACATCGCTACGAATTGCATCTTCATCTCCAGAAAATTTTGATCGCTTTCCAAAACCTTTTCTAGATCTTCGAAACATGATTGATGAACCCATGTTATCAGGCACAGACATCTCTCTCTCGGGTGCTGGTGCTTTGTCTGAAGTGTGCTAGAATAAACAAGAGAGTGATACTCAGATATGTGGACAAGAAAGTGTTATCATCTGTCAATAAAAATTGTTCCCATGAAATAAAACAAAACACCAATATCTGGGTGAAATATTGGGGCCATATTCACAACCCGCCGCTACATTCTGTGTCAATCATCGTTAGTTAAATAATTGTTAACAGGTAAGAAAAATTGTGAAGTGTTTTTAGTGTTTCTTGATTCTAATCAGGTCCCTTGGCACTGATCCTTTGCATAATCGCATGTTCCGGTCAGATTGCCTGGTACCCGCCATTTTATTTTGAAAAGGAACGGTGTTTAGTGAACTTGCGCCAAATAGTGGGCCCTGTACATCTCTTGAACTTGAAAAAAATAACAGTATTAGCCTTCTGGCAATCTCTTCCTCAATCTTCAAGTACTGTAAATTTGAAATTGATTGGCCCATTAGTTGCGGATACAACCAAAAACTACGGTAAAAACTATCCCAACAATAATTTAGCAGAACAATCCATATAAACATGCAGTGTCCAAAAACAAAGTGAATATAAAGACATAGAAATACTTTATGCTTAGTATAGACATGCAATTAGATAGGTTCAGCATTGAGTATGGCAAGAAATAAGGTACAAAGAAACACTTAAAAAAAGTGGAGTTTTGGAAATTCATCATTGTTTCGCATCTACAAAAGCTTTTATGAAACACAACCATCAATCATAATTGAATAATAAAAACTCACATAATATGACTGCGATCGACCAAATGAATATGCATTGCTTGTGGCAGGAAGATATGATATGCGGCCCTGATATAACCTCATGTTTGCCACACGAACTGCACATCCTATCGTGAACCGAACTGGCCCCAGAGCTCTAAACAGAAAATCAGTTTAGTGAAAATTTATAGAACAAATTATGGATACATAGTACAATGTCGAAAATATTTATATAATCAAAGATTTGTTATGAAGTATATACTATATAATATGATATCACTCAACAACTGAACGCAAGTTTGAATTGTTGGAAAAATATCGGTTTCATACATACACACATAAAATAGTCAAAACAAAAGACACTGCCACATGAAATGGGGCACTTTTCCACAAAGGGCTTCATAAATTTCTACATATCGTTCGCCATCGATGAAAAATAAAAAAAGGTTTTTGGCCATCCCAATTTCTGCTGATTCCTATGTCTAAGTTAGGCCACTTAAAGAGCCTTGATGAGAGTGAAAATGTTAGGTGCTTTGTAAAAAATCTCAAAACAATTTAATAACCAATTCAAAAAAGGACCGAAAAACTATTGTGAATGAAGCAAGGTTATGTTAGGTGAAAATAATATACAAATAGTATGAAGAGTTTATTATTACAAAGCAAATTAAGTTTGAGTTGTGTTAAGATATTGAAATGAATCTTCAATATCTTTCTGCACAATTTCATTCAAAGATGTCCTTTTAAAGGCACTATTATCATACCTATATCTTTCACTTTCAATATCAACATCAGCGATGAAACCCCAAGCAAAATTCAAAAATGAATAAAATCTTTGTCCTGCGGCAGTTTCAGCTGCAACAAGACTTAATTTTCTTGTTTTTCCTTTGACAACTTCAAACAATGAATCCAAGTCCAAATTGTTGGAGATGATTTGACTGAAACAAGAAAGAGGAATAATTTAAACATGTTGAAAAACACAAAATTCTTTAACACATATCATCCTTACTCAAAGGCAAAAACTGATTTGTGTGTGATATTGGAAGATATCAAGAATATGCAAGGATTCCAAAATAAACACATTTAAAACATTTTTACAATATTTGAAAATCAATGATGCCTATTCCAGCGCAATTCTATTTAAACTACTGGTATTCCATGAGAACAATTTAATGCTTCTTTGACTGATACCTAGACTGTCAACTCTAACTCTGAAAATTTTAACACAGAACTGATCTTCTTATCATTCTGCAGTCTAGCACTCAAGTTCATTAATTGCCTCGATTTTAAATGCAATTCTTATAATGCTTTTATTGTGTTTTATTTTTCAAATTATTGTCACACATAGTTAGCGATCCTATTATAATTTGCCTTGTTTTTGTCCTCATAATTAGGAATGTTTGAAAAACAGAATGTGAAAACCATAAAAATACAATATATAGTAGGGTTTCCCAAACTGAAGTCTGCGGACCCCTGGGAGTCTGTGATGACTGCATAGGGGTCTGCAATGATATGAAAAGAGTCTTGAACATATACAAATAGATCATAATCTTATCGAATTGCTATTAGCCTGCCGGTATTCACTGTTAGTATGTATTGATTCAGACTATCATGAGTTTTATTTTGTCAAAGGAAAAGATATTTTTTCTAGTTGGTTAGGCACAAAAATTGATACGGCATAAAATGGAAGTTTGTCAAAAATAAGATTCACAAACAGTGGTCCGCAGCCCAAAGAGTTTGGGAAACCCTGATCTATATGACAAAGTTCCTTCAATATTACTTTCATTCAAAAAAGCTTGATTTACAATATTTTAATATTCTGAGGATCACTAAGACCTAATTCAATATGATAAATGTTAAAAAATACTTGAAAGCAGCATAAATAGAAAATCTCTACTCCTAATTGGCCAAACCATGAAGCATACGGACCTCAGAAAAAAGGGACATAAAAAGACCTTTAATGCATACACTTAGATATATTTAAAGTAAAAGCAATAAATATTTAAGATTGGTCATTGTTCAGCAATAATAAGACAAGTGGTAGAAGTTACAATGCATACAAATATCGTTTCACAATACAGAAAAAGATCAAAAAAGTAAAATGTAATCAAGTTTTGAATTTTCTTTTCCAAGAAAGTTGTCAAAAATTTAGACACTGTTAATCACAAAAAATATTTATAAGCTGGTTTTATTAGTAAAAATAAATAAGCTCATGGTACTGATAATCACTGATTGAGTAAGATCAAAAATAGATAGCTGGTACTTGAGAATTGAATAATTTTAAGTTAAGATTTCAAAAACATTAGTTTCTTATCTGTTCCGCTGAAAATTGTTACCATACTTTTTGACCAGACTTTTCTTGCAGCAATTAACGCAATTTAAGATTTGTGTCACATTAAACCAAAAAATCATGTTTTTCTCAGATTCAATATATCTTATGAAATAATCTGAAAATCGATTTATGTTTGTGAATATATTAAATTAACAAAGAACAAAGTACCCTATTGATCCAAATGGCAGCTCCACTATTATATTATTATTAAAAGACATTATTGAATTATAAAAATAAAATTGCGAAATGCAATATCTTCTGAGGTAGATTGCGCCTCTTGAAGATAATATACATGTATGGTAAAATACGGTAACTATGGTAAAATATAACAATAGCTGGAAAAAAAAATAACAGCTTCTATAAAAAACGATCAAGTACCTATCTTGAAAATAAAATTTTGAAGTTTAGAAACAATCGGACTTCCTGAAAAAGTACACTGAAATTGAAGTTACTTGATAAAAGGACTTGAAGAGATCAGAATGTTACGTAACACTTTGTTTATGAATGCAAACTACTTGTGTTAAAACGAAATTCATATAAATATGGCATACAAAATAACCGAAGCATGATTTCTATATATAGATAATGATATATCTGATTGATCTGCCATCGATAATAAATTCACTATAACTATGATGATGAATTTCTACTAAAAATGTCTAATTGTTTGAAATAAATGGAAATAATGATATCTCTTATGTTTTGTTGTGCATATAGAATCAAGAATACTGGAGATACAACTTTCGAATGAGGGAAACAAAATTTGGACAACTTGATGTATATATAATGTTGCTAATTTGCTAGGTGCAAGAGAATTTTTTTGTCAGGTAAAACATGAAAATATAATTTTGGATTTTTCAAGTACCGTAATTGGTCATTTACAGTAAATGAGATATTTCTATAAACTAAAAGAAATAAGATCATTTTTGAATAATATTGAATTGAAAGGTTGAATTTATTCATGTACTTATATTATATATTATTTACTTATTATATTTCTCTTGAAAATGTACATAGCTTCTTATAATTTGTGAATGAAGGAAAACTGTCATTTCTAATACCATAATTAGGACAGATAGATATCGAACATATACTTCATCATCCTATATCTAGTGACTTGCAACACCTTCCCCGCTCGATATGGTAATAATTTTCAAATTTTGTTAATAAACATGAGCTAAAAGTATTTCTAAAGTTCAGAAGGAAAGCAATATGAAAACTTATCTAATGCAATATAGAAACCATGATCACGTCTAGTTTTAACAGTTTGGACAGGTTGATTAATAAACCTTAATTATTTATTGTATTTGACCGATAAATACCAAGAAAAACATTTAAAAAAAAATTGATGGCAGAATTATATACAACACATAATATAGTCACAAAACAGAACCAAAAGGACAACGGGAAATTAATAAACTATAAAATTTTTTATGGGTCTGATGGATTGGTCATTTAATCTGACAAAGGCTTTTAAGTTTTATTCAAATTCAAACATGCATTTTGATTACAATCAAAACTGTTAAACATATCAACCTATGGCTCACCAGTTGAGCATGTTAGATGAGGAATATTTAAGCTTGGAACTTTGAAACAATAGAATTTATTCAATTAATCTTAAATAAATCAGCTTATGATAATACTGAAACAACACTATGTATCATATACGCTTCAATAAATATCGATAATATTTTTCAGAAGAACTACTATGAAATTTAAGTAATAAACATGAATGAAACTTGACTCAGAATATTATGAAAGTACAAACTTATTCCAAAAATAAATATCCTGAACATGCTTTTATTAATGACACATACTTGAGAAAGCGGCCAATGTTTTCAAAAAATGTGACTCGATGATAAAAGGTAATTCAAAATTCCTGGGTGAAGTTGAAATCATGCTACTTCAACTTCTAAAATCAATTATAGTTATATGAACTAAGATTATAATAATTATAGAGCTATTGGTCTTTCACAGTTTCATGGAATGCTGATTATTTTAGTATATGAAAAAATTGTATTGTAGTCAAAATATGTATTGAAAATTTGGTATCGACTATTTTTTGAGAGAAAGATTGAATATCATATGAAAATTATTTAAATATGGTTGAGTGATGAGTATTATCAGAACAAATGTCTGATTCCGACAAAGTTCACATGGAACAAACAAGTAGAAGTTCACAATAATAGGACAACATTAGATCATATACTCTGAATATTCTACAGTGTTTGTTTTTGTGATTTAATAATGATAAATTCGGATTTACCGTACTTGTAGTTGTAACATAGGCCACTAATACATTGTTCAGCTGTGGGTGCAAATTTAGAAAAATGAAAATTATCATCGTCTCAATCCTTGACAATAACTTGGTTTAAATTTCTATAATTTGGGACAAATTCTTACGAAATATTGGGTTGAATAAAGGTCTAGGAACCTCCAATGATCAGCACTATACCACTTCAGTAGATAAGTAATAAAGACTAGTAAATTAATAAGTTTTTCATTAAATTTACTGATTTTACTTTTATGTTAATAGCAATTATAGTTGAGAAGTTAGTCAAAACACAACAGGAATTTAAATTATTTATTTTAATAAGTAAATTTGAACATTAATTAGAACGAAAAGTATTCAATAAAAATTTTCAACCTATCTAGTATTTGGACTGCATTCTTCAACGAATCAATTTTTTGAACCAGAGAAAAAATAGACAGAACTTAAAATAAATAATATGGTTCACAACACTACATGGTATGTTCATATGACAATACTGGATTATATATGTGGATTACTATAGTATATAATTGCATAGTACTACAAAATAAGTTACAAATGCATTTTGTCTATCTAAAAGTACAAATCGTTGGTGAGTAGTTGAGTACCGTGCCAAAACCACGAATAAGTACTATATGATATGATTATAATCTTAATTAATCGCTTCATACATGGCAGAGCATAATTTCTACTATACAACAAACATGATCACAATAAACTACATGTATGAATAGGAGAAAAAACCTCAATCTGAGTTGGAAGAGCGGATGTTTCATGCTGTAAATCATTCTAATTCTTCTTTGACGTCATTACCCTTGCTAAGCCTGGTAATATATGACATTGAAAAGGTCCGTAAGGAAGTACTTCACCATCAGCTGCTATAATTTGTGAACGGTTTCTCTTTGGTACAATACGAAATGCTGTACATTCAATTGTTTTACCAATAGGTTTAGGAAAATCTGAATTTCCTCCTACGCCAGTGCCATCTTCCATTTGAGTCCACGCTCTCATCAACTCTCTTCGAGTAGTATTCTGACCACACAAATTCAAATTTATTTTACCATCATTGAGTTTGCAGTCACAGTAACACAAATTTACATCAGCAATATGAGACATAAAATTGGCCATTACCATGACAAAGTTGTCCCTTTCAGTGATCCAGTTACCGGGCAAAGATTCATGCAATGGTGGTGGCCGAGGCGATGCAGTATCAAAAGTTTTATTGTTACTACATTCAAAATCACCCTTTCCTTGATTATCTGCAAAAGCCTCTGCAGCATCAGATTGCGACGGAATTGATCTCTTTGATGTTTTTTCTTCAAATGGTAAATAACTGATCTCTATGTCATATTTTCTCAATGAAATAATTCGAATAATTCCATATATAGAAGTTCTTAAATCTCCACCCAAACAACGAAGACTTTCACTCTCAATATCAATATCAGCTATCAGTCCTAAAATAACACCCATGAAAGAGTATATCAAGTTTCTAGGATTCGGATTATTTTGAACAGATGGATTTGAAAATTGGTTGTCTTCTGCAATTTCAATTCCAACAAGATCCATAGGGCAGACTTGTCCACGACAGATTTCAAATATACACATGACAGGATTCGAAGCCACACAGTGTAACCTAAAAAAGAGGCAGAAGTTTATACCAAGTAAAAATCACATACTATGATATAAAACATGATGATATCCAATGTCAATTTTGAAATTTCCAATTTCGGAACTTCACAAATCTAACAAACTAAAAGTCAATGCGACTTCATCGCACAGAGGTTTCCAAACCTTCAAACTCGAGATAAATTTACTTCCTGTATCATACACAGAGCACTGGAAAGTTTTAAAATATATGAGCATTTAATAATTTGAAATGCATAAGCTTGTTTCTGTTTGCATATACACTACACAATACAGTGAAATGCCACATATAGACTGTCAAACTTCTTTCTGAAAGTCAAAATTTAATATATTTGATCATTTTTAGACAAGTTTTAAATGTGGAAGATAAGAAGTAATTTTTTCAAGGAGTGGTTTACTATTTTGACCACACTCAAAAGTATCTCACACAGTTTGGAAACCTCTGACTCACAGCTCTCTTTAAATATTGAAAGGCTTCTCAAAAAGTTTGCCTTTAACTATTAATTAGGAATTGAGATTTCATGCAAAACTAGGATAGGACAGGTGTAGTGGTGAAATTGAAATAAAATTATTATGAGTGCAAAATAAAACTGAACATTAGTAGTGATTAGTGAAATACAAGCACATCTAATATAAGCCTCACTGCAGATACCGAATTACATGCATTAAAAATTATTTGCATAATCTAGTTCACTACAATATCATTCATACAGGGTGAATGAAAAACACAACCCATAAGTTTCTTAATTACTACTATGAAAATGAAGAAAATTTGATTAACTCTTGAACTTCTGTTTGTGTATGATTGTACCCAAAAGTTTCAATAATCTAGGACGCTCAGCATAAAAGTTCTGTTCTCTCTAGAATCTCTACTGCCGAGCAGACAAAAACAATTTAATCATAATTTTTTTTAAATGAATAAGTATTTGGTGAGATCGAGTACTCTTTAATAAAGTTACAAATTATTCTGGCCAAATACACGTGGCAATATTTAATCATTGGCAGATCGGAAACAAAAGTTTTAAGTTTGGAATACGTTAAATTTAAGTTATGTTCAGAATGGTTTATTTCGATGTATGTCACACCTCAAGTTGGCGATTATGTTTTCACTTGAAAGGCAATGAACATGCACAATAAATCGTCAACATAGAGAGTTTTAAGTGGAATCACTTTCCCTGATTGTATTATATTGCACTGTTTCGGATATCACATCAACTGGTTTTTATCAATGGGTAATTTTTGAGATTTTACAGTAAAATTATCATAGTAAGCTATATATATAGAATTACCAATCCTATATAGAAATTTGAAGCTTTGAATTTGAAGGTGCAGATAGGAATGACGGATCAACACATTTTTGTTTTTCATATGTGCAATGTAACAACTTGATGTGTTCATCATGATGTAGGTATGTTTACTAGTAATTTTAAAGAATTCAATTAAAAAGGTTTATATATTTCTAGTAAATAGTCGTATAACCTGATAACAAAAGATTGAAAATTTTATTATCTGTAGAGACTTAATGCATTACTGTATTATTTTATTATGTGAACAACAGTAGGCTATTTATTATATTATATAAAAAGGTGGGGCAGATATCAGTTGGCAAATGTTTACCATGTTGCATTTCACACAACTTTTGTTTGCATGAGATGACACATGTATGCACAAACGATTTTGAAATTCCTAAAAGGTTATAACTACCTTTTAATATTGTTGTATGCTGCACATACGGTATTATAAAAAATCATAGCAGCTCTGATAACACATTAAAAAGGAACCAAATTGTGACAACAAATAATAATTCATATTTTGTATCTTTGTTTTCCACATTAATTTTACTGTTTTTATATTATATATCAGTTTTAGGCCTTTTACATACGGTTGAATGGACTCAAAAGTAAAAAGAAGAGTTGTAGATCACCACTGATGGCCCAAGAGATATATATAGATTTATCACAATAGCAGTACAGTCTTGTATGAAGGCAATGAAAAATTATTTCATATACAAAGTACCCTGAATTAATAAGAGCTCAATTATTAATTCTGGTAGAAAAATTATTGTTCGGTGGATTATGGATATATCAATATTATGCTGAAGTAGAATCTTGATGGCAGGAAATGAATGTCATTCTTTCAACTCGCACCATAATTTGTCAAATTTATTTGATGAACATGATAATGTATTATTTTATTGATTAATATTATATTAGGAATAAAAATATATTTGTTTGGTCATCATCTTTCCAAAAATAATTATCCCATTTATACCCTAATACTTGCAAAACAAAAGCACACAAAATAATTATAGTTTAATCAGCCAAAACGACATAAAATTAAAAAAAACTAAAAACATCAAGCAGTGCTTTATTAAAACACACAATCAATTTATAAAAAGAAAATACTTGTGCAATATTCTAGATCAATTTCAATGTTATGTAGTAATATAAAACAAGAATTACCAAATCATTTGGTGAAATTACAAATCAATAATGTAATTATAAATGAAAATGCAACTACAATTGCAGTAGCACACATAACACTACGTTTCATACCTTGTAGTTGTCTACTTGCTGATTTTGGTAAATGATATCAGTTTGAGAATCGTTAGCTGTTACCTCCCTTACTCCCTGCATTCTACTTGAGCAGGCATGTCCAACCTATTTAGTGTCGCGGGCCACTTTCACATGGGGAAATTCATTGCGGGCAGCAAACCTTTTTACAAAACTTAAATACCAAACCAGTTCTGATTTACGTTATAATTTGTGCGTTGCTAAATTAAACGCCTGGATTGCATAACACTTTTGCGGATTTCTGAACACAAGATGCACACAAAGACCATTAATCATGAAATTCAACTCAACTTTTATGCAAAATGCACATACATAGGCGTAAAAAATGGGGGGGAAAATGAAGTTAGCAATTTTTCTAGTGCGAAACTTGCCTTCGATTGTCATTGCTCAACTGTTTAATATCAACGTGTATTCTTGATACCGCACAATGTAACTAACTGGCTTGTCAAATTTTTGTTCGTCAGCGTACTTCTATGCTTCGACTTCATAATTTCCAAATTATAAGACTTCAGGCTCGAAACAGATTTACGGCATATTAGGCATACATTGTTGTCTTACAACTCTCCTCAACCCTTTTGATATTTCCGATTTTCATCCTCAAGCTTCATCTTTTTTGTTCCAGACACACCGGTGCATTTGATTTTGTGGTTCAACAACCATCAAGAAAACAAGTACCGGTATGTGACTTCAACCTTGATGACTTCACAATGGATAGCAAACTCATTGTATCGCCACAGATGTTGCCCTTTAAGTGGCCCTCTGTGAAATCATGTTCTATGGCGCTTAACAACGCTTTTCTCATGGCGAAGTCGCGTAAAATTATAGCCTAAATTCTAGTAAGATTTGATATTATACCAGGCAATTTTTATGTTAAATATATATATTGTCCGTATATATATAAAAACTTCAAGTGGGCCGCACGAATTCTTCCTGTGGGCCGCATGCGGCCCGCGGGTTGGACATCCCTGTTCTTGAGTACTCCAGAATCATCAAGGCTACAACAACCACTCAAAACGTTACCGGTAACTTGAATTTACTTCCGATCATTGATATTACTTGTTAATTGATAAATCTTTTCTACTACAGTACAATTCCTAAGAGCAAGCAAGCACACTATATATTATTGTGAGCATAAATCAAATTTTGTTACAGTAAACACTTATTGCACACAAAGTGGACCTATGGATTTTGTTTGCCTATTGCATTTTGCTATTATTGTTCTTGTTGGTATTTTTGTTAAGTGCTTTCCCCCTAACTACTGGATCAATTGCTTTGTATTTTCGCTAAAGGGCCATTTCTTTTATTTATTCAAAACTTTCTGTAGGTTGCACGTGATTCGTTTTTCACTTCGAAATTTTGTGTGATGACCTCTCGAAAATCAATACAAATTATTTAGGCGGTTCTTCGACCCCTCTCGTGCGACAAGAAAGTCTGAAGTTTTTTGGCGGTATAGGTACTGTAAAAGGTAGGGTAGACTACTGTTTCGCTTTGGTCTTCGTGAGCATCACTCTCTTGTATTATAGTGAATAGTGATATTTTAAGCAAGCCAACTAGAAGTATAAAAGACAATAGCTGGCATAACTTGAAAGACTTATTTCAAGATAATAGAATAATAGACTGAATAATACATCAATTTGAATATTAGAAACTTAATAGTCTAATTGTTTCAATAAGTAACCTGTCAAATTCATATTGAAATCAAAGTCGGAAGCCGGGTCCAAGCTTACAATGTTAGATGGAGATTTTTTTGCATTTAGAAATTTTTAATACTTCATATAACAATAAAATCTACTATTATTATCAGCTTATAATCTGTATTTAATTTTAGTTTTGAACATTTTAAGGTAAACTTAAATTGATATACGTATATTTGAAAGTTTGAAGATTGAAAACCTTGTATCTTGGTTTTGAATATGCTATCGCTGTTAATTAAGCTAGCCATTGAGACTTTAAACCAGCTCCCGTCCCTGATTCCGACATATATCATCTATGAATTTGACTATTTTAAGATGGATGATCCAATTCCACAGGTTATGTCATACCAAACCAAATATCCTTGTTACAGAGATATTAGTTTGGATCACATCAGTGGTGGGAGTTGGTTTGCAATCACTATGGCTACGGCTCTAGCTCCAGAGCCACAGTATATTCAAACTGTGACTTCAGCTCCAGCTCCCACATTTTTACCTCAAAGCTGGGCTCCGCCTTCATAACCATTGTGATTTTCGGTTTGACAAATACATTGGAACATCGGCCCAATGCACTTTCGCGCAACTATGATATAGGCCTAAGGTTTCGATTCCGAAAATTGAACTTTTAAATATAGATGATTTAATCTAACTTTTGATTTCATACTAAAAATTAATTGTGAAAAAAGTGTAATCCAATATGGATAGATTATAAAATTTGCATGAAATATTAGAAAATTACAAACATGAAAAAATAACTAGATGGTTAAAATCTACATCCACTAAAATTTATGGTAGCTCTAATTACAGCTCCATCTATTATGGTAAACTTGGCTCTACTTTGGTTTATATTTTGGTTAGTGAAGAAGCTTAAATCAGTGACTAACACAAAATAGTGTTTGGTAATTGTGCTAATGCTTTCTGGTTCAAAATCTTCACACAAACTTAGATGTCCACATGCTATTCTGATGTAAATTTTTCGGTCATTATTACACTAGTCTCAATCAAATGTCAATATTATAGTTCACTTTCAAAAGCAGAGAAAATGTATTTTCAATCAGTCGATATATTTTCACTGACAGTAAACCAAAATTCCCTGTGGTGAGGTATAGGATTAGTAAATTATTGAAAACTGTAGTACTATGTGATTTTAATGTTTACTCTGGATGAATGTACAATCATGGCTAATAATACTCTTAGTAATATGGATATTGTGAAAACATAACCAGCCATGTCTTGAGAATGTTCAAAGATATGGGTTCAAGGAATCTGAACTAAACTAAGGAATAGGGCCTATGAAATGATGTCTTCAAAAAATTAATATAAGTCAAATTATTTTATTTTTATCTGTAAAATTTGCTATCTTGGCAGCAAAATTATGTTTCATGATATTCTACAGAGTGGAGTTTTAAATATATATTTATTCTGATATGTTAAATATTCAAATATTAGAAATAGAGACTTCCTCTATGTTGTTAAACTATTCGGGTACATAACACATAACAAAAAAAATAAATTTTGAGAACTTCATATGTGAGCCTCATATTTTATTTTGTAGTTAACAAATCTACAATAACTAATATAAATTTTGATATGAAGATGTGTGTATCAATAGCAATATCTCATTTATGGTTAATCACATTTCAAAATTGACAATGCCCACAGGCAAAGAAAAGAGTAATTAACGAGAATAACCATTCATAAACTATTAAATAATTACCGGCATTTAATTTTGTTATGAACCATATTCACACTTCATCGTAGAATTTGGAACAAGAGCTTGACTGACATGACATAAGTTTACAGGGTAATTGACTAAGAATTTGATTTAAAACAAGTTAAAAGCACATTATATTTGAAAAAGCTTGTTTCAAAATTTTAAATAATTCATTTTTTATTGTTATTTAATTAGTTTAAAAATAATGCAATGCAAAATTTGAGAGTGATTCAAGTATTCAAGTGTGGACATCTATAAGAAACGCTATACATTCTTGAACATAGGTCCCAAGACAATCATGAATCTTTTTTTATACAAAATTTGTAAATAGGCTTTCACTCTGAATAGGGCTCTGTATAAGCAGTCACTGATGTGTAAAAAAAACATTATAGTTTATACTCAATATGCTTAATGAGATTATCAAAATTCATAATCCATACTCGAGGGTGAAAACCATAAACTACATATTAATAACTACTATACCAGATATTACTTTGCAAAATTAGACTCTACCTACTCCAATTGTCGTGTATTAGACATTTTAGGCTATCTTAGGTGATGAAGTTACTGACAATGATATCTAAGCTAATTAATATAGTAGGCCTACCACAGGCAATATTAATAATGTGAAATTTGAAGGAATGACAAGCAAGTACAGTAGCACACAGATGTTCATTGAAACTGTTTCTTACCCTGTAGATGCATAGACAACAGAAGCAGCGAGAGCATTGCCCGACCCACCAGGTACAACACCCAATGGCATATTTATTGCTGTTTGCCAATCTTCTCTATCCATTAAACCATTGATCACCTGTAACAATTTTGACAAAAATTAATAAAAACAATATTCAATGTGCTCTTTTTATCGTATAGAAAGTTTCATAATAAGAAAATATTCATATAAATCATTCTCACACCTCCTAGGGCTTAAGGGAACCAACCACCTACATATGAGGAGGGACTATTCACAGGAGACCTTCCTTAGGACTTGCACGCCCAATTTGGTGGGTAAGTGAGTTGAACCTGATAGCCTCATAAAATATTAAATATATATTTCAAACTTACACCACATAGCTCACAAGTCATACAAAACTGAGCAAATGGATTAATAGAGAATGAAATCATTAAGGATATGATTCATTCGAGAGGAAGATATACAAGGGACTTATGATGTTGTATTAGCGTGATAAAAGCGAAATATAAAATTTATAACTTGTATTGTTTTCTTTTTTATTCAATATTAACACCATATATGTGAGGTACTGTAATAAAAAGGAAGCTGGATTCCAATATTGAACAGTTGAATCAAATTTAAATAAAACACGAATCCGCCTCAATTTGGCTGGATGAAACTAACTAATCATTTTGATATTTTGAATCCATGAAGGAGAGAATAACATCTTAATTATCTACTTGATTTCATTGTTGGATACATGGAAGATTGTTGTTGTTCTTGTCGACATGATTGGGGTGATTGATGTTTTTGCGTCACTGTGGCAAAAAATCATTTCCTCGGCAATTAATAATAATAGGCCAATCAATTTCAAATTTTCAGTGCCTGAATATGATTAAAATCGCTAAAAGTCTTACATTTTAGAAAACCTACCGGTGCTAATTGCTACTGTGATGGGACTTGATTTGAAGCATTTGAATGAACAGATACCAGATATGTAGGTACAATACTTTAGTACTGCATTGCGATTAAGCATTTGACCTCTGTGTGTATAAATTTGAGAAGATGATGATAACAATAGAAACTAACTTACCTCATGTATGAGGCCATCGCCAGAAACAATGACAATTCCATCCCAATCTTCTACCTTTAATTCCTTTGCAATTTCTTTGGCATGACCGGGATGCTCTGAGAAAAATGAGAAAAAATTGCTGATAACACAAATAAATTAAAAAGGTGTTCACTAATGTAATTTTTGAGTTTATGTTGCAGTGTCCGTTTGATTAGACTTATTCATTCGCCACAATTTTTCTTATAGTGTTTGATAATGTAATATTTAAGTTCTGTATTTCTTCTGATCAGACTTATTCTGTAGCCATTGTTTCTTACTAGTTAATTATTTTTTTCCATCTAATAACACATACAAGAAGCAGTTATACAATAATAACAGAGCTTGTTCATATTTCGCCAGAATAAGACTTCAAAAAAATTCTAGCATATAATACCATTTGCTCCAAAAATTGAATTAGTTACAAAAAGGATATTATAATAGCAAATACCAATATTAAAATGTGGATGTCCTTCATAGCAACACATCAATTTAATTACCGTAATTATATTTATTAATTAACCAGAATTTAATGAAAACCACTGACCAGTCAGCCTGACAGTGTGTCTGATTTCAGCTTCAGTAAACATGGGTGATACTTTCTCTTTGTACATGGTGAGTGCCTTTTTCCTTCCGCTAAATGGATTAACCAAAACTAACAGATTTCTTGTCACAAGTGATCCATTTTCAATATCTGTTATCAATTATAATGCTAATTTAGCTTATTAATAATCGATTAATCAATATCGGAGATCAATGATAAACAGTTTAGTCATGTGTTGACCTGCTAATGAATTCTGTCTTTAAATGCAGAATTCATTTATGGACCATGCTCGATGATTATCTCATTAACTTATAAAGTGGAAGAATAAATGAATTGTAGAAATAATAGCATCTGCTCTAGATTGGCTAAGCCAATCTATTAGGTCAAGTCACATCTCTAGTGGATTATTGAAAAATTGAAATATTCTTAAGGAATGTAGTCCGACACACCAACTTGACATAATAATTTTGAAACAACCTAAGACATGCTCTGTACTCAATAGAGATTCAAAAATACTTGAATAGGAGTAGGAAGAACACTTATCATGAATGTAGATGTACATTATTAGTTTATCATTTAAATTTCCATTTCAGTAGTAATATATAAATCCTCATCAGATTAATAACTAAATCCGCATTAATTGCTATTATGCTCAATTAACAACCTAAAAAAATGCAGAACCAAAATGAAATGACATTTTAGAATACAAAAGTGTTCACATCAAGTTAATAAGCATTTGATCAGGATGAAAAAATATTCCTCTTTTAGCAACGTACCTTCTTTGGTCTGTATATTTTCTCCAGCAACCAATCTTTTGATTGTCATCTTCCATGTTTCAGCTAATAATAAATTCTCCTGGTAGGTTTTTTTTTTGTTTATTACAAATGTTCTGAAAAACAAATATTTTAAATTAAATTAGGCATAGTCTAAAATAGGGCTGTCATTTATATATTTTGTATTAGTAACTGGCATTCGTTCTGATGTTTTGTTTAGAAAAATGCAAGTAGAACTTCCTAAAAAAAATTAACTTTTTACACAGGATGACAAAATAAAAACATAACCCAGTTCTTTTACAACATATTCTAGAGAGAATATAACTTTAAGAAAGTCTGGAACAAACATTGTATTATGCTTGTGGCTGAATTTTTAACCCAGTTAAAGAAAAATAATTTATCCTAAGGTAAATGTTGCCTTCAATTAGCAGTCAAAATTCTACAACAGTCAGATCAAAAGTACTCAAAGTAATGTACAAGATTTTGAAAATTACTCACGTTGCGACACGTTGTCTGACAACTCCAGACCCTATTAATTTTTTCTTCAGTGGGTACGAAAATATACATAAGTATGATGAATTGTTAAGTTTCTTCTCTTGAAGAACATGACAACCTATATAAAACACAAGTTAGGTTATGTACTTAATTATTCGGCTACAAAAATCCCAATCTATCCAAGGACAATGACATTGGTCACACCTTGTGCTGATGTAAGAATAATATTTTTGCTATTTTAGTAATGAAAATTCGGAAGAGAATTTATTCATGGATATTCTAAGAAGGAATAAATATCCATAATAGCAATAATGAAAATATGAAATAAAATGGTCACGCATTTCTAAAAATGATTTTAACTATAATATGGTCAGATTACTGGATTATACAGTTATACTATCAGACTTTTATACCAGAAAATTACTGAGTTACAGATACTGAGATACTCTAACTGTCTAATGACAAAATTTTTTTATTCATTAATTCTGTACGGTAATTATATAAAGTTGAATGTGCCATACCAATGACATCATTTAAATAAATTGTATCTTCTAGTTTACTTCTTCCCAGCTGTTCAATAACAATATGTCTGTTTGTGACAGAGACGCTGTATTTCACTTTACCAGGATAGAGACAGAGCTCTTCACGAAGCAATATAATGTCTTCATCACCCATGACAACAGCTTACAGGCTTAATATAGAAACAAGCCAATGATTTTTATAAATTGCAGTTAAGTCTGTAAGTTAGGATGTATAGGCCTATCCAGCTTTCTGTTGAGTTATGGTATATCTGTCATACAGATAAATGAGAAAATAAGTTGCTTATACAATTTACATCATTAATTGCTGAATGGCATTTCCATATTCCAGTATTTATGCCTAAAGATTGAAGACGACTCAATCCTGCAATCATATGACTGTATGATGATACATGAGCCCTCATCTCATTCTCAGCCATGAAGTCAGTAAGTTGTTACGGTACGGTAACTACAGAACTAGTTAAATGTTCCAAAGACTTATATAGATCAGTGGATGGAGCAATCCACCTTACAACAGCAAGGCTTAGCAGATATCTCACATATTTTTGCACTTAATCCTCAGTATCTCAAAGCTGACCCGAACACTGGAACCGTAGGACACAGTTCTCAAAATCAGAGATGTCCCGAACATTTGGTTCAATAAAACAAACTGAAACGAGAATGTCTTGCACCACAACACGATTTTTTCGTCTTTGTTTATTTATGTTACAAGCTCTCTCGCTACGCTTGAGTGCGGCGCTACGGTATTCTCTCAACTGCGTGTAGTTCTCAGCTACAGCCGATGGAGAATGCGACGGGTATAAATGAATGACATTACCGGGCTGATAATTCTCTGTAATTATTATTATTATTATTAATTTTAAATACATTTCAGATTATCACATCACTATATTAGAAACTATTGTATGGAAGTTTATGTGGGGTGCAAAAGATCAGATGCTTAATATTATTACTGTATTAAAATGTTACAGGAGGGCTCAGGATGATGAAAGTGAGGAGTGGATATTAAAAAAAAAAATGAAAATAAGCCATTGAATAGGATGGCTAGCAATTTTATAAATAATTATTGTAGTTGTCTATCCAACGGAATTTTAAAATGTCTACATTCCTGTATTCTTATAAGAATGCTATCATATATTTTATTCTATACTACCATCAAGGATTCCGTTCCGGCCGTCGTCGGGTGCGGACGTGTCTGCTTGAAAAGACCAGAGAATGCTACGCGGTGTATGTTTCGGTATTATCAACATGAGCAAAGACCATCCACCGCAATTAAAGAAGTTTATGGATAAAAGATTGGATTTAAACGTAAATGGTGAACGATCTGTTACGGATATATTGCGAGGTTTCGATCCTTTCATGAATCTAGCTGTGGATGATGGAACAGAGTGCAGAAAAGATGGGACCACTGCACCTGTTGGAATGGTGGTCGTTCGTGGAAATTCGATATTAATGTTGGAAGCATTGGAACGGATACAATGATTCTGCCCTAGGATAGTGGATTTCATTTTCTAAAATATGGTAGACCAGAAAATTCTTAAGATAGGACTCTTTCAATTCTTGATAATTTTAACTTCAGTGCAAGCAGGGCTGGAGAGCTGGTTCGAAATCATATTGGCTCTATCTCACAACATATTCAAACTGTGGCCCCAGTTCGGGCGCTTCATTCTTCTATGTTCAGATGACTCTTTAACATTAAACAAGGATCCACTGGAAGGCACTGAATAGCTTTCCAGTTCGCCTAAAATTTTAGCATAGTTTATTATAAGCACCACACCATCACAGCACTATTTTTTTAGTTGATCAACACCCCAAAGCACCTCTTTCAACAATTTTTATCAGTCATTTAATGTTCGAACAAAGTCATCATTCAAACGACCTGTTTATTCTAATCACAATTTTTCTTTACCATTTGCAGTGTTATTCCTACAATCACTTCATTTTCTTGTTACACATAAAAACGATGTTTACTTATCTGTATGACCCCTCTTTAAAATAAACTCATTGTTGTCACTGTTATACACAAATTTATTCATTTGAAGTTATTGCCCGATTCTGTATCGTGTATTTTTGTTTTATTGTGTTATTTGACTGTTTTTGGTGGACGGGCGCGTATTTTCACGTTTTTAACTTTTCTTTAAGTTATGCCCGTCCTCCAGGTCCTCTGTGTTTTGTTATTGTTTTGTTTTATACCAGAGCGACCGAAATAAAATTGATTGATTGATTGATCAAGGACCTAAAATTCCAACGTAATAAACCAAAAATGGCTCAGAAATAAAACAAATTATTCGGCCCAAGGGATTACACAACGGAGAGGTATCGAAAAATTTAAAGGTGGCAACACCACATATAGCAAAGTGGGGTTCGGGTTGTGCGCCATCTTGGTGTACATACTTCGGGAGCGCCAAGTAAATGCCTCGACAACAGTGTGTGACAATCTTCTGCCAATAAAGAAATCAAGAATATCCAATAGAGTCGTTCATTTATGTTTTCCTTGCACAGAGAATTCTGCCTATCTGTGCAAGAATTTTTGAGAAAAACTCAACACAATGGGCGAAACCTTGTTGTTGTGCGTTGTCTTGTTATCAATATCCGCCATGGGCAGCGAACAGCATAGCAACGACTGAAGTGAATATCAACCAACCCTCATATTAGAAATAAAATTACTGTACCTTTTCCAAGGGCCACCATTCCAGCCATGTTACAAATTATATTATGACTGCAGGGATGTCCACACTGTATTTAATTAAAATCACACTTATTTGGTCCAGAGCATTCTTTTTTTATCATCAAAGTTTAAAAAACACAAAGCAGATTTCAACAGGAACAAGCTTCGTTTTAAGGCAAGTTACAGAAGTTTAAATGTTATGAAGTTGATTCTTGAGGCCGACAGACAGAAAAATGAATCCAATCCTTTGCTCATGAGTGGTAATAACGATTCTTTAGTTAGTTTAGAAGTAGTAGCAGACATTTTCTGAATGATTGCAGAATTTGGAGTTTTTTCAGAAATTTTACTACAGCACCTACAAGGTATTATATGGTCACATTTAATTATTCACTGGTAATTATTTCAGGCATCTTTTTTTGTTAACTTTTTTATGTTTAATAAATTTGCAGCATCCGAGTCTGCAAAATCATGGGACTTGAAAATTGAAGTTAAAAGCACTAAGGACCTTCCCCCGAGCATCGACTTCCTTGTTTACTTCGTGACATTGGCCAATCAATGAGATGCAAAAAGTGACGTAACAATGCTCCATTTTCGCATCCGCTCAGACACTTTTCTCACTCGGACAGATTTTCAGGCTCGGTCGTAAACATCACGTCGTTTTCGCGTTTATAACCTCTATTCGTCAGTTTTCAGTTGTGTTTCGGATATTTAAACATAAATCTGATATTTCAATGATCACTCTGTCTTCTTAGGAGTTTTAATTTAATTGCAGTAATAAATAATTAGTGTAGGAATAGCTGTGATAGACTAGGCTAAAATTCTTTACCTGCACTTTTAAAAAACAGATTGTTGTTGAATCATGGTTTGACACAAATACACCAGTTTACAGGCGCCAAATCGCGAAACAACTCTTAAAATAAGCCCCAAAAATTTTGCAATGGTAAAGTATAGGAAGAATTTTTCGGGGTCAAAGGTCCGAAGACTGAAGAACCACTATGAACCTTTCCACGAGCATCGACTTCCTTGTTTACTTCGTGACATTGGCCAATCAGCAAAATGCAAAAAGTGACGTAACAATGCCCCCTTTTCGCATCCGCTCAGACACTTTTTTCACTCAGACAGATTTTCAAGCGTGGTTGTAAACATTACCTCGTTTTCGCGTTTTTGAACTCTATTCGTTAGTTTTCAGTTGTGTTTTGGAAACTTAAATATAAATCAGATAATTCAATGATCACTCTGTCTTCCTAGGAGTTTTTATTTAATTGCAGTAATAAAAATTAGTGTAGAAATAGCTGTGATAGACTAGCCTGAAATTCTTTACCGGTACCTTTAAAAAACAGATTGTTGTATGCAATAAATCATAATGATGGTTTGAAACATATACCCCATTTTACAGACGCCAACTCGCAAAAGCACTCTTAAACTAGCCCCGGAAATTTTGCAATGGTAAAGTATAGGAAGAATTTTCTGGGGGTTAAAGGTCGGGGAAAGGTCCATAGACTGAAGACCAAGGACAAACTTGAGACTATTGACAAGTGGGGCGGTGCTGCAGTGGTATTCAAATGATTTGAGAACCGTTTATCCCAAATTTTTTAATTGAACAGTTAAAATAAAGCAAAGTTAATTTACCATTCAAAAATGAAAATCTGATTCGAGGTTGGCAGAAATTTATTCTATGAAAATTCCAGTGTGAGCCCACCAGCATCCTAATTTACATTGATCCGTTTCGTTATTTCTTTAAAAACTTTCGACTGATATCTAGGATAAATAAGATCTCCATATTTCAGTGCATATCAATTTTGGTCAGCTTATTAGTATCTTACAGTCGTAGGAGGAGGGACTGATTGGATACGGGAAATTTTTTTTTTGTAGTACCAGTACTTCTGTAGGCCCTGGAAATATCTAAATTCCTACTAATGTGCTATAATCCTGATATAAAGTTTGAATTACTAATCGCAGAACAGCAGAATTTTTCCTACTCCACTTTGATAACTTATGCCATGGTACCGACGCAGGGATGACTGACAGATGCCACGACACCCTACTTTATCCTGATGCCTCAGTATATCTGTTAGTTATTTCCATCAATAAAACCATTCCATATATGTAAATAAATTTCAAAGGAAATTCTCTTCCATAAGCTCCAAGGTATAGCAAAATGATGACGTTGTAGCGCCCCACTGACGTAAGAGTCATGCGTAGCGAGGTGGCCGATCCAGTGCCAGTTTGCTGTTTTGAGTCGATATAGAGGCTCATACTGTCTCGTACAGGAGGGGTTTACACTCATTGTTCTAATTTATGTCTTTTAATGTGGGGGATATTCTTGGAATGGGAGAACTGCTTTGTAGTTGAATATTTTTATCCCATTCCCACCTACAGACCCAGCCACCAATCCAAAATGCACATTAGTTAATACAGTCCGACAGTGTAGCAGGTTACGGGAATAAGCTAGTTTATCATTTTACAGTTTTTTCATCTTATCATCTAACTCAGAGGTCACCAAACTTTTTTGACCGCGGGCCAGGTATGACTCGAACTGTGATGAAACGGGCCGGACAAATATTTTTGTCAATACAATACAATCAATTCCCAGAAGTTGAGAAATCC